AACAAAAAATCAAACTCCCTTCTGAACCTGATAATCTCAAAATTACATTTGAATATATAGTTACAAAGGCGGTTGGAGAGGAATATCACGCTTTACCTGAACCGTTGGTTGAGCCTTTGATAAACTGAAGAATTTTGTGATATATATTTAAATATTATATTTTGATTTTTAACACTAGTATTTTATTTTTTCGGATAAAAGTTTGAACATTGCACGTAAATTTTTCATTTTGTAATGTGTTTTGTAGATTTTCTTAGATCTGAGTTGCTTACTTTCTTTATACACCCGACGAAAATGGAATTATACCTAAGCCAACGAAAGAAGGATGAATATTCATCTTTAATTATTTCATTAAATAATCTAAAATAATTCTCAGTTCCTAACTAATAGCAACATCTTGGATTGCACAATTGGGAAAATGAATTAATTAAAAAATTTCAAATCACTAGAAAAATATCAATGACGACTTAATATAAAATTAATTTTATTATTAGTTAAAATATAATTAAAAATAAAAGGAATATTATTAAAATTTGTTAAAAATAAATAAAATTAATAATAAATAATAACAATTTATTTAAAAATTTAGTTAATTCTATAAAAATACATAATTAATCATTTTTAATAATAAGAAAGCAAACTTTTGCACAAAATAATAAATTAAAATTTATATTCATAATTAATCTACGTAAATAAAATAAAAATTGAATTTTAATATTTACTAATATTAAGTTTATTTAAATAAATAAACTTTTAATATTTAGAGGTTTAAGGTGAGGAGCTCTGGCTTAAAGGTGAGGGAAACATTAAATATATTAAATAAATCCAAAGAAAGTCCCAATTAAATTTATTTTTCTAAAACAAAAAATAAAATGATATACAAAAATTCTCAAATTTTCATCCTACACAATTAAATATAGAATTGTTAATAATTAATTAAATAATAATAAATGCTCTATAAATTGAAATAAAATTAATATTAAATAGAATAAATTATTTTAATTTAATTTTAATTTTGCTTAACAAAACTTGGTTTTTGTAATAAATATATAATAAATTGGAGTTATAAAAAGGCTAATATGAAAAAACAAATTAAAAAATTCTAAATTAATGAAAAAGCATAAAGTGGAAATTCAATTCTATGATGAGATCTACTGCCACAATTGCCTGGAATTAATTATTGGTTATTATTAATTAATTATTAATTATTAATTATTAATTTAAGGTTAGAACATCTTTTCAATATAGAATTGAAGTTAATTGAAGTTTATTTAGTAAATTTGGAAAAAATATAATTGAAAAGATTTTAAAATTTAAGGGTTGCCCAGTAATATTTAATTTTAGAAACCTCTAATTTAATTTTATTATTTTATAATTAAAATAAAAAATACGTAAAAGGGATTATATAAGAATTTAAAAATGTAGTGGGTATTTTTCCATAAATAATTTATATTTTGTAATCTAAAATCTGAAAAAGTTAGAATTTTTTAAATTATTTTTCAACATTTTTAAAATTAACATCATAATAAAAATTAATTTTTAGATTTATTAATTATAATTTTTATCTTCCCAAAATTGTTGTTAAAATCAAAATTAAATTTTATTATTAGAAATTCTAATGCACATCTGACGATTTTTAATTAAAAATAAAAGAAAATATTCTTAAAATATATAATTCGACAATATGTATACAATATGTATATATTGTATATTAGAAATAAAATTACAGATTTGTCTTTATATTATCCAAAATCCATAACACTCTCATTAAAACTCATAAATAGTTTATAAATTTTTTAATGGTATCTGTTAAGTAAAATTTTATTTAATTTTAAATATAAAATAAAAATTTATCCTCCAAACTCAGTCATTAATCTAAAAAAATTATTCAGTATATTCAAATCTAAAGACCAAACTTTTTTAAATATTGAAAGGAAATTGATACTAAAATGTTTAAATTGTTTATTTAGATTAAGATAATAAATAACATTAATCTCATTTACAAAGAACATACAAGGATTTAAACGAAGTTTACAAATTATATTTTTTATAAGCTAAAATAAAGAGTAATAGACATATGTAAATATAAATTATTTCACTATTAAAATAATAAGATAAAGCAGGGCTCGCATTCCTACTTTTTTAAAAGTATTCTACTTTTAAATCGACCTGCATGCTTACGAAATTGAATTTATACTTTTTTGAAAGTATATACTTTTTTTTGATTGAAAATGAAATTGGGGAAGGGATTGGGCAAAAAAGTGAATTTTTTGGTCTTCGGCCTCCAAAATTCTCAAAATTTTCGCCTGCGGCGCAAAAAATGGAAGAAATCTGGCTTAAGGACCTACAAAATTCTCAAAATTTTCGCCTGCGGCGCAAAAAATGGAAGAAATCTGGCTTAAGGACCTACAAAATTCTCAAAATTTTCGCCTGCGGCGCAAAAAATGGAAGAAATCTGGCTTAAGGACCTACAAAATTCTCAAAATTTTCGCCTGCGGCGCAAAAAATGGAAGAAATCTGGCTTAAGGACCTACAAAATTCTCAAAATTTTCGCCTGCGGCGCAAAAAATAGATTTTTTGGCACCTTCGGCGCCACAAAAGGTTCATTGAAATTGACAAAAATGCTCAGTTGAAACAAGAAATTATTAGAAAAGATTCATTTAGGAGAGAAATATAAAAGATTTGAGGACGAAGAAATATTTTCTAATTTAATTTTGAGACTACTTTTTATTTGCAAATTTTCTCCCTATATACTTTTTAATCAAGATTTTGATACTTTTGAGTGGCATTTTGTCGATGCGAGCCCTGAGATAAAGACGATTCTAATTATATTTTTAATAATTCAATTTAAAAAAATTGGTAATTTTTAGTTGATTTAAAAAATTTTATTATGTATAAATTTTATTATGTATAAATATTTTATTTTAGAATTCAGAATTTTGAAAATGGTTAAAACTAAAAATGATTTACATATTAAATTAAACAATAAAAAATCAAATAATTATTTAAAAATATATGTAGCTTCACTATATAGTAATATTTTTATCAATTTTCGTAACAAAATAGAGCATTGAAGATTGCTATGCAGATATTTTATTAAAAAAGCATTATTAACTATAAAATTGCCGTTTTTACTATAGAAAATTAGTTAAAATAATAATGTTTGAATTATATGAATTGATAAATTATATATTTTAAAATAAAACTTTGTAAAATTAAATTATAAAATATTTACTGTTTAAAAATGAATTAGTGAATTTGACCTTCTTTTATTATATTTTAATTAAGAAAGTCGGAGAAAGAATATTTATTATTGAAGGAACATGGATAGGGTAACAAAGGAACAGTTTCAAAGAATAATTAGAATAATTTGTTGGAAAAATATTAATTAATATAAATAATAATAAAGTATATATGTAATACAGCCATTAGTTTAGTCCTAATGTGTGTATGTTTTTTACAAACAGAGATTAATAAAGTATAAAATTTTAACACATAATAATTGAAAACTTAACAAACCTGATTAAACAATTTTGTACATATATTTATATATGAATTATTAAATTCTTTTATTTATTAAAATAAATTTATTATTTAAATATTACCGAATATAAAATTTGATTTAGTAACATAAATCTGGGTTTGTATTATCCGCTTCAGCAATATTAATTATTTAATGCAAATAAATACTTTCTCAGTCAATGTACACATAATTCTAATTTTTTTTAAAATAAGGCGTTCCTCACCACTTTTTAATTTTATTCTTAAAAATATTTTTGTAAATTTGTAAAATATTCAACAGAATTATAATGACAGAAAATCAATTAAATATAAAAATAATTATTAAAATATATTTAGCAAAATAATAATAAATTTTGGAGAAAAAATTATGTCCTTATTTTGATTTAATTTTAAAAACTAAAGAAATTAAAAACTAAAATGTTTCACAAAATATGTAAATGATAAACTTATAAAATGCTTCAAAAAGCTTTTAATTTTTTAAAACACAAAATTATTCAATTTATTTATAAATAAACACTTGATGAAAAATAGATCATGTATTTTGACGTTACATCACTCTATCCTTAAATCAATGTCACAACAGAACAAAGATTACTGTACTTTATAACTAAAAAAAATGAAATAATAATAAAATTTTTAGATAAAAAATATTTTCAACAATATTATGTAACATTAGTGGAAGAACAAAAAGTTTATTTTATTTTTAAAAACTCACGCAAAATTAATCAAAAATCTAGTAAAAGTTAACAAAATTTAAATAATATAAAAAATTTAAGAAAAAACTAAGTAAAAATTAACATAATTTAATCTCTAAAAATATTAATTTCTGACTAAAATAGACATTCATTAAATATACTGCTACTACTCATTAAATGTAAATTTTGAATGATGAATCAGTAGATTGAAAAAATATTTGCACATTAAAAATATTTCACAAACACATTCATTAGTTACTTAATTATTTTTTATTTTAATTTAGCTTTATATGTTTGGTAATTATTATATTTAAACATAAATTCAGAATAATAATTCAAAATAAATAATTTTTAATAACCATTTATTTTTTAATTTAAAATATTTAATAAAAATAATAATGTTAACAAAATTAAATATCATTTTATTTATTTATTATGTCTTTGCCAAGCAAAATTTTCAAGATAAAATGATTAACAAGAATAATCAGCAAATGAATAATAAACAGTAAGTTTGATATTATTCTTTCTAGAATAGTTCAACTTTATCGAGACTTTTTGTGATCATTTCTCTGAGTTTTTAGTTATTTCTACATAATTTCCGTCCCTAAATATATTTAAAAATCTGAATTTGTCGGAAACCCAATATAAAAAATCATTTTCTTCTACTTAACACAATCCACCTATTCGACTCAACTTCCCAAACTCCATATAATATTCGAAATTTAGCGCCATCTCAAAAACATTTTTAATTAATAATTTAAATTAAGCGTGTTTTTAACTGATATGGTCAATACACATTTTCAGCTTCCATATTTAAATACTGATCAGTGTATGTTGCGCCAAGGACAGAAAAAACTTGGTTCTTATGGTTTAATCTTCGAAAGACCATTCTTCTATCTTTGTGACGAGTAAATAAAAAATAAAATTATTTTCTTTAATAAAATATTTAGATTATTAATTTGTTACCCGAGCCAGCTGATCGGTAATAATAGACGAAATGGAATTGTTACAACAGTTCCATATCGCCTTCGTGAAGCAAAAAAGGTGAATAAATTAGTGAATAAACTAGGTATCTACATATGAGTTAATAAGTTCCTCAGGCTTTCTGTTACTTCTAGTTTCATTTCCCTGAATTCTCAGTTTCATTCCTTTATTAACTATATTTAAAATAATTCTCAAATTTAAAAGAACAATGTCACCCTACAATGCGAACAACGACGCAAAGAATTTTGTAATGAAGAGAAAAATAAAAATTTGTGTAAGATTGGACAGCCTGGATCGACTATTTGGCATGGAATTTTGATTAAGACTGAAAACAAGAATCAAACCCTAAGTAATTCCCCTATTTTTGTAACAACAATATTATTGTCTATTACAAAACAAAAGTAATAAATTTTATTTATTATGTAAGTATTACTTGCTAAAATATTAAAATATTTTAGATATGAAATAAAGGACACATTGAAATTCTATATGAAATTTGGCCGTATGGAAGATATATTCACACGTGTCATTTTGAACAACGACACTCTCAAATGTTTGTAATCGGATTTAAAATTTGATTTAATAGTTCATATTTAGCAAAACAAGTGTTTCTTGGAAGCGACAAGAATCTTCTCAAAGAATACCTTTCCAAAGTTGATAAGGGGGCATCTCTTCACAAATATGTTGGCCTATGGGCTCTCGGATTGGATTTGTTACCAACATCGGAAGAACAACATTTACATTTATTTGTTTATAGAGGATGTGCTTGCTCAATTAATGTTTGGGTAAAATTTTTGATTAGAAATATCAAGAGGCAGAGCCGAAGGACCTATTCGAATAATTTTTTGATTGACACGGCTGGCACTTTTGTGGAAAATAACTATTGACCTAACGATTTATATCAGGAATCCTGCACTCCTTATTCCCAAAAATTAACTAGAATCGGGAATACCCATCGTTTTTTGGATTGGGAATTTCGATTCCCTAAAATCAGCAATTTATTTTTTATGTTGGCAAAAGCTCTGATTTCATAATGTATGTACATATATGTACATATAATATATTTAGTTCAAAACCCCAACAATACCAGAATCAACAAAGCCAGAAATTACACCAAGGTTGGAGACAGGGTACAAAAATTGTTCTGCAAAATATCCTGATAATACTTATGAATTGGGAAATCTAAAGGACGAGGAAAAAATAATTAAATTTTCAATAAGGGCAATTAACAACGGAAGTAGTGCCGCATTTGCATTTTTTAATGCGGCTGATATGTTTCTAGAAATAAATTTTAGAGGCAGAGAAATAATATTTTATTCATATATGGTAAGCTTTATGTTTTTATATTGAAAATATTATATAAGAATTGAGGGTATTTTAGTAACCGAAGTTCGATTAACCGAAATCCGATTCGAAAATTACCTGGGTTTTGGTTCGGTTCAGATTGAAACTAACAACACTACTTATAGGTATTTATTGAACCAGAATTTTGAGTTACACACTTCAATCTTTAACGTTTTGTAAAATTGTTTTCTTGTAAAACTTCCGATAAACAAAAATTATTACTATTACTATTTATTTTCATTTTAGTTTTTAAATTCGCAATTTAGCATAACAAAATACCAAAGCCAATTAGCAAATTTATTGATAGCAATTTGTTAGATTTTGGAACATCAATAGACTTAACTATTCGAATAAGCAATTATTATGTTTGGATATTATTTGAAAGTAATGTTTTTGTAAAATTTATCAAAAAATTATGGCCAGACGATTGGTGGAATGGAAAATTTTTAAATAAAACTAAACTCAAAATTTTAATTAGTGGTGATTTTATTTTAGCTGCCCCTATATTTATTAGAGTGATTGATGAGCAAAGCTTGGATGTAAGAAGTTTTTAAAAATTTTACTTAAAATCCTAGATAAAATGCCATTCTTTAATCTTTCTGTATCGATATTCTATAGGTTAAATGATTGTACATATTTTCTAATAATTTAATTATGTAATACCATATTTTCTCGATTAATTCCCCTCCCTCGAATAATTCCCCCTCTCGATTAATTCCCCTCCCTCGAATAATTCCCCCTCTCGATTAATTCCCCTCCCTCGAATAATTCCCCCTCTCGATTAATTCCCCTCCCTCGAATAATTCCCCCTCTCGATTAATTCCCCTCCCTCGAATAATTCCCCCTCTCGATTAATTCCCCTCCCTCGAATAATTCCCCCTCTCGATTAATTCCCCTCCCTCGAATAATTCCCCCTCTCGATTAATTCCCCTCCCTCGAATAATTCCCCCTCTCGATTAATTCCCCTCCCTCGAATAATTCCCCCTCTCGATTAATTCCCCTCCCTCGAATAATTCCCCCTCTCGATTAATTCCCCTCCCTCGAATAATTCCCCCTCTCGATTAATTCCCCTCCCTCGAATAATTCCCCCTCTCGATTAATTCCCCTCCCTCGAATAATTCCCCCTCTCGATTAATTCCCCTCCCTCGAATAATTCCCCCTCTCGATTAATTCCCCATGCTAGAGTTGGGTTGAAACAATAATTCCCCACCCCCAAATATCCCACTGCACGTTCAAATGCCAAAACTCGAATAATTCCCCTCCCTCGACCCCATGCCAAGGAAGTGTTGAAAAAATAATTCCCCAAGGAATTAATCGAGAAAATACGGGTATTTAAACTTTAATAATATTTAGCATTACAATAAAATGTTTGGTGTCATTCAAATGCCATATTCAGAAAAAATTAGAGAGACTACTAGCAATGAAATATTTTTTCGTTTTCATTTTAAAATAAACAATGAAGCAACGAAATTTAGTATAAAATTATTTAATGGTATAGAAGAAAATCCTTACAGTAATTTTTGAAAAAATATCTAATTTTCAGTAACATTATTTTAAGTTGGAACAATTGTTTATAGTTTCGATGTTTCCGATAATTTAACAAATGTTGCAATTAAAACAGGAGACGTAAGTACTAAATATGTTTTAGTTATAGTTATTATTCGGCAGTGGTTGGCAAAATTAAATATAAAAAAATTTTTCGTAAAGTATCCGAAAATTAAAGTTTAGTTTTTATGTTTATTCACTTATATGTAGTAATAACGAGTGTTAGTTAGTATTGTTTAAAAATTTTCATATCACCGAACTTTCAAAAATTGAAATAAATAAATTTAAGTGCTCTAATTATTATTCTGAATGTATTAAAGCGAAGGGATATTTGAATGATGAATGTTATATATTTAAATGTAAAAAGTTTCCTTCAAGAATATTTGAAAAGGGGCAAATATTCGAACTTCTTTTGCATGTTGTTAGTACAAGAAAGCTAGAATATAGAAATAATAAACTCGTTTTTAAACATACATCAATGATTGACGCATTTATTGATAAAAAATTCATGGAAAGATTTACAATAGAAAGTGACTTTCAAATCTGGACAATTAATAGTATATTGGTAATTCTAAATTTTTTTAAATCCATTTTTCTGTGTTACAAAGCTAAATTTCAGCTCATTAACATTTTTTCATTTTGGAGACTCTGTTAAGAATTCCTTTAGTTTAATATTTAGAAATTTCAGGAAACATATCTGTTCAAAATTAATCTTATAAGTAGGGAGTGGCAAAACATGCAAATGCATATTTTGTATGCGGATATGCCATGAGCTAAAACGCTCAAAAATGTTGTTTTTACGTCTGTACGAACATTAGGGACCGAGTTCCTATAGCATATTTTTGCATATTTTGGTACTTTTGTGCATATTTGCATATCGATGCATATTTTGGAAATTTTGCATGTTTTTACCTAAATTTGTGCATATTTTGGCATTTTTTGAGAAATTTTAGTAAAAATCGGGCAAATTATTCAAAATTCTGGAATTTTTTGAGCAAAAAATTTTTTGATAAAAATTTGATGAAAAAATTTTTTCGAAAAATTTTTTGGGAAAAATTTCTTTCAAAAAAATTTTTTTAGTTGAATTTTAAGTTAATAAAATCTTCCAAAAGTGCTTTTAAACTGCAATTTTAATCTAAAAATTGAAATATTGATTTTTAAAGCACATTTTTATTATTTTTGCTGCATATTTAGTGCATATTTCGCAAATTTAGGCATATTTTGGGCTTTTTAGGTGCATATATATGCGCATATTTTTGGATTTTTCGTGCATATTTTGCCGCTCCCTACTTATAGGCTATCACTAAAGGTCATAACTCCTATATTCAAAAATGTTAAGGAATACAATTAAAATAATCAAGGATCAGTAGGGTTCTTCAAAACCGAGGATTTTTCGTTTCTTATCCTAACTTCGGTACTAGATATCCGAAGACTTTTCTTGAACTAACAATCCTCTAAGGGATTATACTAATAAACTCTCCCCAAATAAATTTGCTATTCATACCCTGTAAATGCTTCTTAAATCCTTCGCTCCATTAAGAATGGTAGGGAATCATCACTTATATGTATCTGACAGACATTTAATAAACATATATTTTAGCTAGATGGTGATATTCAGCTTCTGTATCATCTCTATTATTATGGTAAACAGGAAAAAGTACCAGATTTGCGTTATCGAAAAGAGACTACTGAATTGAAAATAAATGGAAGTATCGTTTGTTTTGAGGCTTTGGTATCGAGTGGTAGTGAAATGAATTATGAACAATCTTCTTTTATAATACGATTAATTCACGATCCTCAAATTGCTAATAAACTTGGTTAGCTTTTTAACCAGTCCATTAAATATTTTACAATTTAATAAGATGTTGACCTTGTGATGGAAATAAAGTTTTACTTTGATCCTGACGAAAATACTGGGGAAGATGAAGAACATTTTACTTCTAGCCGTTCGCACATAGTTATAGAAAGCTATAGCTCTAAGAAAGGAATCCGTCAAAATCAAAAACTTTATAAAAATCCAATTGGAGCTGGTATGCCTATAGTTGTGTTAATTATAGCGTCAGGAAGTCAATACATCATTAATATTAACGGAGGTGATAACCTTTACTATCAGCATAAGGTATTTCCTCATTGGTCAACGAATCGTGTTGAGGTATGTATATTTCTTTATACCCTGCTAAACTTGCAAGAAATTTTGTTTTTATTAAAATTTTCGATTTTTTAAAATTTAAACTACAAAGCTACACATTTTGAATTCATTTTTTTAAAATGGCTAGCCATCGGATGAGGGAAACTATACTTCCAATTTAAAACCCACCTCAATTTTATATAAGCTTTTCTATATAAAATCGAGGGAGGCCATATTGTAAGTATATTTAACAAAGGTTTGAAATTGCAACAACCGAAAAATCCTGTCGAGTTTTTACAAAGCATCTGAAGGGTTGTGACATATAATGGAATGACAAAATCAGAAAGATCTCATTTAATATTTTACAGATAACAGGCTATATTAATAACGTATTATTTGATGAAAATTCTGATAAATGTCAAAAGCTAACAAAGAATATTTCTGAAGCTAAATTGGATGAAAAAACTAAAAGAGTGATAAAACAATTGAATAGTACAAGCGAAGTCATTATTAGTGGGAAAACTTCAGATATATTTAACAAAAATATTTCTGTTAATTTTCTCCATGCGGCTATTGAATGGAATGACACAAGTTTGATTTTAAATAATTTCAGCATTAAAGCGCTGAGCGAATTTTTAGTTAATGAAATTTCTTTCTACTTTTGTATACAATAAAACTTTAAGAAACATGTTTTTAGTGTGATACAAATTAGTCTAATTTTTGGTAATGACGACTTTTCTTTCCATGATAATTATTTTACTGTAGAAATTTTCTAAAGTTATTTAATTAGTGTGTATAACAGAAGTGGATCGGAACAGTTAGAGGTGTCGGAAATCGGAAATAAAATTAAAAATTGTCGGAAATCGGAATTTCGACCCACCTCTGTGTATACTTGTATCAATGTTCCTACTATGTATTTATTAATTTATATCTAATTTAGTAGGTAACACAGTCTTTCAAATGAATATTACAAGAGAATCTGTTTGTATAGATTCATATACGGTAGCTAATTTAAAATTAATTTTATTAAATTAATATTTAAAAGAACGGAAACTGGATTAAATTGAAAAGGAAAGAAGCTAATATATGCTCTAAACATCAAAATTTAAAGAAAAATGAACTGATAAAATTAACTTTAACTTTTAAAAATTCCTCCCTTTGGTATATATTGGAAACAAAAGAAAATGAATTTGAAAATAATGTTGCTTTGGATATACCTATATCATTAACCGAATATATTAATGTGAGGATATATTTTTAAACACTATTTATGAGACTGAAAGTTTTCAAGATAAATGACCGATATTAAATAATTATAATAAAACAAAGGACAAGCCTCGAGCGCAAAGAACAAAGAGTCGACTTGTGGGGGGGGGGGATCGAGATTTATATCTCCAAAAATCTCGGTTTCAATAACCAGTCTCGGTTCAAACTTTAATAGTTAAGATTAAAACCAATAGTTCGAATAAAGCTTATTTATTTTAAATTTATACTAATTCAGGTTGACAACTTGATTAAGGATGTAGATGAATTAATATCAATAAAATATGAATAAGATGTATTTTTAAATGTTTGAGAAACTTTAGGAAACAATTTTTATAAGTTATATTTTTGACCTCGAATTATTTATTTCTTCATAATTTAAATAAATCTTATACATACTTTGTTTAAATGGTTATTCCTGTAGCTTTCTAAGTTCTATAAATAATGGGTTGTTAGATAAATAATGAGCCCTTTTCGCATTTTTAGTCTTTTTTTATGTATAGGTATTCGAATTTTAGTTAGAATTATTTTATATTACTAGAGTCGATGGTTCACGCTTTTTTCTACTATTCTAAACCATCTAAAAAATAAATTTTGATTTTTGCAATTTTTTAAAAATTTTTTAAAATTATGTCCTCAAAATCTGAAATTCGGACTGTTATTTTGTATTGCTTCAATCGAGGTTTAAGTACAACTCAAGCCAAAAACGAAAATGCCGCCTTGAAGGGCACAAGTTGGGAAGGCACAAGCCTTGAAGGGCACTCGTATGGCAACTTTTATTTCATCCGCCTTATTCTCCGGATATTACTTCGTCTGATTACCACTTATTCGGTTCGATAAAAAATCATTTGCGAGTTGTGAGCTTCAAAAATGATGCTCAACCCTCAAATTGGGTTGCCATATTTCTTGATATCAAATCTGCTACTAGATTTTATCAAAGGGGAATTAAAAAACCTCCCAGCGTATGGCAAGATGTGATAGATTATAATGGGCATTAAATTGTTTCTTGATTTCATTTCATTATTTAGTTATAGTAAATTGTTTTAATTATGCGCAAAGGGCTCATTATTTATCTAACAACCCATTACATAAGTTGCAAAATTTAAAAAAGCTAACATAATCTAACATTTTAAATTAATTTTTATAAGTAAGAAATAAAGGAGGCATAATGTTTCTTTTAAAGAACAAAAAATTAAAATATTTAAATTATTTACATATTTATGGAAAGAAAAACATGAAAATTCATTCTGCTCATACTAAGACTCATCTTCTTGAGTTTCATCTTCCTTCTCTTCTTCTTCATTTATATCTTCAGTATCTTCAGTTTTTGACTGTTCTTCTTTGGTTTCTCCTTCAGTTGTTGTTGCAGAATCCTCCACTGACTTTTCAGTCGCCTCTATCTTCTCTTTTGCTTTATTATCGCCGTCTTCATCCTTCCTTTGATTATTTTCCTTGAGATCTTCCTTCTTTTCTTCTACTTCACTAAATTCCTTCTTTTGACTTTCTTCCTTGACATTTTCCTTCATTTGTTCTTCTCCTTTGACATCTTTTTTCTTTGCTTCTACTTCAGCATCTTCCTTCTTTTGATTTTCTCTTTCGACATGTTCCTTCTTTTGTTCATCTTTTTTGACATCTTCATTTTTTCCTTCTTCTGTGACATGTTCCTTTTTTTGATCATCTCCTTTGACATCATCCTTGTTCTCTTTTACTTTTTCATCTTCCTTCTTTTGAACTTCTTCTTTGTCATTATCATTCTTTTCTCCTATGATATCTTCCTCCTTTTGATCCTCTCCTTTAACTTCTCTTTTAGTCACATCACTTGCCTCAACATCTTTCTCCTCCGTGTCAGAGCCCTTATTAAAGGCAAAGAAGTAGACAGCAATTCCAATCCCAATAACAGCCAGGATAACAACAATAATCACAAAAAACGGAAAGCCTGAAGAGCCTTGGGTGATAGTAGTTATTGTTGTTGTAGCTTTTGTAATTGTAGTTGTTAAAGAGAATACAGCTGTCAAAGTTTCAGTTATTTCTGGTGCCTTCTTGGACGATGAGTCTGTTCTATCATTAATACTAGAAGTTGATGTGGATATATTTTCTTTATTAATTGTAGTCTTTCTTTCCCCTTGAGTTGCTTTCAGTGTTGAAGTGCCAGGTGTTGGAGTAGTCAACAATTTGTAGTTATCTCTAGACTAAAGAGAATATTTCATCAATTGAATATAAATAAAATTATCACTTACAAATATAATCCTCAAATCATCACATTTTGGACCTTCTGGGTGTTCTTTTCTCACAACATATTCCTGTAATCCAGTATGATTATTTTTCATCAACATCCACTTCCGCGATGCCTTTTGTGGAAGAAGATGAAAAACCAACAAACGATTCATTTTAGGCTCTGGACTCGTACCAACAATTTCCCAGGTTGAAGGCGAGAGAATGTTTTCTTTGAGATTTTTGATGCAGTTAGATGGTTGAGGATTTCTGTCATTGTATTCCTTTAAAGATTCGATGTGAAATTGAGGAACTGTTTGTTTGATGTGTGTTTGATTAAAATACACAAATGTGCTGTTCAAGTTCCATTCTCTACGAATATAGTAAACCAATTTCGTGCCAACTAAAATAAGTTAAGTACATATTTATAATTTAATATGATGCGGATATCTACTTGGATTTGCATAAAGCACAACATTTTCTTTGCCTACAATTTTATCATATGCCCATCTAACTTCTAGCCCTGTCTTTTCGACACATCCCTCAGCACATCGGCAGAGACCATCAGCGAAAATCGGGCCATTGTGGAATTTCTTGGCTTCCTCATTTGTCAGACTGTAGGCAAAAGGCAGTCTACAAAATAATAATTTTATTAGAGAAATTCGATTAAAATATTGTATTTTATTCCTTAAAGGCTAAACTTACACGTTTGAATTTATGTCACTCCCGTTCAGACAAGCATCAAGCCCTCCTAGATTATGCACACCAGTCCAGAAAACAATCTCGTGCCCCTTATTGGTTAGAAGATCCATTGTACACCCTTTATCCTTTGTCGCCTCTAGATTTGTGTAATGGAGAACGCTGTGAAACAATTCGAAATATAATAATTAAAAGAAATTCTAACTCACATATTCCCCTCGTCATCAAAATCAACATTGCAAGCATTAGCAGAACTCGTCATGTACTGCTCAACGTCTTCTTTTTTGACAATCATAGATCCGTTAGCAAGCGTCACCTTTCCTTCTTGAAGAATGTGATCCCCAAGACCAACTTTGAAGGAGGGCTTAATTGTCGAGATCTTAGTTGATTCTTGCCCATTGTTGTCACTTGCCCTTGAAGTTGTTGTTATAGAGGTATTCTTATCTGTTGGATCTTTTGTTGTCGAAGTGAAATTATAAGATACGGAAGTGGTCAGCAATCTGTAGTTACTCTTAGACTAAAAACGAAGATGTTAGAGCAATCAAATAAAATTAAAAAAAGGGTTATTCACTTACAAATATCATTATTAAATCATCACATTTTGGTCCTGTTGGGCGTTCTATTATCACAACATATGCAATAAACCCATTAAAAGGATTTTGCATCATGCGCCTTTTTCGTGTTGCCCTTTGTGGAAGAAGATGAAAAACCAACAAACGATTCATTGTAGGCTCTGGACTCGTACCAACAATTTCCCATGTTGAAGGTGAGAGAATGTTTTCTTTGGGATTTTCGATGCAGTTAGATGGTCGAGTATATATGTACTCTGTCCCGTTGTTTGAAAATTTGATGTGAAATTTAGGGCCTTTTTGGTTTATTACTAAACTTTGTTTCAATTCCACAAATTGTTCTCTCATGTCCCTTTTAATGCCAGCATAATAAACCATTTTTGTGGCAACTAAAATAAACATAGTCAATAATTTAATTACGCACAGATATCTTACTTGGATTTACATAAATCACAGCATATTCCTTGCTTCCAACTTTATCACGTGCCCATCTAACTTCTAGACCTGTCTTTTCGACACACCCCTCCATACAACTATCGCATGAAACATTAGCGAAACGCGGGCCATTGTGGAATTCCTTGACTTCCTCATTTGTCAGACTGTAGGCAAAAGGCAGTCTACAAAATAATTAGATTAGTGTTCAAATTTTATTGCCAAACGGCTAAACCTACACATTTGAATTGATGCTACTCTTTACCATACAAGAACCGAGCCCTTTAAAATCGTGCAATCTAGTCCAGAAAACAATCTCGTCCACCTTATCGGTTAGAAGATCCACAGTACAACCTTTATACCTCGCCCTAGCTTCTTTTCGGTAGTGGAGAATGCTGTAAAAACAGGGAATATTCTAATAAAAAGATCATGACTTACATATTCCCGTTAACGTCAAAATTAACATCGCAAGCATCGGCAGAACTCGCCTTGTACCGTTCAATGTCCTCATTATTGGTAATAACCCTCGAGCCTGCCGCAAGCGTCACCTTTCCTTCTTGCAGGATGTGATTCCCCAGGCCGACATTGTTTGCTCCTGTGATGTTTAACTGCCCATGTAATTGTAGAACAACAATGAAGAAAGCCGCGATGTTTGCGAACATTGTTTGCTTTTTGTTCGATTTGTTGTTGTTGAAGATAGAAAACAACATTGTTAGTGGCTTTCCTAACACAAATTCTGTTATTAACGGTTTCCGATGATTGTAACGAAATGGAATTTTTGTAATGGAGTGATTATGTATATACAAATTATATTCTGGTTTTTATATGTATGTATGTAGTACATACTTTTTTCTGCCATTAGGACTTGGTTTAAGTTGCTTTTGCATATACTCTGTTGATTTTAAATTACAAGAAAACATTGGTAGCTTGGTAACTACTCACATTTGATAATCAAACACACCCAAAACCTTGTTTTAGCTTGAAACCTGAAATTTTAACAAACCGAAAGATTTAAAATTGGTGAAGCCATGAACATGTTTGATTGAAACTTGGGTTAAACATTTAAAAAAATTAGTTTAAAATAAGAGAAGGAAAACAAAAAGAACCGCCTCGTTCTCAATTTCTGTAAAAATTAAGTGGCTAATATGCAGAAGAAAAGAGAAACAAGAGGGCCGTCTTAGAAAAAAATTCTCTTAATTGTTCTCTTCTCAACTTAATCTAAAAAATTAACCTTTCTTTTCCTAAAATTAAAAAAACATTAAAAGACCAAGTTTATATAAAAATTAAAATATAATTAGTGATCATATTTCAGAATTTTTTTTCACGCGATCCTAGTTCAAAAATTCAAAATATGATCACCATACAATACCTTGAAAAAAAATATTAAAATTAAACTTATTTTCCAAATTTTTTTTTCATTTTTTTTATTTATTTTCCAACATCTTTTCATCAGCTGTTAAAATTTTTTCATTCGCTGTTATTTGATCTTCTTTCTCTTCCTCCTCCATTTTTTCTTCTTTTACTTCCTCCTCCTCTTCAGATTTCTTTCCCTTCTTTTTATCTTTTTCTTCCTTTTCATTTGATTTATATTCAAGCTTAATTAGACTCGAAAATTTGGGTTGTATCCCATTAAATTTTGCAGATGTAATTGGCGTTACAAATGGTCCAGGAGGAGGAAGGGGGCTCTGACCAGCAGTAGCTTCTGCATCCTTAGTTGTGAGCCGATTAAGAATTCTAAATTTTTGGATTTTTAGAATTTATAAAATTAAATTTAAAATTAATTTTAAAATAAAACTTACGCTCTTTCAGTCATTCCTAATCGTTCAGTTACTGGTCGAAGTCGTGCAAGTGTTGTTGGAAGTCGAGAAACATCTTTAAAAATAAAAATAATTTAAAGAATTTAAAAACTTTTTTTAATAATTTGGCTACTTAAAATGTTATTTTAAGCGAATAACCCTTAAAGGAACATAAAAAAACCCTTACCGCTTTTCATATCATTCATCAAATCCTCCAATTGGGTTAGGACTTTATGTAGAACTGTGTAGGCATTTTTGTCACCCTTCAGAGCATCACGCGACAGAGATTCATGTGCTGTTGCCAAGCATTCCAAATCAGCAAATCTTTCGCTTAACTGGCCTAAAATAATTTAATAAAATTTTTAAAAAGATAAAAAATGTTAATTTTCCGTTATAATCCCACAAATCTTTAGCTGCACTTTAGCTGATTTTGGTGTTATCGAATGAGCTATCATTTATATATTCGAATTTTTTACCACAAACATTTACTCCAAAAATAAGCATATGGGTTCTAAATTTTCTCGGATCTACATATATCTCGATCAACAGGAATTTCCAATAATAAAAAGTGACACCATTCGACTATTGTCAGACCGATGATACGAATCAAAAGATAATAAATCGAGTGACCTTGGAACCGGCCACTGGCTAATTTACAGCCAAAGAATTTGTGGACATATATAACGGAAAAGTACCAAAAAATTACAAAAATAAAAAAAATGAGAATATTTACCAGAATTATCTGCTACCGATTGGCTTGCCAAAACAGGATCCTGTCCAATAGCTATTGCCTTCTCTGCTGCATCTTTTTGCATATGTTGTTCTTCAGTTTTTTGAGTTATTTGTAAATATGCTGCACGACGTAATTGTTCTTCTATTATTAAAGCTTGTTCGACTAACTGAAAAATATTTAATTTAAAAAAAAATCAACTAATTTTCTTTTAAAATTTTTCTTCAAATTTCACTACGAATATTTAATTTCAAAAAATTAAAAAAAACCTTATAACGTCTTTGCAAAAACTTGTTTTTATATTCGGCAAAATTTCCTCCTTTAGATTGTTCTAATTTGAAAGGTTCATTAATTATTGAAAATCGGTTGTCGTTTTGAATATCTTGATAACGACCATAGCCATGCCTAATTTAAAAAATTAATTTCTGACAAATAAACAACAAATATTACATAACAATTCCACAAAGTAACCAATAATCATGTCGTCGATTCCAAATTTCATATTCTTTTCCCGGAACAGCAACATTTTCTTCATTAAGCCAGAGAGTGTGGAGTTCAGTAAAACCACCATCAGCAATATTGAACATAATTTTTGGACGTGGTTCTTTGGATTTTTGTTCGGTCTGTAAAGAGAAGTGTTGAATAAAGGGAAAGGATTTTGTTTTAATAAATTTTTTGAATTTTTTAAAATTTCAAAATATAAATCAATTTTCAAACAAATAAAGAAAACCTCTTCATCATTCTTCTTTTCCTCATCTTTATCAGCATCAGCTTTTTTAGGTGAAGAATCTGCCGCTGCAGTCTGAGTATCTCCTCCAGTAAGTTCAGCTGCTGCATCAATCATTTCAACTTCTTGAGGTTCGGCATTCTTTTTTAGATCATCCTTAATTGTTTTATTTATATTCAAAATATTTTTTTGAAATACTATAGCTGGAGTTAGATCTCGACTAGCATCACTATGCACACTTAATTCTTTCTCCTTGCGTTGTACAGTCAAATGATCTTTATCTTTTTCCCGTTCTTTATTTGCAGCCTCAGCAGCAGCCAACATTTGGGTTTGAACCTTAGAAATATATTTTAAAAACTTTTTAAAATTCAAAAAACCTCAGGTATAGACCATTCACCATTAACAGCTTCAAATTCCTGAACCTTTTTGCGTATTAGTGACATGATACCAATTCGAGTTAAAACTTGCACACGATTCAAGCCTTCACGTGGGACGCCATCATTAAAACACTCCTTAAAACAAAAACAAGATATTACTATGTCATAATTTCATGGTCAAAAAAAACAATCAATGACTGAAAGATTCTTCTTTAATTTCTGTTGACTATTTTAAAAAATTAACTAAACGCCACCAAAAATTTTCAAATTTAATAATTTGTGGGGAGGCAGGAAAATCCCCTGTTAGAATAAAATTTTCAAAGTGTTAAAATTTCTCACCTGAGAATCAGCTCCAGGCTCACAAAGATGCCGCATAAACAAAGAAGTATAAGCTTTAAAGGCCCTTTCAGATTTGCCTTTAAGATCACGAACTAGCCACTGTGATTGATAGGCATCATGAGGCGGCATTCCCCATCGCATTACTGCATTAAAGAAAGCTCTTCGTTGTCTTGGATTGAAGCCAAGAACTTCCAATTGTCCATTTACACGTGCCAATAAAGGAGGTAATTTTTCACCGTCGCGTTCACGTTTTCGCCGACGCTCTTCTCTAGCAGAATCAAAATCGTCTTCTCCACTTCCAGAACCGTCATGGTCAGAAACACCAGAAAACGAGTCTGAATAGTCTTGATCTCCTCCCGCAGGTGTTCCAGCTGATCCTGGCTGCCATTCTTGTTGTATTGCTTCTGTTGCATAATTAACTTGTTTGCGAACTCTTTTTCCTTTTCCGAGATGAGCTCTTTCAAGTTCCTGTTCTTGCTCAAAGTGATGTCTTAATAACTTCTCCCAATAGTCTGGATCAGCTTCTTGTACTGCTTCTTTAATTACTTCCGTTTCGTCTTCTTCTTCAGGCTCATCCTCCTTTGTTATATATGTTGCTACTTTGAACGAACTCAAATAATCGTTTGCCCAATCTTTTCTTTCGGGTTCGTCTGGTGCAGCTGCAGCAACTTCTTTTGTTTCATCCTCTGCTCGTTCAAGAAGTTTATCGACAGCATCATCATCCCAAACAATATTTTGCTCTGTTGATTTTCCTGCTCCGTCGCCTTGTTGTGCTTCTTCATCTTTGAATAATTCTTCAGTTCCCCAACGAAGAACATCATCCAACTCTGTCTTTGACATTGAAGGGCCTTTTTGACCTATTCCAGCACGAACAACAAGGTGGGTGAGCTAAAGATTATTTCTTGTAAGCTTTTAAAAATTAAAAAATTCAAACCATCATTTTCTTTTTTGCAACAGATGTTATACGTTCCTCCACAGAGTTGCGAGTTACAAACCGGTAAATCATTACTTTACGCTGCTGGCCAATTCGATGAGCTCTGCTAAATGCCTGAAATATTTGCGAAAATGGATCTATTATTTTAATAACTAAAAATTAACCTGAATGTCGTTGTGTGGATTCCAATCCGAATCATAAATAACCACAGTATCTGCAGTTGCCAAATTAATTCCTAAACCTCCAGCACGTGTTGATAAAAGAAAAACAAATTGTTGTGCACCAGCAGCATTAAAACGGTCAATAGCATCTTGACGACTTTGCCCGGTGATTGAACCATCAATTCTCTCATATTTATAACCAAGAAAATCCATCATATCTTCGAGAATGTCCAACTAAATTTTAAAAATAAATAATATTCAAAAAATGTTAAAAACCATTTTTGTCATTTGAGAAAAGATGAGTACACGATGTCCTTGTTCCTTCAAACGCTTCAACATTTTTTGTAAAAGAACAAATTTTCCACTATTTTTGATGAGTGCTTCTCCTTCATAAGCGCCAGTTGGACGTTTCGGTGCTTCTGAAAAAGAATTAAAATTAATGTTAGAAATTATGATAAAAATCAAACCAATTGATGCCTTCGGGAAAAGATATGGATGATTTGCACATTTTTTCAATTCCATCTAAAATGAGAATATTTCTAAAAAGAAAGATTTTTGCTAGATTTTATTTGTCTTAATTCTATTCATAAATAAAAAATATTAACTTCACATTGTCGTTAAAGATAAACCCTCACTGACAATTATAATATAAAGTTTGCAATTAACCATGATAAAACGAGAAATCAAACTTACAATGATGTTTAACAGTGACATTTGTGACCGTCCATTTTTAATGCTGAGGGCCTCAAAGTTCTTTGTAAGAATGTGTCGATAATATTTCCTGTTAGAAAAAATAAAATCAAAATAATCAAAAAAAATTTCTCACTTTTGTAAAGGACTTAATTCAACACGAACAATTAATTCGCTTTTTGAAGGCATTCCAGTAAGGACATCAGCTTTGAGACGTCGTAACATATGTGGACCGAGAAGTTGATGTAAACGTTGAATTTGGTCTTCTTTTGAAATTTCAGCAAATTCATGAGTAAAGGATTCCAAATCACTAAATTTCAAGAAAAATTTGAAAAATTAATATTTTAACATAAGTTAAACACAAAGGATTAAAATTTGAATAAAATTAGAAATAAAAATCTAAATCTAGGTAAACGGACTATTTCAAAAATCACTGGTATTAATCAAGAAAATAAATTTAAAAAACTAACTAGAATCGATCAGGGCTCAAAAAATTTAATAAATGGAACAATTCTTCCAAATTATTTTGTAGTGGAGTCCCTGTAAGCAAAAGACGATATCCAATATTAAACTCTCGAAGTGTTCTAAAGAACAATGATTGATTGTTTTTGAGACGATGGGCTTCATCCACAACAAGAACAGCCCAATCAATACTTGAGAGTATTGCTTTGTCAATATTTATTAACTGAAAAATCGAGGGAACGATAAAAATATTTAAAAGCAAAATAATTAACACCTCATAAGAAGTCAATAAAACATGGAATTTAATGCCTTGGTCTGTCCTCATCCTTCCAGCTTTTGTCCCGCCTCTTGTGGCCCCTTCAACAAAAGAGAATTCATGCTCCCTAAAAAAAGATTTTTAATTCTTTTAATTTTTAAATAAAGAAAAACCTTATAACAGTTCGACTGTCCTTGTCTCCAATATAAGTAACAACATAAAGATCAGGAGACCAAAATTCAGCTTCACGTTCCCAATTGATTAATGTAGAGAGAGGAGCTGATACAAGAAATGGCCCTTTGCTATGTCCTTCTTTGACAAGTGAATAAAGAAAAACCATCGACTGAAATTTTTTAATAAATTTTAAAAATTAACAAAAAATAAACATTTTAAGGGAAATAAAATTAAGACAAATAATCCAAAAAATAATAATTTTAATTTAAAACAAACCTGAATTGTTTTTCCCAACCCCATTTCATCAGCCAAAATTGCATCTATTCCATTTGACCAACAATGACGAAGCCAATTAATTCCTTCCATTTGATAGGCATGAAGATTGCCTCCTGTTTCGTTTACATATTCTGGCTGAGCTTCGTATTTCTTTTTTATCTTAAAAAGATTTTTTATTCAATTTAAACCAAAATATTTTAAGATTTTCTTACAAGAGACCAAAATTTAAAATAAATTACTTACATCGGTGCTCGGTTTATTTTCCCGCTTTTTACGCTTCTTCTCTTCATCTTCAAATGGAGGCAATCCTTGTTCAGCCCTTCTTTTATTTAATCTCTTTAAAATATATTTAGGCATTGTTTCCCCACTCATTCGTTCACTTAAAAATTATTTAAATTAATTTTTAAAAATTAAAACAAAATTACCGATGCACCCAATAGCGAAATATTGCATCTTCATACCCAGGAATATCAAAATCATCACGTTCCCATGTTGCTTGATCATATACCAATTCACGCCATTTAACCAAATAGTCGTATTGATTCTTCTCATAAGCCATGTGGTTAATTATGCGATGAACCTTAAAAAAGTTTATTTTTAAAAGAATTTTAAAAAATTTAGATGATGGAGCTGGTCCCTTCTTTTATTTTTTAAGTATATTAACCTGCATCCATTCAGGTTTGATTCCATAACGATAAAATTTCTGTTCCATATTATGCGGATCATCTTCCTAAACATATTAATTAAACATTAAAAATTTAATATAAAAACCTTTTCTTTATCATCTATTCTACCAGTTCGCATATCTTCAGTAGAGCCATCATCAACTTCAGGAGGGACTTCAGGATCCATTTTTCGCCAATACATACGTAGAGTTTGGGTGAAATGTAGTTCCAAAACTAATTCTTGAATCCATTCACAATGCCTAAAAAACAAATTTTTAAATGATTTTTTAAAATGATAAGAAAATACAGAAAACAATTGTCTACAGAATCACGGTTTGCCATGAATGCGGTTTGGTATAAATGCCAAAAATGGATGGGTCAAGAAGCTGTCTTAACAACAGGAATGGAAAAAATTCGAATAACATATAATTTGACACATTTTCGTCCTGTTTAGTATTCCTGAATTTTTCCGAAACGACATGTAGTCGTAAGCTTTCTTGTGCTCACAATCAAACGATAAGTAGAAACCCAATCCTTACCCAGAATCACCATTCTAAAAATAATTTAGAATATCAAAGTAAATACCAATAGCTCATATATTTCCATTTGACGAAAAATTCGCGCTCACGACGAGGCTTCATCTCTTTTTGAGGTCTTAAGAAACTAATCTTTCGTCGTTCAGGATCGTCGATATTCGCAGCATTTTCTCCTTCTTTAAGACGATCTTCTTCGGGTAACGGCTCTGGGTAAGCATATTCAATCCAACGCCAACTCAGCAATTTTTCAGGACGATTTTTTGGTTCAACACACTAAAATAATGTAGAAATAGACTATTGAACTAAAACATAAATTGTGAAAAAACGAAACCTGACAACGCGGACATATCCAATCTTCATGCTCATTTGGCAATTCTTTCAGTGGAGGTGACAAACAATAAGCATGGTACGAGCTTGGGCAGCGTTCACAAGTCAATAGAAAATCGCGTTCCTAAATATTTAAAGTCAAATAAAATTTAAAAATCCAAAAAACTCACAGAACAAACTCTACAAGTATCCATATTCCCTGGAGTCGCATCCGCTGCTGCCTCATCTCTTGAAGGAGGTCCATTTTGCTCACAATGTGGACAAGACCAGAATCCTTCTGGAGGTTCCTCCAAGTCTTGATCATAGCAGACCAAGTGGTAAGCACGTGGGCAAGTGTCACAAAGGATTATTTCACCTCCTTGTTGACATACTTCACAATAATCTTGGTGTTCTTGCTGAAGATTCATTTTTTATTAAAAAATTCTAAAATTGAAAGATCAGGCTCTATATGAAATGAGTAACGAGATCGCATTTTCCCTTACTTTCACATATGGTCATTTTTCCTTAGTTTGTAATGTCTGTTGATTTTAGCCAAAAGCCGAAAATGGAAAAAGGGGAAAAATGAATAAAATGGATACACAAAAATATCAAAGACAGTATTTCCCTTTTACTTATTTCACAGTGTGTGTACTCTTTTATTTGCAATAGGTTTACTTATTCCAGAAATTTTGTTGGGAAGGAATAAGGAACTTTATTCACCCAGTTAACGGATTTTAAAGTTTAAAATGTAGAGCTTGGTATTGATTCCATAGGGACTGATACTTTTTCCATTTTAGTTGAAATAAACAGAAGGTACCAAAAACAGAAGGTTCTTTTTGAGTAACTAAATCTACAACGAAATCGAAAAAAATCAATTCATTTTCAAAAATCGATCCAAAAATCGATCCTTTTGGCCAATTCGAGTCGGTCCAAGTCCCGTCACACATTTCATATAGAGTCAAAAAACCTGTGGATTATCTCCATCTTCCCCTCCTTCGCCTTCCTCCTTTCGCCGTTTAACTTTTTGTTTCGATTCTTTAGCCTTCCTAGCTGCGGCACGTTCTTTTTTTCGTTCCTCCTTTGCTCTTTCCTCCTCATCCAATTGCCGTTCATGTTCTTTTAGAAGAGATTCAAATTCTTGATCAGAGTTAACTGAAAATTCAGAAAAGTAAAAACATTTCTAAAAATCAAAATCACTCACGTTCTTCTTCAGAATCGTCATTTCTTCGCTTCTTTCTCGTTGAAAGGCGAATTTTCAAAGGAGCAACCTTCTCAACTTTATCAAATTGTCCAGAAGAACCAGCACCAGATGAAGTTGGTTGCAAATCCTTAGAAGATGCTGGAGTTGAAGTAGATCCAGGAATTCGGCCAACTTTCTTACTAGCTAATTGTCTACCACGTCCAGTTAGCATGTTCTGAAAATTTAAATATAATTTAAATACAGGATTTAATTATTCCTGAATTTTATAGTTACAACAAATTTTAATCTTGGGTTTATTAAATAGGACACCCGGTCACAAAAATATTTAATACCCTCCTTGCGATTCCACATTGTGGGTTCCTCGAAAAACAAGTCACCTAATAAACTTTTCGGCTATATCTGATTTGTAAGACCAAGCTAAATTTCTACAATTTTCAGCGCTGCAGGCGACAACTTAGGGGATTGTAGGTGAAAAAATTGGCAATCCAGGAGAATTGGGGTCCCAGCGGGAAAAAATCTTAAAAATAAGAAAAATGATTTTTCTAGGGTAAAAAAGTACGCTGATTACGAATCTGAACTCAGATTTTGAAAAAGTCGAATCCGAACCCGAATATAGGTCCTCGAATATCGAAAACCCATAGGGGGGACCAAGCTGATTTGGGGTGAAAAATTCGAATATGCAAATTATACCTCATTCGAAAGAGCTCTTCAAGCTGAGTCGAATGACACCGAAATTACCGTGATTGAACAAGATCGGACGAAGTTATACCACAAAAAACAAACAACGTAGGCCTATGTTTTTTGTGTAATATCTTCGCCTGATCTTGATCAATTGCAATGATTTTGATGTCATTCGACTCAGCTCGTCTAGCTCTTTCGAATGAGATATTATTTGACCAATTTACGCTCTGTTTATTTTTCGAAATTTATCCCAAAATGTCAAATATCCGAATTTCGGGTTCTGGACTCCTTTCAGATAGGGCCAACTTTTCAGATTAATCAAAATTCATTGACCTGGTACTCGTTGTATTTCGCCACCATTACAGCATTAATACGTGCCCAACTCGCTGTTGGATTCATATCTTGGAATTGTTGTCGATAGCGAGCATTGAAGGACTGAAAATCAAAAATTATTTAAAATTCAAAACTCCCTTAAAAACCTTTCCAGACGAAATACTTTCAAAGTCCTCCTCATTATATTCAAATTGTACATCAATTAGCCCGAGCATTTGACACAAATCGGCGCTGCTGTTTGCATGAGGGTCTGGAACTTGTTCTCGGTTAGGCCCCAAATTTTTCTTTTTAGTTTTCCGTCCCCTCTTTTTGTGGCCTTTCTTTGAGTGGTGATGTGAAGAAGAAGAGGCAAACTCTTTAAAAACAATTTTTTAATTTTAACTCGACCAAAAAATATTTTTAAACGAAATTACCAGCTTCTCCAAAAGCAGATTCCCCCATTCCTTCCATTCCATAATTTCCACCTTCAAAGCCTTCCTCCTCTTCGTCTTCTTCCTCTTCTTGCATAGAATCAGCTTGCGCTTCGTCTACATTTTGTTGTCCTGTTGTATCCAAATGGTCGTCGTCGGAAGACATTTTTTAATATTTAATTGGAATGAATCAAAGAATATTATCTGCAAAAATAATTAAAATAAATGTACAGATTATTTTAAATCCGTTCTCGTCCAATACAGACACATAAAAATCAGTTTTTCAACACAAATAGCAAATGTACAAATAAGTATAAGTGAGTGAGAGTATATATCCCCATGTTTTGTTCCTTCATTTTTTGCCCACAAATTTACGAAGGTCCAACTTCTCAAGGTCCAACCCGCAATCATTTTTAGAAAAAATTTTTTTAATTTTTATATGTAAGCTCGAGACTTAAATCCCAAAAGTTATTAAAAATGGTAAAAAATTGTTTTTGGAAAGTTCTTTAAAGATTTATCAAAGTCGCGTTTTGAATGTGAAATGAGCGTGGACGCCATTTTTCTACACACAAATATACAAATATACAAATGAATAAGTATGTATGAGTGTATATTGAAGCTCAAAAGAAATTTTAATCAATAATCCATTAATTTTAATACAGGGCTCTCATTCGTACTTTATTTGAAAGTATTATACTTTAAAACCGACCTCCATACTTACGAAATTGAATTTATACTTTATTGAAAGTATATACTTTAAAATCAACATTTTGGATTGAAAATGAAATTGGGGAAGGGATTGGGCAAAAAAGTGAATTTTTTTGGCCTACGGCCTTCAAAATTCTCAAAATTTTCGCCTGCGGCGCAAGAAATGGAAGACTTTTTGCGCCTTCGGCGCCACAAAAAAATGCACAAAATGCTCAGTAGGAACAAGAAATTATTAGAAAAGATTCATTTAAAAGAGAAATATAAAACATTTGAGCACGAATAAATATTTTCTAATTTTATTTTGACTATACTTTTTATTTGCAAATTTTCTCCCTATATACTTTTTTATCGAGATTTTGATACTTTTGAGTGGCATTTTGTCGATGAGAGCCCTGTTTTAATATCTTCTATAATATCTTTGTTTCGTTTCCAGACTCTAATGAACAATTTATTGACCTTCTCTCATTACTTTAAAAATACGGTATTGCAGTACTTTAGTTACTGTATTATGTAAAATAAAAATTCTCTCTCTCTCTCTCATTGTCAAAGTCTTATTAACATTTTTTTAAATCCAGTCAAAATAAAAATTGCTATCAATTATCAAGTTTGTGTTAAAATAGATATTTTATATTTTAAAATAAATTTAATCAATGCTAGATACTGGGCATTTGTTGGCTCCATCTCGGGGTTTTCATAATCCTAGCTCCAGCTCCGGAGCTAGCTCCTTTAGCCATACCCAGCATCTCTCTTCTCTCAATTAATTAAATATTGAGTATACCCAAATCTGAAAATACAAAATATTTTAGTCAGAAAAGGAGGTTAATAATTAATAACCGTCATGAAATCGTGTATCTTCTTCGAAACGTGAGTAACCACGTCTATAGTTTAAATCATCGTGATCTAGTTTTGTAAATATATTTTTGTTTAATAATTAATTAAAATTTTAATTTTTAATTTTTAAATATTCTGATTTATTCAAAATATAAATATTCAGAAAGGTTGGAAAAACATTTTTATTGGAAATTCTGATTTTACTTAAAGTTTAACAATTACCTCCTTTATGTTTTTCATTTCTTTTATTAATGTTTTGTGTATGCCCTTCAGGCAAATCTTTATTTATTTTTAAACTTGATTGTTGATGAACAAAAAATGTTAGGAATATTAATAAAAATAATATTTTTTGGGGTTTTAAGGGGAGAATACTCATTTTCACAAAAATTCTTTAATTAAAATTTTTTGATTTGACTGGGTGATCTTTAAGAGAAAAAAACATTCACGAATCGATTAACAATATTAATCAACAACAAATTTTGTTAAGATTAATTTGAAAAATAATACATATTTAGTTTGAAATAAAATGTTTGTAATTTTTTTGAAATTTATTGGTAGAAGTTGCGAGTAATTTTAAGAGAAATAGGACCAAAGTGTTTAGAAAAATATTTTACCCCCTAATGTAAAAGACCTATTAGGTATTTAAATGAGTAGATATGCGCTCTAACTTTATATTTTCTAGTCGTTAAATTTTTAATTAAAATTATAGAAATTAGTATTTCGTTATTTCAACGCTATTTCAAATTACGTTAAAAATTTATTGCTCTCAAAGGGTATCTTTTGATTTTAAACATCTAAAATTAACTATCTACTTATGCAAGTAAAATAAACCATTTATACAACATAAAATACAAAGAAAAATTAACAAAAGGCAATAATACATACATACAATCTCATACAATTAAAAACACAATACAAATAATCACAACAAAACAAAATTACATCATTCCAGGTCCTAGGATTTCAAAAAAGAACGGTTCTTTAGAGCCAAGTTGGAAGCACACATACAATATCCCGCTGTCCCTCGGATCATCTACTCCATCTAATTTGTACTCAGCAACTTTGCAAAATTCTTCAACATCCTCTCCGATAAAATGACGTTCTTCATCTTTTATCATTTCGCCGCGCATGTTCCAGTCAGGATATTGGTAATAGAAGCCTTTAGATCCATGAATAACCACATGATGGTACATAAATTGATATCCTTTAGGGAAATATTCCCCTTCTTCATCATAAAGATAGAAACAGTTTGTGTGGAATTTCAACGGAGAATCGCCAAAAAATAATTGAAAAATTTCCGGATTGATATATCCTTGCTCGATTTTGAAGTTTTCAATGAAGCAATTTGAAAGTTTTTCCAACCAGTAACGAAATACAAGCATTTCTTCTATTGTTTCTGGGTATTGGTGTAATTTTAATCGAAGAAATTTAGGCGATTGTCCACCTAAAAATTAAATAAAAAATTTTTAAAAAGTCGAGAGAAGCTTCAAAAACTCACCAGATTCTTTCGGTACCAAAAACAAATAGGCAACTTCATTCATTCCATAATCATCAAGTGCCACATCAAATTTTTTCCGAGGAGAGTAGCTGGTGAAGTAGAAGTAAAGTGGAATCCGTTCTTGAATTGCTGCTTTCCACTGAAAAAGAAAATTATCAAATTTGTAATTAAGGGAACATTCAATTTACCTTTAATTTAGTCTCCTCACTTAGCTCCAAGTCCAATTCATTAGGTCCACCATACTCCACCAAATCCTGACAAACATCTGTAAAAACATTAATTTTTATTAACTAACAATCAGAAAAAACCTACAATTTTTCCAAACAATCAACTCAACAGAATAAAACACTTTTATTGTAGCCAATTCTTTGTTGTATTTGACGATCACTTCAGAAAAACGGCGATTTGATAATTGGCAGTTGTTTATTTGGTTGAAGTTGAGGCATTTGAGGATATCAAGGTTTGTTTCAGCGGGTAGAAGATTCATTGTTGTTTGTGGAGCGGATGAAGAGAAGTTATTTACTAATAAAACTTTAGACTTTTATACTATATTTTCATAAGCTTGTTTGTTCTTGGATTTGTTAATTCGGTGACTTCTCTCATCGGAAGAATGAGATAAAGTACGTATACACTGCGGTGTAAAAGATTCTCACTTTTCTTTAGAAACTTTAATCACAGATATGGGAGGTGTAAGAGTCGTTTTGATCGTACGTGTACTTGGCCTGTCTTATTTTCTCGTATTCACTCGTACAGCCATTCTTTACCTCGTACAGCACTTGACTATATTTCTGTTCCTACTCGTACTTCTAATTCCACTTTATTAATCAAACAAAATTTTAATTTATTTAAAATTTAATTTATTTTTTCCCTTGATGATATTACTACATATATGTATTATTCTTCATTTTGAAAAAAGAAACAGATTTTTAATTTACTGAAGAAAATATTTATGAAAAAAATTTTTCGAACTCGGATAAATTAAAAAATAAACGAACATTGAAAAACAAAAGGTAAAAACAGATTGCTTTTAATTTTTCAAAAATAACTGATTTTTTTTAATTTTTACAAAATTCTGATCTATCCAAAGTTTAATTAATTATTAAAAAAAGGATTTTATTTTTTCTTTGATTTTATCTTCTACATATAATAAAAAGTACAATAAACTTGTTTGAGTATATTTTCCTTAAACAACTTCTTCAGGATATTTTTTATTATAAGAAAAAAAGCTTAATGTAAATATAAGAACATTAATTTCTAGTTTTTATTTATCTTCAGTAATAATCTCTAATTTTTTACTCATCCAAATTATTATAAAATGGAAAAATAAAATTAGAATTTTTTAAAATATTTTACTAAAAAATAATTACCGTATTTCCTATATTAGAGCCCCACCCTCTGTTAGAGCCCCACCCTTTAATACAGCCCCACTTTGGAGGGTAGTTGAAAAATAGAGCCCCACCCTCAATTAGAGCCCCACCCCTAATACAGCCCCACCTAAAAATATTGGAGGAAAAATAAAAAATATCCCAATAATTTTTAAGATTATTAAGAGTTAAGGAAATAAAGGGCCATGGGGATATAAGGATTAAGGGAAATATGAGGGATTAACTAAGGGGAAAAGGAAGAGATATAGTGGGTATTCCTTTTATCCCCGATAGATATCCCTTATATCACCGATATCCCTCTTCACAAAAAAATCCCTTCATATGCCTACTAATACCTCATTCAAAATATCACTCTTAACCCCGCTAAATCTCTCAATATAAAATTAATCCTCTGATATTCCCCATAATCCCTTAAAATCGCTTGTATACCTATATATGATCCATCAATGTCAAATACAAGTCCCCTAATATTCCCTTTAATCCGTCAAAATCTACAAATATTTTATAATTAATCTTACCCTCATTGAACTATTGCGATTATTTCGTTACTCATTGCTTATAAAATTTTAATTTTTTTGAAAAATTGAAAAATATCGATTGTCTTTCGATATTTTTTGGTTTTATCAACCAACCCCTCCGGCCTATCTCTAGTTGCAATGGATATAATAAATGGGATTCTATCTCAAAAGAGGGTTGAAAAATAGAGCCCCACCCTCAATTAGAGCCCCACCCTTTAATACAGCCCCACCTTGGAGGATAGTTGAAAAATAGAGCCCCATGGGGCTCTAATATAGGAAATACGGTATTTTAGAAGAAATGTCCTCCTCCTCCCCCTCTTTACCCAAAGGGACAATAACAGCAGCTACAACATTCTCTTTAATCTCTTTTCTGGCTTTACTCATAGGTGTTCCTCTACTTATTAATGATTTAAATGAACTTGAAAATTTAATGGCACATCAAAAACAAATTTATATGGATATGGTGAGGAGAAAAAAATTGAAAAAAATATTTTTATATTAATTGTGTTTCTATTTGTTTTTAAAATAATATAATTAGGAGATGGGATATCCTCCCATTTTCTTTTATCTTCAACCATTTTAAAATTAATCCGGGAAATACAATAATCAATTGATAATTAGAATCATCCAGAAATAAATTCAAATTTCCAGAAATGTTTAAAAGAATTTCTGGCATTTAATGACGAGGAACAATTTTATATTGTGAAGGATAGCTTTTAATTCCACCTTAATTTCAGAGAGATAATATGTGGAAAGAAGTTATGAATCAGAAGGAAACTGTACGTAAACAACGTTCTGCTGATTATGAACAAATACGAATTCGTCGACAATGTTAATTAAAGATTAAATATGTAAAATTAGAAACTCTTTAGATGATTCTGCCGTAAAGGGAGGGTCGTCTCAATCTAGCCAATGCCCAGCAGGTCCTAAAGGTCCACCCGGATTTAAAGGCCAGCCTGGTAAACTAAAAATTAATTAATTAATGGAAAAAAGAATTTAATAGGATTGGATGGTGAACCTGGAGCCGCAGGTTTGCCCGGAGGCGGTGCTGGTGCAGGTGGTGCTGGTGCTGAAGGAGGGTATGGACAAGCTGCACCAGTTGCCCAAACTTGTGGGAAATGGTTAGTTAATTGTATTAAGTCTTCAAAAATAAATTATTTTTCAGCCCAGCGGGCCCACCAGGCCTTCCTGGATATAAAGGCAAACGTGGACCTCGTGGAGAAAAGGGAGCAAGAGGAACGCCTGGGTCACCTGGACGAGATGGCCATCCTGGTTTAATATAAAGTATTTTGAATTCCTTTACAATTTCTAAAGGCGATGAGGGACCCGAAGGAGAAATTGGACTACATGGAGATATTGGAGACTCGGGTCCTAAAGGTCCTCCTGGAGAAGATGGAATTGGCTACTCAAAAGGAGCACCCGGTCCAAAAGGCGAGCCTGGAGTGCCTGGAATGGTTGGAGATGAAGGACCTCCAGGAGATAGAGGAGATGATGCACCGCCTGGTAATGAATAAATAAATATTAATATAATTTATATTCATTTTTAAGGTCCTCAAGGCGAAATTGGACCAGCAGGATCGCCTGGTGAGGGAGGCAAAGATGGGCATCCTGGAACAAACGGAAATGGAGGGTCGCCAGGTTTTTCTTCTGAGTGGGGAATTTTCAAATTTAATTATATTTAGGTGCTGATGCTGAATATTGCCCTTGTCCTGCACGTTCAAACGGTCAAAGTCCGGGAAAGGGGCAATATGACACCCAACCAGCTCCACAAAGCGCAGGAGCAACCGTTGGTATGTTCCTTCATTTAAATTTAATTCTCTAATTAAATTTCTTTTTAAGCCGCTCCAGCTCAGTCCCCGGCACAAACTGTATCTTCTTATTCAAACACGCGTCGCCTCGCGACATATAGCAAACTTGCTCATGCTGCTGCTTTGCGCCGAAGACATCTTCAATGAGAATAGAAAGAATAAAATAATTAATTAAATAGAACGAGAAAAATAATACTTAGAAAATATGTAAAATTATTAGTTAAATATTCATGAAGATACATGAATAAAGACTATGCTTTGATAAGCGAATTCTGATTATAACAGTATTTTTACTGCTAGCAAATTCTGATTTTATATTTTTATATAAACAATTAATTTGTTTCAGAATTTAAATTTTATATTTGTTCTTGAGGTTGTTTTTGTACTGCTAGCGTGAGCTTTGGTGAGTGGGATCTGGGAGAACGATGGTGGGCGCGACTGTAGTAGTAGCTAGGAAAGAGCATGCCTAGCTTGCGAACAATGTTGTACTAAAAATTAAAAGAAATATTTCCCAAGCATTTTAATAAAAAATTTTGCCTGATCGGGAATTTCAAGCAGGGAGTTGATAGCAAAAGACAATTCTTTGGAAGAGGATTGTTGATTCATATTTTCATCAGTGAAGAGTGAATGAAATTCAACAAAGTGAAAATTGTCCCAGGGTCGTTTTGGCAAGGACTCATCGAAGACCTTAAAAGTATAAACGGAAACTAAATTTAAGATTTTTCCTGAGGGATGCTTATTTGAAATTCTGATTTTTGGAATATTAAAAAATAGATTTTGCAAGTTCAGAAGTTTGTATAGAATTCTGATTTTCAGAACGTCTTCCTATAATATTTTTATTTTTCGTATGTTCAAAATTCTGGTTTTAGATAAATCTTAATTTTTCTTGAAGATGTTTTTCTAGTAGTTTCATTTCAGAATTATGCCTTTATTAAATTCTGATTTTTAAGAAATGTTCTGATTTCGCCCGAGTATTCCCACCTTCATCATATCCCATGGTCCATCCCCAACACCGACAACAATTATTGACAAAGGATATTGACAGGCAGCAACAATAGCTTTACGTGTTGCCCTTTCATTAGTTACTTGCCCATCAGCAATAATTACAAGAATGTGGTACTTAAAATTAATTTAAATATTTTTTAAAAAATTATTTTCTTTCTAACATCCTTCCTCGCATAACAAATTTCCATTGAGCGATATATTAATGGAGCAAAATTTGTAGGGCCACTGAGATCGACTTTTGGTGTTACTTGATTGTATATTCTTTGAGAAAGAAATAAAAACTTATTATTTTTCCATAAATCACCTCAAAACATCATCCAAATCATTACATTCCCCCTCTGTAGTTCCATTCAAAGAAAATACAGACCAATCCCCAGTACTAGCATCTCCAAATCCAAAAGCGGGAATTCCATATTGTGTACCGGCAAAAGGGGCCAATGTCCTCCCCATTATTTTTATAACCTTTAAAATATTTTAAAAATTTTCTAAATTAATTTATATACTTGTTGGTAAGGATTTTCAATTCCTTTTTCATCCACAGAATGGAGTGAACGTCCATTAAATGACCTTTCACCTTGATATTTATTACTTGCTGTGTAGTCAATCCCTTTAATATTTATTTTTACATAAAGAAAATTCTGATTTTTTTCAGAAATGTTTTTTTTCAGAAATTCTGATTTTTCTAAAAACATTATTCACCAAATATCAAGTTTGATGATTCCAACCCAGCTTTACGCATAGCTTCTGATAATGCTTCCAAACTCTGTAATTTTAACAGCATTTCTTGTGTGCTTGTAACACCAACAACACTCAATAATGAACTTTGTCTAATTGACTAAATTAAAAATTTAAATTTAATTTTTATTTAAAAATTTCTGATTTTTTTTCTAAATTTTTTGTCAACAATCCCATTTCACTCTAAGAGAACTAAGTAAAAGTGTTTTCTCTTTATTTATTTACTGAAAATCGAAGAGTTGTCACCGTTGTATCTAGCGATGAAGTTGAATCATCAGTGAAAGTACTTCTTAAAAGAAATTGTGGTGCCTGGGGATTTTGTTTTTGATCTGGATATATTTGTTGTTTTTGTTGTTGATATTCTGGTGGGTGTGGGGGTAAAACAATTATTTGTTCGTTTTGTTTATTTAATTGTGTGTTTTGATTGAATATTTGTTGTTGATGTTTCTATAATTTAAATTATGTTTAAAACATCTAAATATGTTTTGTTTAAATCAATGTTTTGTTAAAAATAAGTGTTTGTATTTTTTATTTGTTTGTAAAAACATTTTTAAATTGTAAATAAAACAAGCTTTTTAATTATTAATCCCCTCTTAACAAAATGTTTTGAAACTTTTTTTGGTAATTCTGATTTATTTTTGCTTTGATTATTCGAATTATTTTAATTAATTTATTCTGAAACAAAAATATTATTTTTTACCTTCTCTTCTGTTTGCCCAACAAAATTCTTAGAATCTTCTTCTAACTAAAAATAAATATTTTGACTAAAATAATTTATTTTAAATTCTCTACTTTTTGTTGTTTCAATATTTCAGCCATTTCATTATCTTCAAAATGTAAAGAAGTTCTTGGAGGTTTTGGAGGGGGAATTTGTGGTTGTTGTGGCTCAGACAGTTGCCTTTTTAATTCTAAATTCGTTGTTGTAACCCCTCCTCCTCCTCCCAATTCTTGATGTTCAGAGAAATTTTCATCAACCAAATTTAAAGAATCTGCTTGGCTTAATTGGTCTGGTGGTATCTTTAATTATTTTTTTAATTAAAAATATTAATTTTTAATTTCCCTACTTCCATTGATTGTATTTCAGGTGCGTGAGTAACATCATCATCTCCGTCTTCAAAAAGAAGTATTGGGTCGGGTTTATCAAAAACTTCATTTGTAACTATTTGTTTACTAGTCCCATCAGCACCTGGAGTTGAACCACCAGCTGATTCAGCCAATAATCCTTGTGGGGATGAAGGACTTAGGACTGCCATTGCTGTTTTGTTTTTGTCTATGTCAGTCAATTCCTTTAAATGTTTACAAATAAAGCAATGTTTTGAAGGGAAAACAAAAATGTTTTCCATTAAATATTTTCCGGAAAGATTAAAATTAATATTTAAATTTAATTTCTTCCTCTAGAAAATTTCCAAAAAAACACCTTTGACGATTTTCTTCCAAAAACTGGAGTTCCTTTTTGTCTTGAATGTATTATTACAGGGGGACCCCCAGGAATTTCTTCACTCTCCAACATTTCTTCTTCCATAACAAATTCCCCTGATTGTCTTAATGATATCCTTTTTTGTTGTTTTTGTTGTTGCTAATTAATTTAGAAATTTAAAAAAAAGTTATTAACAAATACTTGTTCTCTCAAAGGTAAATGACCTTCTTGTTGTTGCATATAATCTATTGCTTCTTGTAACAGGGATTCTGCTGTTTGTTGTTTAATAGGCGATGTTGGGGGTTTTGTTTGTGGAGATTGTTGTAAGTAAGTTGAAGCAACTTGAGAGTGAGAAGAAGGAAAAACAACTAAAAAGAATGTTTGGAGAAAATCAGAATTAAAGTTTTCCGGAATGAGAACTAGTGTTTTCCGGAAATACTCAATTAATATTTAAAATAAAATCAAAAATTGTATTTTCTGTATTAAAATCAGAATAAACAAATAATTAATAATTTTCTGGAATTATCAGAATTTACTAACCCGTCGCCAATTTTTGTTGTTCTAAACTTTGTTCTGATTGCTGTTTTTGTTGTTGGATGTTTAGATTAATTTCTGCTGTTTCAATTATTACAGTATCATCTGTTTGTGCTGTTTCTTTTTCAATTGGAGACTGAGGAAAGCTGATTATATCGAAGCCTAAAGAAGCTGGGGATTCTGGGATGGAAATTGAACCGCCGGGTGCTTTAATAAATTAATTAAAATTTATTTTTTAAAAGAAATTTTTTTCTGAAAAATCAGAATTTTATTTAAACAAATTTTACTTTGTTTAGCTGATTCTGGTAAAGAAATAATTTCCTCTTCCCTCGTTGTTTTTATTTTTTTAGAATGTTTTTGTCGTTCTTCCTCAACCTGTTTATGTTTTTCTAACTCGATTGTTGCAGTTGTTGGGGTTTCATATTCTTGCAGTAATGCTGCTACTTGTTTTGCTTCCTCAGCATTTAGAGGATGGTGCTGCTAAAATAATTAAAACTTTTGAAATTATTAAAAATATTTAGTATTTTTGTATTTGAAATTAATTGGAAATAAATTCTATAAATTTTTCAGAATAATAAATATTATTTGTTTTCCGGAAAAAAGAATAAATAATTTCTGAAAGAATTAAAAGTTTTCCGGAATATTTTTATTCGAACATTTTGTTGCTGTTTTTGTTGTTCCTGAATTTTTGTTGTTTCCACTTTCTGATATTGTGTACTCCCTCTGGGCACAAATTCAATATCATCTGCAGTTGTACTCATTCCATCTCCATCCCCGTTATTAGAAAATAAAGAAATTCTGATATTTGTTTGTCCTTCCCTTCCCTCATCATATTCTTCTTCTTCATCTGTTGTTATACTTCCGCCACTTTGTGGAGATATTAATGGTTGTTGAAGAAGTAAATAAGGTTGGGGAGGAGGTTGTGAGGGAGGGGGAGAATGTTTAGATTGGTGTTGTTCTTGTGAGACTACTACAACTGATGCTGGACTTGTAGTAGTTAGTGGTGGGGGAAGTGGAGGAAAACAGGCATCTTCTTTAAAAATATTTTTTTATTAAATTATTTTTCCTAAATTCTTCAAAAGAAAAAAAATACCATTTTTAACTTTATTTTTAGTCCAAAATGAAATACAACGTAATAATAAAGCATCCCGTTTTTGTTTAATTTTACAAGTCATTTTTGTAAGGGAATAGAAATTTTTAAATAAATTTTAAAAGAAATATATTAAATAAAATTTAATTTTTGACGATTTTTTGTGTTAATTAAAAAATAAATAAAAAAAATATTTTATACATATATTTATCCACCTTAAACAATTTATTTTTGATTGGATGGCAGGGGAAAGCACGATGTGGTGACAATTGTGGAAAAATTCCTTTAATTTTTTCTTCTTTCCTAAATTTTCTCTCCTTTATCCCTCCAATCTTTTCTTAAAAACTTTTTTACGGTCATGGGAATATTTATAGGTTAGTGATTAATACTTTTATTTAATTTTATTTACTTCATCTAACTATTTAATTAATCCATAATTTATGTCATTTGACTAATTGCTTGGATTTTTTAGAGAATTTAAATTTAATGATTTATTAAAAGCTAAAATTAAATTAAGAAATAAATTAATTAAATTTGGTAATTTAATATTTTCGGAAATGATCAGAATTTATTTTTCCGAAAATTTAAATATTAAAAATAGATTACTGTATTTCCTAAAATGAAGCCCCAAGCTGGATTAGAAGCGCCACTTTGGAGGAGTTGAAAAATAGAGCCCCAAGGCGCTTTATTTTAGGTAAATACGTAATATATTTCGGAAAAGTTAAGAAAGAATTGTTTCAGGAAAATTAAAATTCTGGAATCAATATAAAAGAATTTTTAAGTTCAAAGGAAAATAAAAATAATAGAGGCTTTGCTTCAGGTTTCATAAGAGACAATTTTGAATGTTTAGTGAAAATATTTTAATTGAATATTTTAATAATTTTTTAAATTATTTTAATTAAAAATAAACTAGCCTTCACTTCCAGGAAAACCAATTTTAACAAATTCATTATCATCGCTGCTAGAAGAATCTTTCTTTAAAATAGGCCCTCCTCCCCCTCCTCCCTCCTTTTCTGCTTCTTTTTGTTTATTTAATAATTCTTGTTGTTGCTGTTCAAGCTTTAACAAAGCTGTTGTGGATGAACGACGGCGTAATTCTCTAACGACAATTGAAGCAACATGGGAATCTAATTGACGAGCCAAATGTTGTTGAATGTCCTTAATTTGTATATTTTTAATTAAATAAATTGCTTCAAGTTTTTTGTTCCGCTTAAGTTAAATTAATAGGTATTTAAAGCTTGAATATTCTGATATGTTTTGTTTCAAGTTTATAATGCTTCAATTTTAACTAATTTTTTGGAAAAATAAATGTTTTCTGGGGTTTCCGGAATTAAAACTTTTCTGGAAAAACATAAGTTTCCGTTTAATTTATTTTGCTTCAAGTTTTAATTAATAAAACTTTTAAATGTTAATAATATGCTTCAAGTTATTTGTTTAAAAAATATTTTAATTTTGCTTCAAAAAGAAATAATTTTGAAAATTAAAAGAAAGGACTTGTGGAGCCCCAGTTTCTGCCAATCCTTCATCAATATCACTTCTATGTTTATCTTGTAACACAGCCGTAACTGTAGCGGGATCAAAGCCTCCTTTGCCTATTTCGTCCAATTCTGTTAATAATTTTTGGGTTAATTGATCAGCCATTCGACGATAATGTGCTGCAAGTTCTGGTAATTTTTGAATTAAAGGAACACCATCTTGGGGCTTTAAAAGTTTAAAAAGAAAATATTTTAAATTAATTTTCTTTTCTCGAATTTTTTACAGTGCTAGTTGGTGTTTTGCCTGGCTCTCCATATTGGGAAGATTTAATATTTAATTGACTAGAAAAATAAAAATTAAAATAATTAAATTTTATAATTACTCAATTGTTGTAGTTTGTGACCCCCTTTCTGTCTCCCTTTCTGGAATATCCCACATGAGGGGAACTGATTTCATTTCAACTTGGCGTTCAAGTTTATGTTGAAAAGTTTGTTGAGGAATGCTTAAAATGGAAAAATCAGAATTAAAAACACAATCCGGAAAAATAATTAAATTCTGATTTTTAAAAGAAAATAAATTAAAGAAAAATCAGAATTTTGAGAAAAACAAGGTTTAAAACTCTGAAAAATCAGAAATTCTAAAAATACATATTTTCTGATATACGGAAAAATCAGAATTTTTATTTAAAAATCATTTTGTCTGCTCCTCTATTTATTTCTTTCTTAAAAATTACTTTTTTTCCTTTTGTAAATTTTGATTTTCTTGTAAATATGTGGAATCTCTTCCTTCCTCAGTTAATAAATCGTCCTCATAAGTAAAACGTTCTTCTTGTGTTTTACCAAAAGGAGTGGAATAAATTGGGGAAGGAATTTGTTGTTCTTGTTGGGGTTTCTAATTAAAAAATGAATGGTAAATTAATTTTTTTTTAATTTTTTGGACCTCCAAAACTGTTGGTGCAGTTTCTGTGGAGGTAGAGGCTATTGTTATTAAAGGAGCCATACTTTGTTGTTCCATACTTGTAGTGTCATCAATTTGTTGTTGGGTTACTGTATTTTACAAAAATTATTTATAATAATCCGGAAATAAAAGAGTTTAACTTAACGAAAAGAATCCGGAAATTAAAATTAAAAAGGAAGAATCAGAAAATATTTTCCAGAAATATGTACAATAAAATAGAAAATCAGAATTTTGTTTAGAAAAAAAACACATTAGGAAAATACAATCAGTAAAACATTCTGGAAATATAATCCGGAATTTATTTTCCCTTACATTCTGTGGGCTCTTGAGAAGCAGCACGGAAACGTTCCTGTTCAAGTTTATGTACCTCCGCCTTCCAGGCCATTAAAGCATTTATTTCTTCTGCACTCAATTTACGTTTTGAGCTGCTTTTTCTCTCAGTTCTGGCCTTTAATTAATTTTTATTTTTTCCCTCTATCAATTATTTCTCAACCTTTTGTTCAACTTCTTTACTGGCCATTTCCAAAATTGTTTCAGCAGAAAAATCTTCTTCCTCTTCAGACGGCAATTTTAATAATTTTTTCTTTTCAGTTTTCTCTTTCTACAAAAAAAATTTTTTTTTAATTTTAATTCTTTAAAAACTTCGTCTTCGTCTTTTTCTCCATGATTTCGACGTTTATTTGCTTCTAAATACCAGAAGAAGAATGCTGCCAACAATAAAGTTCCAATGCCTATACAGGCACGGCTAAACATACTTAGCCCGAATAATACGACGACAGGCAAAGCCTTGTCTTCACTGCACTCTTCCCATTCACTAAAAATTTAAATCAGAATTTTAAAAAAAATCAGAATTTATAATTAATTAAAATCAGAATTTTTATTTATTTAAAATCAGAACAACTATATAAACACTCTAATATATATTTTCCGGAAAACACAAATTACCTAACCCCCAACTGTTACTTTAAATTGATTTCAAAAAAGAACACAAACATACTATAATTAATTATTAGTGCTCAAACAAAACAAAAAGTTTTTAATAAATGTTTTAATCAATAGAAAAATGTTTTTAAAATTATTTATTAATTAAAATAACACACTCTGGATCATAGCCAAGTTCTGGGGAATAGACCATTTATTGGCTGGAATTGATCCAAATAAATATTTAGAAGATATGAAAATAACTAAAATTTTATTAAAAATAATTAATTATTAAAATTTTATTAATTTTTTTTTAAATTTTTAATTGGGAAAAAGAGCAAAATAAAAACAATGTCAGTTTAAAAATAATAAAAAAAATTTGGATTGAGGTTAAAAAAAAGTAAAAATAGGTGGATGTATATAGTTGATTGAAGATGAGGAAATATACTTTTTTTAGATCATGAGAAGGTAAAAGAAATATTTTGAAGGAAAAAACATTATTTAAAAAAAAAGAAAGGTGATGAATTAAATATATATTTTTAGGGAAAAATAAAGGAGAGAGGGATTTGTGTTTTTGATGTGTTTTTATTTGAAAAGAGGTTAGCTAACTTTAAAGAAAAAAAGTATTAAATTGCCCTTTTAATTAAAGACATTTTTACGATTTTTTAAAAATTATATTTTTGAATGTCCAGTAAATTATTGGGTAAATTTTTGTAGAAAATAAATTAAAGGTAAATTAGAATATAAATTAAAAATAAAATCAGAATAATAATTAGTAAGGTGTAATTGTGATTAATTATACTCATTAAAAAGGATCTTCAAAGAATATTTTTTGGAAGAAAAATAATTAAAATATTCTTTCTAAAATATTTTCAAAAAGATCACACATACATACATAAATGTGTGCAAAAGTTTATGGATTAACAGAGATCAATATAAGTAAAGCAACCAGCCTTTTTATGCCTTTTTATCCTCTCAAGTCCAAAGTAAACGAAGCAAAAAGAGGGGGGAGAGAAAGCTTAAAAGAAGTTAATAAATGTTGAAAGGAAAAAAACTTTTAAAATAATTTTGGGGGAAATAATAGAAAAATTAAATTGTGATTGTGAAATTATTAATTTTTAATTAAATTAAGGGAAATAATCGAGGGAAAATAAGGACAAAAATAAAAAAAAGTGAGAGATTGATTGTCATAATTTTTATTAATTCTCCAAATTCTTTTCGGGGAAGTTCTTTTATTTTTTTTTCATTGTCATATATATTACAATCAATTTAGAACCTCCCTTCCATTTTAATTCTTAAAATAGAAAAAAAATATTAAATCACATGCCGTCACATTTTTATTTATTTATCAGGTGCCCCCCCCCCAAATCATTAACAAAATAAAAAAAATCTTTTTTTAATAATTTAATATTTTTGAAAAAAAAACAAAGCATATAAGGAATGGAGAGTTATTTAAAAAGAAAAAATTATTAATTAAGGAAAACCAGAAGAGTGTTTTGAAGAAAACTTGTTAAATTATTAAACTGAAAGAGCAATAAAATTATTTAAAAAAGTTATACTTTCAAGTATATTTATTATATAAAATACAAATGTCTTTTAATCTTTTAAAGAATTCAAAATAAAAACTTTTATTAATTATTTAATGTTAAAAACAAAATGTTTATCAAGCACCCCAATGACTGTTTTCGGTATTTGATATCCTAATAAATTTATTTTGAATTGCTATCTTCCAGAATCCCAGAAAGGTTAAAATACAGAAATGAAATTGACTCACTTCTTATTTAATAATTTATATATTTTATTTCATTTATCTCCTTTCTCAAAAATATCCATTTACTAGCTGAACTTATTTATATTTTATATATCCAAATTATAACTAACATCTATCAATATTTACGAATGTTTATTTTAAACTTATTTTTTTATTTTATTCTTAGTGTTTTTTATATTTCAAAAATGGACACACTCTTGGAATCCATTTACCATATTTTCTAAAACTTAAAATCTTCATCTTTGTGGATCAAGCAGTTTTCTTCTTTTGTTTCACATTTTATTTGTTTATGGTCGATAAAAAATTATAAAAATAAAAATTAGAAAAATTACAATTTTGATAATTTTTAATATAAAAAAAGGTTTAGGAATTTTAGAAAAAATTTTTTTAATTAAAATTTGAAAAAGTTTTAATTTAAATAAATTTTATAAACATTCTTTCCTCTCAAAAAAAACATTTAATTTTCTTCATTAATTAATTTCTCAGCTATCAAACAATTATTCATTAAATAATACTTATCTTCATTAATTAAAAACCATTTTTGATAAGCCATTCCTCTAAATTTATTTTTACAAACTTTTTTAATTTCTCTTAATTTTAAATTTTTAATTAAATTATTTTTTGGATTTATTTTTTTAATTTTTTCTTTTATTTTCCCTTTTTTGTCCATTTCAAATAAATAATTTCCATCGTTAATTAACGGTTCTAATGTTAAATCTAAAATTGTTTCATCTTTATCAAACATTTCATCATCATCATCATCTTCTTCTTCTTCTTCAAAAACAACCAATTCTCCATCATTTAAATTGTTCCTATTACTTTCTGAAACTATAATTACTATTCCCTTTTTAAATTCATTAAATATTCCAATTTCTCTTCTTGTCAAATTCTCAAATATTTTTGAAACACATTTTTCATTATTATTTTCTAATATTTTAACAAAAAATATAAAAAATTTAATTCCATAAAATTCTGTTAATTTAATTAAATAATTCCCCTTTTCTTTAAATTTTAAACAAATTTCAATTAAATCCTTTCCTTCACTATTTATAAAAATATTTAATTTAATTAATTTTGTTTCTTCGAAATTTCCATTGTCAATTTCCTTTTTTGGTTCAAAATATAACGGATAATGAAATAAAGGTTTAATTGACAACACTTCCTATAAAAATCAGGATGTTTTTATAATAATAAAAATTAAATTAAAAAATACAAACCTTTTCCATTGCAAATTTGAATTTTCTATTTACAACATACATATCTCATTTTATATTCTACAAAGTGACCCAAAAGTAACTGCACAATTTATTTATGGCATAACTTTATTCGGATCTAAGATAATGAAATCAAATAAAGATCAATTAATAGAGAAATAAATAGGATTTAGAAGCCATGAAAGAGAAGCAAAAGTTCACAACACCTCGGTTGGGGTTTTCTTCTATTCCCGAATGAGTGATTGATGCAATGGGTAATCCAATGCAATCCTTGGGTAATCCAAGGAACCAAACCCGCTGAGTACGGTGGCTGTATTTGTTATGAGTTAAAACTGGGTAAATTGGCTGCGCACCAACATTGCTACATACTTTTAGCCTTATTACTCGGATACAAGGCTGTAAATCACCTTGTGTATGTCACACAGATAATTGTTTTTATTCACTTTGATATAACATTACGAAAGAATAACTAACTATATGTTAGACAGAGGAGACTTTGAGGCAGAATATCTGCTATTTTGGCGGCGCGCCGAAATTTGCGGATTTTAATTTGCGGACCCGAAATTTGCGGACCCGAACTTTGCGGACCCGAATTTTGCGGACCCGAACTATGCGGACCAGAATTTTGCGGATCTGAGATTTGCGGACCAAAAATTTGCAGACCGACAATAGAGTCTACTGAAACTCGGAAATTTCAAAAATTTTAACCTGCGGCGTTAATTAGGATAAATTCAGGCATCATGACTTTAGCGGATGGCCATATAAATGATTTCTTCAAGGAATTTTCTCGATTATTTAAATTATGAAATAATTTTGTGATAAAAAATTGATAAAAATTTTGAAAAATCAAGAAAAAATCTTGATCTGGTACGGATCATGGTAAACTCTGCCGGGATCATCGAAAAATAAAATTTTTAATTTTTTCCTTTTACTCAAGTGTCGGCCCTAAAATCTTGGTTCCGCAAAAATCAGGTCCGCATACTTCGAGTCCGCAACCTTCGGGTCCGCAACTTTCGTTCCGCAAATTTCGGGTCCGCAAAGTTCGGGTCCGCAAAATTCGGGTCCGCAAAGTTCGCGCCACGATTTTGGCGATTCGGACATATTTTTTCATAAAAATTTTTTCGTTTGAGAAATTGTCACTTGACATACGAAGAAGGTACTTGCATCCCTTGGGTCCTACATAACTCTTTTCATTTTTTTTTGTAAAAAGTTGTCTTTTATGAACCTGTAAAACTAGAGTCATAGTCCATTCTTGGTATGTTAAGAATCGATCTCGGGTGTTTATTGATCAAGGTCTGCTCTTTTTTAAAGCTAACAGTCATCCTACTTCCCTTAATATTTTTAGACAAATTTTTCCCATAAAATTTCAAAACAGAATTTTTTAATTGTTCCTGGACTGTGCTTTTTAGAATGTTGAGAATAGTTGAAATTTTTCGAACGCTAAATCTTTTAGAAGAAAGTTAGGAAAGAGAATTGAATGGGCTATAAATTAGTATAAAAATTTTTAAAAATGAAAGCGGGAAGAAAAGTTATGATAAAATGAAAAGTGTGCAGTTATTTTTGGGTCACCTTTTTTATTCATTTTTTTACAACAAATTAAAATTCCCTTTCTGTAAACATTATTTAAATTTTCAATAAATTTTAATTTAATTATTTCATCGTTAAAATTTGGGATATTTTCCAAAGAATACATTTTTGTATTTTCATTTATATCGCAATACTCATTTAATGGAGTTATATAATATTTTCCATATTTATCTATCATTGAATCAAATTCAACAGAAATTTCAATTAAATTTTGATTATTTTTGTTTATAGAAATATTTTTTAAATTAATATATTTTCTACTTCTAATAAAAAAATTCTTTTCATTTAATTTTTCAATATTTTCAAAAGAAAAATTTAAAAATAAAAATAATAAAAGAATTAATTGAATAATCATTTTTTATTAAAATTTAAATAAATTAATTTAAAATTATTTTTATAAAAAAATAAAATGAAATGAAAGAAAAAACATGAAAATGTTGCCCTTTTAAATGTAGCGAAATAAATATGTATGTAAATGCACTTTTATTGTAAATATGTATTCACGTGAATATTTCGAAAATATTTTTTAAGAAATAATGCACTTTATTATATTTTTTTTAAATCAAATTTATTTATTTGTTTACGTTAAAACGACGCAAAGGTCACAAATAAAATTAGATTTCACAATAATGCAACAAAAAAACATAAAATTCGAAATAATTTTAATATTTAAATTAAATTATCTACTTGAGAGTAAATATATAATTAGAAGAAACTAGTTCATGATAAATATTTTCTGATAATTTTCCAAAAATTAGAAGGTGTATTTCTTCGAATTACTATAGGAATGAATTATATATTTAGTCTAGATTTCCTAATAAAGTTGGAATTGGATTAACAGTGTTTTGAAATAAAATAAATTTCAAATATTTTTTAATTTATTTGGACTTAAATATATAGGATTCCTATTTCATCGTACTTAAAAGACACAAACTATTTATTAAATAATTATTTGTTTTTAAATAAATTTATAATCATAATTTAGTTTATAATCTTGTACAGGAATAATGGGTCTTTTAAAATGGCTCTAAATATTTCCGGATAAATTCTTTTATTGTTAGTAATACATTTATACATATTATCATTTACCAACAAATAAAAAAATTTTTTTTAAATAATTTATTTATTTATTTAATTATATATTTATTTAAATATTATTTGAAAAAAAAACAAAAAAAAAATTAATTAAATTCAATATCTTTTATTTAATTCAACTAAATCAATTGTAGTCGAGGGAAGTGATCGAATTGAAAGTATTGGCATATGTAATTCAACACGTAAACTGCTAGGGACCCAAGCACATAAAGAATAGAGGAATGGAATTATCTGAAAGAAGAAAAGGAAAAATTGAGGAAGGGGAATTTTTGGAGAGAATTTATAAAAAATTATCAAATGGGAAGGGAGGACTAATAACAACCATTTAAAAGAATTCAAAACCCCTCCCCCTCTCACAATTGTCCTCTCTTTCCCTCTACCTGTTCATCAAGTGTTACAGTCCAAACAAAATGTTGATCAGGCATAACATCCCAATGTTTAGTTTCATAACTAACATTTTCTTCATCTACATGTATTCTCATCGCAATAAAACTTTAAAAAAATGAAATAATTATTTTCTAAAAATTTCTTTCTCTCACAGTTGATCCAAAGCAATTAATCCAGGCAAAAAAGGTTCCAAAGTAATTGCAACTAATTTTGCTAATTGTTCACAAGCATCGAAAAATCTTGGTTGTAAAGCACTCGGCCATTTACCGGGTAACATATTAATTACCTAAAGAAATTGTTCCCTAATTTTTAATTAAATTATTTACTTACAGTAGCTAATCTAATAGCCCATTCCGTTGAATATTGGAAAAAATTCATTGAATTAAATTGTCGTTGTAATTGAAGTCTGAAAATAATTTTTTAAAAATTTTATTTTTAATTATATTTTGGTAAAACTTGAAAAACAAAAAAATATATTTTGTCTCTCTCTTATTTTATGGATGCAGTGTTACTACCGAAAAAATATCTTTATTGAAAAACTTTTTCCGGAATTCTGGAAAAATCAGAAAGAAGATAAGAGAGACAAACCACCAACTAATCAAAATTTTAAAAAAATTTATTTTTATTCACTACCAACCCATATTGAAATTGTCCACCCAAATGTAATCCATCAATTGGAGAAATTAAAGCACCAAAATTAAAATCAGAATTATTAATTATTTGTTGCTGTTGTTGTTCTATTCCCTCAATATATTGAATAATTAATTTTTGTTGTTTTTCTTCTTCTCCCTCAATTTGGATTAAATTAATAGCTTCAAATGTAGCATTATCTTCATCGGTACTATTTAATAAGATTTTTACCAATTCCTTTAAAAAATATTTTAAATTAAAAATATTTAGATAATAGGGGAATAAGAAATATTTTATTACATATGTATATCACAGTCCAAATTACATTTGACCGGCCAAATTCCAATAGGACTAAAAAATAATTTAGACTGTGACATTCGAACCTCTATACTTTAGATAATAGCGAATAAGATATCCGGAAATTTTCGGTTCGGATACCGGATCCAGATATTCGAATAAGGTTGGCGGATAGTTGGAAATCTTCGGATATCCGGATCCGGTATCCGAACTGAAAATTTCCCCCCCGTTCTCGAAAAAAGAAACCCCCCCTCTCGAAAAAAGAAACTTGATAAATAAATTTAAATTCTTTTGATGTCCTATTCCAGCTATAACACGCAAATATTCTTTAAATGATTTTTGACTATTTTTAATTCCTATAAAAATCCAAATCTCAAAATTAATCTATAATTTTAAATTTAAACAAAACCTCCATCAATTCAGATTGTAATCTAATAATTAATCCATCCTCCACAACATTTACAACAAATTTTTCTCCTCCAACACATTTAAGAGCCCCATCAAAAATAACAAAAGAAGCACTTGTTGCTTTAAAAATTAATTTTAATTAATTAAAATTAATTTCAAAATAAAACCTTTAATAGCCTTATTAGGTTCTTTCATAAATATTGTTGTACTAAAATGTTGTGGTTGTTGTTGCCCATCTTCACAATTTTTTTGTTCACAAATTAAATGAGAATCAATCTTTAAATTTTAAAAATTAATTTTAGAATCCATTTAATTTTTCAAAAGGTTGTGTCAAAAGTTAGTAATACTACTATATATAAATTAACGAGTAATAAGGTAATTGTCCGCAGAGATTTTTAAAAAATTATTTTTCTTCGCCAAATTTCTTCGCAAACTTAATCAATATTTTCAATAACCATCAATTAAATATAACAAATATTGGTACTCTGCGTTTATATACCCCCACGTCCGCAAATGTTTGTCCGCACTTTTTTCCTTTTCCTTCTCCTTCTTTCTCCTCTCACAAGGATGATAAATGGTCAAGCATCAATAAACCCCCATTTTCTTTGTCTTCTCCTTCTTTACTACTTTCATTTTGATTAAAATGGTCAAGTAAAAATAGAGGTCAAGAATTTGGCACTCTTCACTTATATGCCCATTCACCGTGTCGAAACAGAATAAGTATGGCGTCATTCGAAAGAGCTTTGCTCATTTGATTGAATTTTGCTTAGAATCGATGATTCTAAGCAAAATTGTGACCAACTGAATTTTCGCTGCAATAGCCTCCAAAATAATTTCTAAACATTGTTTTATTTTTAAATGACCATTTTAATCAAAATGAAAGGAGTAAAGAAGGAGAAGACAAAGAAAATGGGGGTTTATTGATGCTTGACCATTTATCGTCCTTGTGAGAGGAGAAAGAAGAAGAAGGAAAAGGAAAAAAAGTGCGGACAAACATTTGCGGACTTGGGGGTATATAAACGCAGAGTACCCAAATATTTAATTAAAAAACAAATTTATTAAAAACCTCTAATTGCTGATTCAAAAAAGATAATTCATTTAATGACCAAGCAACCATATTTCGATTACTTTCAACCAAAGTTCGAACCTAAAAATTATTTTTTAAAATTAAATTAACAAAAACAACCTCATCCCGAGCAGACTTAGGTAAAAATATTTCTGTTAAATTATTTTTAACAATTATTGAAGTATCGAAAAGTTTAGTCATTTGGTATGTCCAGCCACGAAAATCATTCAAAACCTTTTTTTATTTAAATTTTAAAATTTTTATCAAAAAATTAATTACTTTTAAAACACTAGATTGGACAACATCTTTGGTAAATAATGGTTGATCACGAATAATATTAACAATTGGAGTTGGATATTCTTAAAAAAGTTTTCAAAATTTCTTTAAAAATATCAAAAACTAACGGAAACTAAATTGTCCCAACCGCAATAATAACCTTAAAGGCGCACATCTTGCCCAAGCTATTTCTTCTTCACGTACCAAAACCCCCAAAAGGAAGGGGCCTTTGGGGCAATTTAATTTATTTAAATGCTAAAAAATGATTTTAAAAAATAAAATTTAAAAGAAAACCTCATCCAATCCTTGAGGCCTATAAAAATAAATTGCTTCAGTTGGGTGTCCCATAAATATTCTCATATGTTTATTTAAATAATAAAGACGTTGGATTCGATTATTACACCTATATAATACATAGTTAGATAATTTTTATAAGATTTTAATTTCTCTTGCTCTATGCGACCCCCGAAAAAAGGAAATGGAAAATAAAACTTAAGAGAAAACAGAAAAACAATCAAAGGTCTCCTGCTTCTGTTTCCTAATTCTAATATGACACAGAATTGCGACTAAAAATAATTCCCCTCAATTAACAATTAATTACCAACTTTCTAATCCCCATCCGATGATCCAGCAAATCATCAAAAGAATTTAAACAATCAAGATATATTTGTTCAAATTGTTCCAAAACATTGAAAAATGCTGATTCTAATTGCTATAAAAATTTCTAAATAATTATTTCTAAACAAAATTAAACTTCTTGAACAGAAAATCTATCCCTCTTAAATTCAATTACAAGCATTAATTCATCTACACCCAAAGTTGTCATTCCATATGTTGTAAAATTGAGAATTTCAATTTCTTGTTGATTAATTTTAACTGAAAAATTAAAATTTTTTCAGTTAAGTTTTAATCCATTTTTAATAACTCACAATTTTTTAAAAATTGAATTTTGACATGGAAATTCCGTCTCAATGCAATAACAACACAAGGATTATTATTATTGGTGTTATTACCCTCCTCATTTCCTTCCTCTTCATCTTCTCTTAATAAATTATCAATTACTTTATCCATTTTTTGAAATGACATATCTTCAGCGATAGAAGTTACTACACAAACACGCCAATGATTTATATGTAGAAGACTTGTCTTAAAAAATTATTAAATGATTTTTTTCTTTTCTTAATTTCTAATTTAAAAATAAAAAATCCAGACAGATAATTAATAAAAATTCCATTTATTTAATTTATAAATTACCTGTTCATCCAACAATTTCCGTTCTTTTGTTCGACTAGAAATTCTTTTTGGCCTCTAAAAATTTATTTTTTTTATTTAAAAATAATTTCAAAATAATTACTTTATAAACTTTATTTTCCAACCCAGCAACTTCATTTTCAGATGAATTATTTTGTTGATGATTTTCAGAAGAAATTGAGGAGGGGGAAGAAGAATCATTATTTAATAAACAATTTTCTTCATTTTCTTGTATTTTAGAAGAATTATTAGATTCAGAATCAGAATTTTTAGATTCTTTATTAATTAGCCAAGAATAGGGGTTGTTCTGATTTTTGTTTTTCTCTTCAGAACTAAAAAAATAAATTTAAAATATTTAAAACAGAATTGTTGGATGATAAATAAAAAAACAGAATTTAAACAAAAATTCTGGTTTTTGTAATTTAAAAATATTCAGTAAAACCAGAATAGTTGGATTGAATCAGAACATTAATAAAATCAGAATTTTTTAAATTATTAAACCAGAATTTTTAATTTATTTCAGAATTTTTATAAATAATAAATTCTGAAAAACAACCCCAAAACAAAATCAGAATTCTTTCCGAACATTTTAAAAATTAAAAACAAACAAAAACACACCTTTCTGTTGTTGATTGTTTTAAATTCTGATCTTTGTCTTTTCCGTAAGGTTTAATAATTTTTCTTCTTTTAGAGGAAGTTTCAACTCCCTGTCCAGGATGTACTCCATCACGGAATTTTACACTTTTTTTATTTGTAATATTTTCTTCTTCCTCAATTAATTTACTCGTCGATGTTGTTGGTAGTTTTGAGCATTCTTCATTCAAATTTTCTTTTTTATTTTTTCCTTCTTCTTCCAAAACCTCTCCCCCTCCTTCCTCCTCTTCTTTGCCTTCATTATTGTTTATTTCAACTTCCTTTTCCTCTTTATTTTTATTTAAAATATCAATAGAATCCCTTCTTGGAGGCTTCAAAAGTGATTTCTTTGGATTTTTATTTATTAAATTTTCTTGTTCTAACTTTTTATTTTGGTCATCATTATTAGAATTTAATTGGTTTGTTGATGGAAAGGCTAAAAAATAGAAAAAATAATTTTTAAATAAATTTTTTGAAAATTTTTAAACCAGAAATTTATTTTCTTTTACCATTAGAAGTTGAGGGCCCATCAATTTCCTCTTCTAAATTTTCATTTAATCTTTTTTCGTATTCCTCAATTCTGTCAAGTGTTCGATTACAAGGAGTACAAACTCTGTGTTTATTTGAAGGATTTTCATCATAAGCTAATGAACGTTTATTTGAACAACAAGAACTGCAAAGTACCTAAAATTTTAAGAAATAATTTGAAAAGAAAAAAATAAATAATTTTTTATTCAGAAATATTTTAAATTCTTTCTTGGGTGTTTTTCACCAAGTTTAACCAAAAAGGAATCAAACTTAATTAATTTTCCCTTCAAAATTTATTTTAATTTTCTCCTTCCTCCCCCTCCCCTCCCTCTCCACAAAAATTAAAGAACAAACCCTTCCACAAGCTCTACAATGATGCCTTCTAACAACAATAGAAAAACCTTTAGAACACAACATACAACAATCACAATCATCGTCAGGTATCCAAAAAGGTTTTTTCTTCCCCAAAGTTAATTCACTTTCTGTTAATTTAAATTCTCCAATTGATTTTGACAAATAATGGTAAGTAGCTAATGGTGGAGGTATTAAAGCTGTGAGTTCTTTTAATCTTTGTTTTATTCTTTCGTCTTTAAAAAATTAAAATAAAAGAGAATTTTGCGTGGAGATATTAAATTAGGTGAAGACCTTTTAGCATTTAGAATTATAAAATAAATCCTCCCTAAATATACGCTAAATTTCAAAATTCTTTAATTCAAGATTTCAAAAACTAAGGGAAAAACAAAAAATGCTTAAGTAACTAGAGGATAACCGTATAAATTAATAAAATCAAATGATGTCTAGGTTTGGAATTAAAAATCATTAATTTGTTAAATGTTTAAAAAAAAATTCAAAAAAACCTTTGGCAGGGTTTAGACAATGTACTTTTTCTTGCATAGTAAGCCATCTATTTACATCATTCTGCTTTCCGCATTCCTCTTCATTTTCTTTTTCTTCTTCATCTTTTTGTTTTATTTCACTTAAAACTTGATCTAAATAAGAGAATAAACTCTAAAGATTTTTTCAAATTTAAATAAAAATACCAAAAATATCATCCACAAAAGTATTCAAAAATAAAATAAAAGGAGAATTTTCCCCTCTATTTCCCTCTTTTTTGTCTAAAAATTGAAATTAATTTTAAATTAAAAACTTTTAAAAAACCTTTACTCTCATTTTCCAAAAAATTCAATTTATCTTCATTTTCCTCAATTAATTTTTCTTTTTCCTTCTCCAATTTAATTAATTTATCCATTTTATCAATTTGCTCGTAAATATCTTCTTCTAAATCCTCACAATTTTCTTTTTTGTTTTCAACAATTTTGAGTTTTTTCTGAAATAAAAAATATTTTTAAAAAATAGAAAAAAAATATTTTACTGAAATTGACGCGAAAATTAAATCTGGTAATGTCTTCTCCAAAATTAGTTGATTTTTGTCGGCTAAAATTAATTTAAAAAAATTTTTTAAATAATTTTTTGGCTATTTAGTTAGTGTATTTGAATAAATAAAAAATTAAATAAAAACCTTTTAGTTCAATATCAACATTACAAAAGACATTTTCACTTTCCTCTCTAACTAAATTTTTATCTGAATTGTCTGTGACTTCCTCCAAATTTTTATTAGACAAAATAGAATTATTTCTGCATTGTTCTGCTTTTTGATCAGATTCTTCTCTTTCTAACTAAATTTAAAGAAAAAATAATTCAAAAATCATTTAAAGTTTAAAGAAAGCCAAAACCTGCAAAATTTCTTTATTAAAAAATATCCCGAATAATTTAATGGATTTAGACATTTTTAACCCAAAGATTCAGAAAAAAATTTAAAAACCTGATCCAACATTGCATCCATATCTATTAAATTTGAAGAAATATTTGTTGAAGTTGTTGAAGGTTTGTTTGACAGTGATGAATCATTTAAAAACATTGGAAAAGAGAAAATATTTTTTAATCTTTTAAAGATCTAAATAAATTAAAAATTTAATAAATATTTGTTCTAAATTAAAAATCTAAATTTGCAACGGGTACAGCTCAAGTAGGCGCGGGCCAAGTAGGCGCGACCGAGTAGGCGCGACCGAGTAGGCGCAGGCCAAGTAGGCGCAAGGCCAAGTAGGCGCACGGCCCAAGTAGGCGCAAGGGTAAATTTTTAATTTTTACCCAAAATTTTTTTATTAATCTTCAACTAATTTTGTTAATTAGTTGGCTGAATAATCAAGCAACTTTATGTGGACACTGGACTTTTTCTAAAACTGCCCTTCTTAGGGAAAAAAATTTATTAAGTGAAGCTCGTTGATGTTTTTATTTTTTGATAAAATTAAAAAAATCTTTTAATATTTTTCTCATAAAAGCTCCATACTTAGCTGCTGATAAGTTTTGGATTATTTGCTAAGTTTGTTAATTAGTGAAAGCCATGCTGCTTTGATAATTCCTGTGGCTTACCAATGTTATGAATACTCTAACTAGTTCAACTAGTTTAAGGGGGACTAACTAGTTAGCCTTTAGGAACTAACCAGTTTAAGGGAACATGAAGTATATACAAAAGTACAATTAACAATCAAGATACGACTATCAAGGCGTTTCACAAAAAAGTCCAGCTACAGTTAGGAGTCTTTTGATGATTAAAAGCTTTTAATGGATTAAAAAATAAATATACACTTTTGAACTGCCTAGTTAATGCATACAGTACGAACGTATACTAACAGGGTATCGATATTTAAGGTGTTTTTCTTCTAAAATAGGTACCTTTCTTCTAATTTTTATCAAGAATGTTTCTTCTAACTCATTAACATAAAAATATTTATACTGACTTATTTTTTAATTTGAATATTTTAAGCTAAAAGATTTGCGCCTACTTGGGCCGTGCGCCTACTTGGCCTTGCGCCTACTTGGCCTGCGCCTACTCGGTCGCGCCTACTTGGCCCGCGCCTACTCGGGCGTGTCCCATTTGCAACATAAGAAAAAAAACAAAAAGATTTTAACCCAACTTGTCTCATAACAAAAATTGAATCCCTTCAACCAAAATAAACTGCAAAATTAAAATCCTTTTTAATCAATAATTTTAATAGAAATAATTACAGAAAAAATTTCCTAATCAAAAAACCTCCAAAAATAAAAATAATCACAAGATAAAAACTAAATTATAAATATTAGAACGAGACAAATAAGAGAGAAAGAACACTTTCCCTACTACTTTTTTACATTTATGTAAAACACAAAAACAATAAATGAGCGAAAAAAGAACGATCGAAGTAAGTTAAATTTTTGTTTATTTTTACTTTAATATTGATTATAATTAATTAATTAATTAAAAATTTAATTAAGAAAATTCCAAATAAAAATTATTTTTGCAACATTTTGTCTCAAATTTTGTGTTAAATATTTTATGATAAAAAATTCTTTTAACAATTAAATATACAAAAAGAATTCGATAATTGATAGAGCAACTTTGTATGTTTACTCAAAGAAAGATAAACAAAAAAAGATTTTTAAACATTCCTCCCTGGGAAAGAAAAAAATTTTTTGAAGATTTTTTACAAAAGTTATTTAAAAGGGAATAAATCAGACCTGGTCATGGATACGGATATGGATACAGATATTATCAAAATGCCTGCGGATATCCGCCTGTATCCGTCTGTATCCGCCGTAAATACGGATACCAAAGTCAGTATCCGTGACCAGGTCTGGAATAAATTAAGATTTTTCAGGGGGGGAGGCATTTTTGGAAAAAAAATCTTCAATTAGGAGGAAAGATAAACAAAAATTATTTTTCTATTATTATTTAGAAACAAATAAAATTTAAAAAAATCTATTAAAAATTAAAAGAATGCCTTGATGCTTTATTTTGATTTTTTACATTCCTTCATTCAATTTTGCTTGATTTTCTCTACTTTCCACCTGCAAAAAATATTATTTTAATTTTTAGATGTAAAATAAATTTTTTTTCGGCATTGAATCTTTATTTCAAAGAAAAGTTTATGTGAATACTTTAATAAATAAATTTTTCGAAATTTTATTTCCTTCTAAAAATTCAATGCCGAAAAAACCACCCTAGAAAATACTAGTAAAAATTAGTACGCAATCACAATAAATTGCGTGATTAAAAACTTAAAAAATTTTAATTTACTTCTAATTAATGGACGGCTACGTTTGGCAGGTGTTGGTTGTGAAGTATCACGTTTTGAAGAGGTTGGTGGTGTGGGAGAAGAATTTGCTGATTCATCTCTTAACTCTTCTTTAACTTCTAAAAAATTTAAATAATTTTATTAAAAGGATACTTTAAAATTCTAAAAGGTCAGTGAAAATAAATGAGAAAGGAAAGAATTTGAGCTCTTTAAAAGCAACTTATTTTCGAACAAAAAAATGTCAAAAAATTGTATAAAGAAAATCAACGTTTAAACACATAGTGGGGGGAAACGGGAGGCAAAAAACCCGAAAATAATCAGAATCTCACCCACCGATTTATGTCAAAGGAATTTAAACAAGCCCGAGAAAAAAGTAATTAAATTCTCATTTATTTAAGGAACTAACCACAAAAAATCTTTTAAGAAATACCAGAATTATGTGCTGTTACTGGCTGTTTTCGGGTTGTTCCATTTGTTGAAGAACTTGATTTAGTAGCCTTCTGTTAAAAATATTATTTTTCTTTTACTCAAAAATAATTTATTTACCACACTACAAAACTCGTTTATCTCATACAGCCTTCTACTTCCACCATTTTTAAATCCTTCATTTCGTTTTTTTAAATTTATAAGAAAACTGGTGCATAATAAATTTAAATCCTGACGATTGGTTTTTTCTCTATCCCTACACAAAGCAACATTTTTTTGTATATTTGCGTCTAATTGAGTCAATAATGGATATGTTGGCAAAATCTGAAAAATAAAAGAAAAATTGTTTTTTTAATTTATTTAGATACCATCAACATGAATGTAAGAGAATTTCTAATCAAGATATAATTTGTTTGTTGTAACATAAAAGAGAGAGACTAAAAAGTTAAATTAAAGAGAAAATATAATTAAATGATAAATTTAAAGAATCAACAGAATTTTAAAGTTTAAAAAAATCAGAATTACTTTTTAATAAAATTTTAAAAAACGAGGAAAAGGTTTTGCAAAAAAATTTTAACCTAACCAGCAACCGAGTTCTTATTCTACGGGATCAAACCAGATTTAATAAATAAAAATTCTGATATTTTAATTTATAAATAAATTCTTGTCTGGCTTAAAAAATATTCTTACATTAAATAAAATTCTGATTTAAAAAAAAGTTTGAAATTATGATTTTTCTGATTAGAATTTTATTTCAACTTAATTTAATATTTAATTTTATTAAATCAGAATTTTCGTCTTTTTAGAATATAAAAAAAAATTCTGACATTTCTTTTAGGTTTTCCCTTTAAATCATAATTCTGATTTTTTCAGAAACTTTTTCCAAAATAAATTCAGATTTTAAAATAAATATTTTTACCTTTGTTAATCTAATCATCCACTTATAACAAATAGAACGATAAAATTCATAAGTAAAAGCATCTGCCGCAGCTTTATCATCCATATCTTTTTTTCTAATTTTTGTAACACAACCGGGAAAACCCTCGCACTCTTCTTGGAAAACATTTTTGCTTGAGTGCCAATGAAGTATCAATTCCAATAAAATACAACAAAAACGGCCAAAACAGACAGTTTCACGTTCAGAAAAACCACCGAGAATTGGAGAAACGTCTGTGAATATCTTTGAAAAATAAAAATTATTAGTTGAACTGAAAAAAATAAATTTGTCCGGAAATACTTATGCTAATCTCAAAATTTCCAAGTTTAAGAAAAATTATAAGAAATTTAAAATTACTTTGTCAAAAAGAACGATTGTTTGGAAATCATTTGTTTTTGTAATATGCAACGCCCGCACTAGTTCGGCACAATAAACAGCATCAACTTCTGAACAAATAACACGTGGAAAGATGCAACTTTGAAGGAAACGAAGTGTTTGGCTCGATTTGTCTATATTAAATAAAAAATTAAGAAAATAAAATTTGGAAAAAACTTGGCAAGGATTTTGCAAAGAAATTCTTTTTGATATCCTCATCTGATAAAATATCCAAAATTCTGGCTTTGTGTTCTAGTTGTCTGAAAAAAAGAATTGTTAATTAAGCATAAACCAAATAAATTTTAGAATTTCTCAAGTATAATCCATAAAACTTTTGCGGGCTTTCCAAAAATATTAAAAATTGGGCTCTACTCCAGTTTATGCGTCCAATCGACATTTATGCGTCCAATGAAAGTTTATGCGTCCAATAAAAAGAAAATTGGATTTTTCTTGGTATTGTAAAGTTGGGGTATGGCTCCAAACCATTTCTTCATGTTCGGGACCTACGTCCACTGGGTCTGGGACCATTCCTTACCCTACACCTCGAAATTTTTTAAAGTTACAGCCAATTTTGTAAAATTTCAGAAAAACGATTATAACTTTCAGAAATTTAGAGGGGTCGGGTAGGGAATGGTCCCAAACCCAGTGGACGTAGGTCCCGAACATGAAGAAATGTTGTGGACCCAACCCCAACTGTGCAATACCAAGAAAAATCCAATTTTCTTTTTATTGGACGCATAAACTTTCATTGGACGCATAAAAGTCGATTGGACGCATAAACTGGAGTAGAGCCAAAAATTGAGAACCTTTTCTTTTCCTCATTCAATTTAAGCTCCAATGATTTAAGCCTTTCTTCTTCTTTGGCTGTCCGTCTAAGTGTAGCTGCTCCTCCACGAATTCCTAACAGTCCAGAATCACTACTGACTTGATGTAGTTCCTTTAATTCTTTATGAATTTTCTCAATATTTCGTTCATATGCTGCTTCGGGAACGATTAAGTCATTCACAGAGAGAAGCCAGAAAATTGTGTGCAACCTATAAATAAAAATAATTTTTTAATGGAATTAAAGGTACATTAAATTTTTACATTCCTAACAGAGGTTATACCTATAATTATTTGAATGATAAACTTCCAACCTATAGGTAATATCCTGCCACATTGTTTGAGGAAATGCTTTAGCCAATTCCTCACTTAACGTATCCAAACGATTAATAAATATTTCTCTGTAAATGAGAGATTTTTGAGCATTATCTAGCGATGTTATATCCTCATGTTCTTCTTTATATTTTTGTTTAGCTGATTCATAAGATGTCTAAAAAATTTAAAAAAAATTAATATAGTTGCAGTAGAAACAAATAAATCAAAATAAAGGGCAAAGATAATTTTTAAAATTGATCCTTCACGATCCCTAATAATAGATAAATAATTACCCCAATTTCATTCATATAAACAGGGCGCATCAGACAAAACATTGCATCAACAGAAAGATGATAATCTGTTAAAAGCTCTAGAGCTGAAGGTAGTCGTTTAGAATATTGCTCTGGTTTTAGATTTGTGCGAAGAAAGTGGAAAAATTGAACGAAAGTTTCCTGGCACTGGAAAAAGACAGATAAATTAAAGCTAGGCTAGATAAACATCCGGACTGAGAAATGTGGAACAGATAGGAAAAACGGATCTAATCAAAATAGGTGAGTCCACAAATAAAATTAATATTTAATTCACGTCCCAAAAATATTTAAAAATAATTACCTGATCAAGCATTTGTGTAGCCAATTTCAATGGATATTCAGCAGAATCACGAAACACAATAAATTGCCTTTGTTGTCCAATAAGAATGCAAAGTGATTCAAATAATCCATCTTTTAACAAAGCATCACGAAGACGATTTATTGAACGACGATTTAATTTATTCATTTGGAGAGAGCTTGCCTTGAAAAAGAACAAAATTAAAAAAATTTTTTTTAATTACTTCGCTTCGAAGTATATCTCCCCCACATAGTGAATCCAAATGTTCTTGTGTCAAATCAGAAGCTGATTCAATTCCAGAAATGCTTGTGACAATTTCACGTAATACAATTAAATCCAAACTTTTAGAAAAAATTTTTTTATTAAATTAGGTAATTCCTCACTTTTTAGCATCCTTTAATTGATTAGTTATATATTGAAGAATGCCTCCAAGGTCAATATTGTAACGCTTAAAAATTGCAGCTGAAAAGCTTGCCAAAGATTGAAGCCATGGGGAGTAGGAAATATCCAAAACTTTAAAATCTTGTTTTTCTGGCGCTGCCAAATTTTCGATGAGGCAATCTAAAAAATAAATTTATTTATTTAAAGATTTAAAAATACAAACATGCAAGAACGTCAAATTCGAGCGAAGAAAGAAAACGAATAGAATCAACAACTGGACCAATAAAATTTTGGAATTCTTGTACTTTTCCAAGTAAATAATCCAAAGGAATTGTTGGATATGAATGGCATAATCTTTAAAAATTGTATTTAAAAAATCTTTTTATTCGACTCACTTTCCCAATTGTCTACCCATTACTTTAGCAGTATCTTTACTCAATCGCTTCATTATATATCTTGTCATTCCCAAAACCTTTCCTCTTTGAAGACTTAATTCCCAACAACGTTGAGTATGTATTGTACGCCAACGATGATAAATTCTTTTAATTAAAAAAATTTTCTTTTAATTAATTAATTGGCTCACCGATATCTTTCTTGGTAAGGAAGACGACCCAAAATTTGCCAAAGTTCCTCACAATAAACAAAATTAGAGTCAAGAAGAGAAGCAGCAGGTACAAGTACAGAGTCACATAAATCCACAATAATGTTTAGAACTTTAAAAATAAATTAGATTTTTTTAATTAAAATTTTTTATTTAAGAGGGGAGGATAAGGGAGAGGATAAGGGGACTTATTTTTTTAGATAATTCATGAAAACAGAGACTCTTTATTTTAGAATTTAAATTAAATCCAAAAAATCAAAATTTTACGATTCGTATTGAAAACCAAAAGCTTTCCTTTAAAAAACAATAAAAAAAACTCTCACAATTTTCCCGTTCAGACAAACTTTGTGCTTCAACGTCATCGTAGAAAAGATTAAGCAAACGAATAAGTTTAATAGAAACTTCATGTCTTGCACCAATATACGGGCCTAATTGGAAGGCGATAGTGCAGGCATCGTTGAATAAAGAATTCCAATCTTTAGTCTAAATAGAATTTTTTAAATTTAAATTGAGTATATCAATTCTAATTTTCTTTTTAGCTTTTAAAAATTCCATAAAAAGGTTAATGCGTGACTTATACTAAGGCACTCTATAACCAAGTCAATTAAGAAATTATAAAAATAAATTCATACAATTTGAGGCAGACAAGTAAAACGTTCCCAACTTTCTTTCATTCGAAAAGAAGAATTGTCACGATAATGAGAATATTTTCTTTAAAAAAATAAAAATTAAGAGAAAATATTTTTTAATTTCATACTCTCTGTAAAAAGGTTCAATTTTATATCCAATAATATTAGACACTGCCATTGCAATTCTTCGAGATACCCCAAACGGATATATTTCAGGTAAACGCTCAAATAAAGGTTTTGCCAATTCCAAATTTCCATGTTCAAGAACAGAACAGAGTAATCCTAATTTTTGATTTGTATGAAGAACCGTCTAAAAGAAATTTAAAAAATTAGATTTAATTAAACAACAAACATCATCAAATTTTGAGCCAGCCAATTTTTTATCTTCATTTTGTTGACATTGAATAGCAGCAGAGAAAGAAACGGCTGGAATTGTAGAAGGTTCAGGCCCATAATCATTGGCTCCCAAAATTGAAGAAATTGGGAAAGTATCGTTGGCAGAAGCCAAAAGACTTGCCTTTAAAATTTAGTTAATAGAAATTAATTTAAAAAATTTTTTGGTAGGAAAAATCAAAAAATAACATGACAATAAAATTTATATTGATCAGAAAAATTCGAAAAAATTATCAGGTCCTAGGCGGATTTGAACCGCCGCTGCTGGATTCAAAGTCCAGAGTGCTAACCTCTACACTATAGGACCGCTGAGAGAAGAAATAAATTTATCGCTTAGATACTCTTTCCCTTCTTTTCTTTTTCTAGCACAACGTTTTTATTTGGAGGAAACGAGAATAGTAATTAAAAATATGCTAGAAATGATAAAATAATTAATGAAACAAAGGTATCTAAACAGAAAATTTATTGTATCGTTTAACGGTCCTATAGTGTAGCGGTTAGCACTCTGGACTTTGAATCCAGCAGCGGCGGTTCAAATCCGCCTAGGACCTAGTTAATTTTTTGGAGGTTTTTAGAACGTTAAAAATTAATTTTTAAGCGCTTCTTTTTTAATTTTCACACAAAAAATTTTTTTAAACAAACTCCGCTAGAAGAAATTGTTTCAGCACGGACAGATCGAACTCTAATTAATTCTGCTAGTGTTTTACAATCTTCAATTGCTTCTTTTTGTGTAGGTGTTGCTAAATTAAATACTGCAAGTATATCAACTAAATTTTCTTGGGCTAATATTGAAGAGAGGCGATAAAGAGACATTGGAGTGTATTCTGCACGCTAAAAATTGTTTTAGAGTTAAAATATTTTTTTTCAAATTTTTAAGAGATAAAGTAGAAAGGTGAGTTGGGTTGTTTGACAAAAAATGAGTTTATACATAACTAGAGTTAGACAGTTAATCCCGAAGGTCGAAAACCGTACCTCCGGATTTCAACCCCAGGCTTTAGATTCGGATGACAGTTTATGTCCAAGTCCTATTTGTAACTACAGACCGATTTATTTTGATGTAATTTATCAATATAAAACTTAATACATAATAGCCTTCTCCGAAAAACGAGGCATTCCTAACTACAAAGACAAAGGAAAGAAAAAGAAAGTAAAAAACTTATAAAACAAACCTGACAAAAAATAAATTTCAAAGCCAAAATTGAAAACAAATCTTTTTGATCGACATTAAAATCACGTATTAGTCGTACAAAACGTTGATATTCATTAGGGGCATATTCAAAGCATTCAAGAATAATATCAACAACTCTGTTTGGATCCAGATTAAATTGACCTAAAGCGAAAAAAATTTAAAATTTTTTTAACAATTTAGAACAAACCAATTAAGCAATCAACAGTTAAAATCATTTCATCACTTTTAGACGAAGGATGTAGAAGTTCTGTTATAAGTTTTGCATAACCTTCACTCTCTTCCCGTAATAAATTAAATTTTAACTGTTTATAACTGAAAAATAAGAATAAATTAATAAAAAATTGAAAAAAATCCTTACTAAATCCTAGTTTTGCTTTTAACAATTCTCGATCTTGTTGCTTGTTCTTCTGCCCCTAAAGCATTTAATTCCAGTGAGAGAACTTCAGAAGGTAAAATCTTAAATAAATTAGGCTAATGAAATTTAATTTAAAATACAAAAAAGGACTTGCAAAAAGTAAGCTAAAATTTTAATATTTTGTAAAATGGTTAACAACTTATTGCCATTTTATGGCGAAAAGTTTTGAGATTTATTATCTTTTAGCTCACTTAAAAAATTAGTCCAATTGTTGATACGGTTCCGAAAATATAAACAGAAAATGATTATAAATTTTAGAAGATTAAAAAATTAATTAAATTAAAAACCTCCTTTCCTAACTGCTCCAAAAAACGCCTAATCTCCACATCATTTTCTTCTTTTCGTTTGCGTTCCTCATCAAATTCTGGTTGAAGAGCTACAAGCACATCGAAAAATACAGATGCATTCTTCGAAGAACCATCCTTTAAAATTTTTTGAAAATGTTAAAATTTTGTAAAATTTTCGACCCAAAAATCAATTCAAAAATAAAAAATGCTCATCAAAAAATAAAATATTTAAATTACCACAATGTTTCTCAATTTTCTAATTGTTGTGTCTTGGTCATTTCTGTGTGAAATAAATGCTCTCAAAATATCAAACATTTTTCCGATTTCATCGCCTTCAGTAAAAGATGAAGAGGTGGCTGTACTTAAAGAAGTTGAAGACATTTCTAAAAAATACAAGAATTATTTACAAAATGAAATAAACTTTAAAAAGTATTTAATAAATATTAAAAAAAATTAAAATTAATTTAAATGAAAGCAAAAAATTCTTTTTAAATATTTATTTTGGCAATCCAGGAGAATTGTGGTCCCTGCGGGAAAAAATCTTAAAAATAAGAAAAATGATTTTTCTAGGGTAAAAAAATACGCTGATTACGAATCTGAACTCAGATTTTGAAAAAGTCGAATCCCGAACCCGAATATAGGTCCTCGAATGTCGAAAACCCATAGGGGGGACCAAGCTGATTTGGGGTGAAAAATTCGAATATGCAAATTATACCTCATTCGAAAGAGCTCTTCAAGCTGAGTCGAATGACACCGAAATTACCGTTATTGAACAAGATTGGACGAAGTTATACCATAAAAAACAAACACCGTAAACCTATGTCTTTTGTGTTATAACTTCGTCCGATTTTGATCAATCACGATGATTTTGATGTCATTCGACTCAGCTCGCTGAGCTCTTTCGAATGAGATATTAATTGACCAATTTGCGCTCTGTTTATTTTTCAAAATTTTCCCCAAAATGTCAAATATGCGAATTTCGGGTTCGGGATTCGACTTTTTCAAAATCTGAGTTCAGATTCGTAATCAGCGTATTTTTTTACCCTAGAAAAATCCTCTTTCTTATTTTTAAGATTTTTTTCCGCAGGGACCACAATTCTCCTGGATTGCCTTTATTTTCACAAAAAACAACAAATCTCAAATTTAAAAAATAAAATCCAAAGAATTTCTTTTAATATCAATTTATTCAATTTTCCTAATTAATCAACAAGTCGGTCGAAGCACATCAATATATTCTAAAAACGAGAAAGTTTAGCTTATTTAATTAAAAAAAAATAAAGAAAATACGTTCAAATTGAAGTTTTTCTTCAATATTTCGACTTTTAATTGTATCCTCATGATTTTGAATAAAATAAACATCCTCGTCTTCAACTTTTCTCCAACGAAAATGAGAAACGTAAAAAGCGAGTTCTTTATCTGAAAAACATTAAAAAAATCAAAATATATTTTTCTTTCAAAGAACCATCAATATCTCCCAACAACATAACCAAATTTTGTTTGTAAATACGTTGATATGTAACACTAATTACTTGACAAGCATCTAAATTTGTAGAGAAATAATTAGATGTTAAAGTTAATAATTCGAAGTGATTTTTAATTTCTTTAAAAGCATAGAAATTTTAAAAAATTTCAAGATTCTTGGAAATTTTTAGATTGGGACTTTATTTAGCCTCAAAGTAGGGCAGAGCCCCTCTATCAAATGATTCAAAAAATAATTCTGTTATGCTTTTCCCATTTGTGAATATACAAATATGTAGAGACAAAATGTCACAAAAAACAAAGAACTAAATAATCCCCTCATAAGCAAAAAATACAAAAAAAACAAACAATTTCTAATAGCTTCTTTAAATCCTTTAATTGACTCAACAATTTGTTTAATATCATTAGATTGAGAAAATGAGTCGTCAGAAGAGTCCAAAGGTTTAGAACGTCCGTTCAATAAACGCCAGAATTTGACAAAATTGCAAGATTCGAGTAAAGCTCCAATCGAGATAACGCGACGGACTTCCTATAAAAATAAAGGTAAAAAGAAAAATAAATTTGAAATTCACAAAAAAGAAAAAGTAATTTTTATGTAGAAAAACTAACCAAAGAATTAACTTTATCAGCCTCTAACAAATACTTTGCCAGTGCAAAATCATTTCGAGGAAAATTTGTCATAGTTTTGAGCAAAACCAAACAAACATATTTTTCATTATAAAGATGTGGATTTAACTTTAAAAAATATTTCATAAATTAAAAATAAATTAAATAACCTGGTAAAGCTTTAAAAGAGTCATAAGAATATCCTTGTCATATTTGGTTTCTAAAATTAAAAAAATAAATTGAAAAGAAAGATAAATTTAAATATTTGCCAGCTAGAATTCCAGAAATTTTAATTTAAAAAATTAGTTGAAAGAAAAGATAAATTTCTGAAGTCTCTGTCTATTTATAGTAAAAATGCCAATATACTAATGGGGATAAATGTCCAGATCGCCAGACATATAGCTGTTCGGAAATAATTAAAATCTTTAAGATCAAAATGGAAACTTAAGAAAAAAATCTTTAAAAAATCTTAATAAAAAATACCAGAAATCATCAATTGGACAACATATTCTAGTTGTGCAACTTGTGTAGGATTATAACGATTAATACCAGAAATATCAATATTTGATCGTGCCTCTTCAAAAGAACGGCCAATAATTGGTTGTTTTGAAGGATCTTCCATTTAAATAAATTTTCTAATTAAAAAAACTCCTTAAAATAAAAATTAAATAAACATTAGATATTAAATAAAAACAGAAACATTTTTCGGTAAATAAAAAAAAATTATAAAAAGTTTATTTAAATAAATTTAAAATACTTAAAATTAATTAACAAAACAAAATTTTCAAAAAAAATTTTTTTCATCGCCAATTTTTTATAGCACACAATTTAAATGTTCTCCCAGTTGCCTTGTCATGTTTATTAGTTATATGCCTTTTTAAATTCGGTTTAGTAATACAAGCATAACAACAAAATGGGCAATTATAAGGACGCTCACCCGTATGTGAACGAAAATGGACATTTAAAGCTGATTTTGTTCTTTAAAAAATAAATTTTAATTAAAAAATTTTGTTAACCCCAAAAAATAAAGATAACAACTTAATAAAGAATAATTTGAAAAATAAAAATTTAAGGAGTTACAAATAAACTTTCTGAAGTTTCCATACTAATTTATTCTTCATTCCAATTCATAATAAAATTTGAAAAAACCTAAAAGGCCTAAAGCAAAATTCACAATTGAAAGGCATCTCCCCAGTATGAATACGATTATGTACAGCCAAATTGTGTTGAAATAATTTTCTGCCACATAAATTACATTGAACACGAACAGGAAGTGAAGAACAATTAACAACAGGTTTAGGAAATTCTTTATGTTTTAATGTTTGTGTATTTAAACTAAATAAAAATTGAGAAATAAATGTTTGATAATGGGTAGATTATAGACTTGAGTCATAAAAGGAAAAGGACGGAATATAAATAAAGTTGGATTTGGACAAAAAAACTAAAGAAAGCGAATAGGAATTTTTAATTTTTGAGGTTTCTAAGTTCAAGGTTTTTAAATGAGAAGATAAAGCTTAAATGAAACTCTTAATTAATTAATTTAAGTTTCTTAGAAAAAAACCTGTTCGAATTCTCGTATTGATGTAAAGCAGATTTAACACAATGGTTAAAATGAGAGTAATAAGCTTCCTCATCTGTTTGTTTAAAACTAGTTCCACATTCTTTGCAAATTAAATTTTGTAGTGTTGGTTGAACAGATAATGAAACGTTTTTTGTTTGTATATTAGATAAATATTCACCATTTTCTAAATTTATTTGTGGAGAAAAGGACATTAGAAATTCCTATAAATTTTAGAAATTAAATTTAAAAAATAAAAAAACTTTAGATAATTCGAAATTCTTTTGTTGAGAAATAAAACCAGAAAATTGTTGAGAATAATTAAAATTCTGATTGTCAAAAACATATAGTCCATCTTCAAAATTAGCAGGCGATTTTGACGTAAATATGCCATTTTCTTCATAATTTTGATGAAAAGAATTATTAAATGAATAAAAATTGTCGTAGTTGAATTCCGTCATTAAACAACTTTCCTGAAGAAAGAATTCCAAACTTCTTCAATTCGATTAAAAAAACCGGGAAAATATAAAAAATATTTATAGTTCAATGTTTTTAACATAAAAATAACAAAATATCCTTTGTTTGTATAAAAATTTATTTTCAAAAAAAATTTAAATTAATAAAGGAATTAATCTATCTGCTTCAAATAATTTTCTACAATAAGCACATTTTGTGGTAAAATTATTTTCATCAATAAAATCAGGAATACATTGAATACAAAATAAATGTCCACATGGAAGGCATAATTGTTGTTTATTTGAATAACAAATATTACATTTACGAAACTTTTAAAAATTATTTTAAGAAAAATTAATTTAAATAAAAACCTCTTTTGTTTCACTTTCCAATGAACTCATTTTAAATTGTTTAAATAAATGTAACAAAATTGTAATAGTTTTAAAAATTGTGGCAATTGTAAAAATTAGACGAAAAATATTTGAGAACTGAAAAAATTATTTTTAAAGTGCTTTAAAGTAGAATATAAAGTGGGGGAATCTCCTCTTTTTCAAGGAATAGAAGTAGACATTTAAAAAATTAAATTTTGTGACATAATATTCAAGCTAGAAATTTGAAACATAAAAAGACATCAATCATGTTATTAATAAAGAAGGAAAGGATAAGCACCAAAAGACCTCTAATTGTAAGTAAGGTAACTTAGAAATTTGTATGACCCCTTTTTATCCCAGCCAAATCTATGGCAATAAGTTCTGAGGTACCATAAATAATCAATACCGAAAATCATTAGCAATTTAAAACATTATCTGCAATTGGACTGATATCCGCTAAAATTTTTATGGGAATAAACAACTCTACTAACCCAGAGTTATGGTACACATGCACAGTAACGGACCTTAGGGTTTACCACGTAGAGCTGGGTATAATTGCCATAGATTTGAGGAGAAAATTAAAAGGGGTCATACAAAGTTCAAAATTACCAAATTTATTTTTCAATTAAAATTTAAACCTTATTTTGTTGAGGACGAATACTTAAATAAGAAATTCCTGCAATTCTTTTACCAAAAGTGTAACCTTCAAATTTGAACAGTTCAGAAAAAGATTTTAAAATATTAACAAAATTAAGCCTTAAAAACATTTTTAAATAAAAAATTTAAAAAAAACCTCAAAAATGTTTTTAAATTAATTCCAAAAGGGAAAATATTTAAAATTTGGTAATTATTTGGAAGAAGTAAAAAAATATCAATAAACACAAAAATTAAACGTTGAACAAGTGAAGGTATTTTTCTGAAAGAATTTATTTGTAATAAACCAACATATTCTTCCCCAAGAGATTGCAGACCTTAAAAATTAAGAAATTGTTTAAATTTTTAAATTAAAAATTTAAAAAATACCCAAAACATTCGTAGAAGAAAAATAAATAAAGTAACTCAATGCAGATATAAATCGTTGATATTTGATATATTCAAGGTCGCTGAAACAAAGTCTAAAAAGTTTATCTAAACGTTGATTTATAATTTTTAGTTGTTCTTCATCTCTTCTATGGGAAATTATTAATTCACAAAAATCAGCAGCAGCCATTGTATAGTTTACTCTAAATTAATGTTGATAAATTAATTGAAAATTTTGAAGGTCCAGATTCAAATGTCTTGGAGACAAATGTCCCACGGCCAATTGTCTCAGTGACCAACAATCACTGCCTTTGTGGCTGCGCCCCAGTTCGGCCCTCCATCAGTTCATCTCCCTCGGTTTGGGCCAACCCCAGTTCGGCCCACTGACAAACGAGCACGTTCGAATGGAATCATACTTGTCCTGTTTCGACCACGGAGATAATAGGGGAGGTGAGGGCAATGATTTTTATTTATTTTTTGATAAATTTTATTAATTTACATAACTCGTTTTTAATTAAAATTTTGTTTCCGGTGACTAATCCCTTTTCTTAAACGGCTGCTCTGACGGTAGGGGACCATTGTGTACCGCCGTTTGTGTACCGCCGTTTGTGTACGGCCGGTTGTGTACAATAACAATTTTTTGGAACGAGAAATTTCTTCTTTTGAAATTTCTATAATTTTTTATTCGATTAATTTTCTTCCAACCTTTTTCCAAACAATTTTTATTCAAAAAATAATTTATTTATTAAAGCCAATTTTTATTATAAAAAAAAGGAAGAATCAATTTAGAAAAAAAGGAAAAATCTTTTTAGAAAAAAAAGTGATTGGTAAAAAGAACGCCTATGAGCGCCGATTACTACATTTTATATGTGAACGAAGGTCAAAAGGATTTAGAGAAAAGAGAGGGAAATTTTAGTGTAACAAATATATTATTGTGGAAATCTTAAGGGAACGGCAATAATTAATGGAAGAATAATAAAAAAAAGAAATAAAATCTTAAACTTGGGAATTTTATGATTAATGGAATTTTTTAATATTTTTAGATTTTATCTCTTTGTACTTCCGTTTCATCGTTTTTTCGTCTTTGGACCTTCTTTCGTACTGAGGCTGCCAAAGTCGAAACACTCCCAAAGCGCGCAAGATTTGACTCTGTGGGCTGCTGTTGCTGTGTTGACGACGAGACGGCTTCTTCCTCAAATTTATTTTTTAAAAATATTTTTTGAATATTTTTTAAGGATTTGTCTGGCCTATTTACCACCAACCAAAGTTTATAGATAAAATATATGATCTTGTAGGTCCAAATCACTACCCAGATTATGCATACTGTCGTAATTATTTTTTGTTTTAAATCTTCCCAAATTTCTCGGAAAGGCCAAAAGCTCAAGGTTGGTGTGCCTATTTTTGCATCGAATTCATTGTTTGTGGCTAATTCAGTTGTCTTGCTATCGCGGCTCAGACTAAATTCTTTAAAAGCCTCCAGCATTAATTTTTCAGGGTTACTTAATTTTGTAAGAATATGCCCTTTAAATGTTTTTGCATCCAGTTTTGGCGGCTTTTGGGACCATTCCAACCCTTTTGGGGCGGTTATTATATTTTCTTCAGGAATTCTTTCCAGGGTTCCCGTTTTCTGGTCCACTATGTATATTGCCTCTCTTATTTTAATTTTTTGCTTGCCATATTTTGAGCAGCTCCCATATTCAGTGTCTGCTCTAATAATGAGTTTTAACGGGTCCAAGAACATCATTTCACTCTTCCCCACGTCTAGTGTTACATTTATTGGAATGTTTTTTGAACATTCTTTCCCAGTAGGCCTAATCTTTATTTTTAGCCAATCTATGGGGTAACAAGACCAAGCTTCCAACCATACCTGGTTGTTTTCTTCTGCTACCCAATTTGCTTCGACGTAAGGATTTAACAGTCGTTGTCGCGCAATCATGGTGGGGTCTAATGAAGAGAGAAAAGTTATTTCGGATTGTTGACGGCACATGAATCTAGCCAAATGATTATATGCCTGTTTGAGTTGCATTTCAGTTGTCAGGCGTTGTGCCGTTTCGCCCGCTGAAAATTGTGAGACGTGTATTTGCCCATCTAATCCCAAATTTTTTATTTTTTCTTTATTACCGCTAAATTCTGTAGCAGGTAAGGAACGTCTCGGTTGACTTTTGGTCACCGCAAAATGTGCCTGATAATCCAGCATAGTAATAGCATACAGTTGGTCCGTCCTCACCATTGTTTTACCACAATCCATGAACTGTTCTGGGCTTGTAACACTTAAAGAAAAAGTTTGATCATTAGCCATGAACCATTTATCATACATTGAGCCTTTGAAGGTTTCCATTCTTCTGAAGTTACACTGTTGCTCTTCTTTTGGAGCATTCCACAGTAACATCGATTGGTCTTCTAGGAGGCAAGCTCTGTCGATTAGTCGACAGTGTCCCAATTCCAGCAAAGGTGATTCAATCCTTTCCTGGTTAGGTGAAAAATATATATGTATTTTTGTCAAAAAACAATTAATGACTGAAACCTCTTTGCCACCCGAAAAATAAGAGAATTCAGGGTTGAGTGAATTTCTTGTACGTTTATTTTCTTCTTCCCCTTCCATTATTTGATCTGTGCCAGTGTTACACTTTGAGGTGTAAATCATTTTCAAGCACTCTTCCCGGGTGGTGCTAAGTTGAATTTCTTGTGTGACGTCATTAGGGCGGAAGACTGTCAGTTCAATATTTTTGATTATTTGCCTTTCTGAGACGAATAATTCTTCACAATGAGAAGGGTGTTGATCTATTTTATAAATTTTGCTAGTTATTCCATGAGGGCATATCATTGGCTCACCTGTTTGGACGCCAGGTAAGCAGGATAGAAGTGCGAGTCCAAGCATAACCAAATTCATTGAAACATACGAGAGCCGATTAATTATATTCGGTCTTCCTCCATTTCTGATGGGGCTCATATTTCTAATGTAATGTCCTCGCCTAGGCGTACGACGTCCTCTTTGTTGATTATCCGACCGACGTACGTAAACGGTTCTTCTTGGATTATAATTATTTTCGACTCTTTCTTCTTGCATTTCCGAGTCAGATTCTTCTTCTTCGACAACCGGAGGAGCATTTTGTTGTCGTTCTAATCTAGTATCAGCTGCCCTTAATTTTCGTACAACTTCTTCTATCCCTTCTTTAGTTATTCTTCCTTCTTCATCTACTAAATTCTTTCTTAAGGCTTCTGAACTGCCCGTTTCTATTTCCAGGTATTTTGTACCTCTTTTTTCTTTTCTCTCTTTTTTGAGATTTTCAACAATTTTTTGCCAATAATCAACTTCTCTTGGTTTATATGGGGGTGGCAAAATATAGACTGTTCCGCTGAAGCATTCAAGTTTTTTCCAAAGCGGCTCTAATTGAGCTTTGAGAGCTTCAGGGTGTCCTCCTTCATCAATAACTTCTCCCCCTATCCAAATTATTGTTGTGAAATAGGGAGCTGGTGTGAGTGGTAAGTAGTCATTAAATAAATATTTAACTTCATTCGCTGCTATTGGTGCGGCGCAAAAACTTTGAGGGAAGAATTCAGTTAATATTTTCGCGTTGTGGTCCCCCACAATCATAACCTCTTCGTATATGGGAGTAGCTCGTGGATAATATTCAACAAATCGCATAAATGTTAGCGCTTTTTCAGCATGCTCAGCTATTTTTAAAAACAATTCATATCCTTCCTCTTCTGTTGGATTTCCTTGTCCTCTTAAGCTAACAGGAAGCCAAGGTTTGTTTGAAAATGCTTCCTCCGCTAACTCACAAGCAGCCTTCCAGAGAGCTAATGCTGGCTTTAAATCTCTTGGATGCCAACCTCTTTCTAAATTTATAGTTCTTTTCTTTTCTATAGCAGTAATTATCTGCGCGGGCTTCTTTGCATTCAATACTTCATCAATAAACTCAATTCCCGCTTCAAAAGACGTTGTTTTATTATTTTTCTTCTTCCACCAGTCTTTTCTCATTTTCATTAGTGTCCAGAAACACAGAAGTAATTGGATTAAAGACTGAATTGGCTTACTCTGAAGACGTGGATAATCCCTTTTTATAGCTTCAGAATCCTTTCTAGCGATGTCGACAACGTTACGGAGAGTTAGTTGCGAGCATCGCTTGTGACTATTCGCTCCAGGTAGGCAACCATTAATTAAAGCCCAGCCGAAATTCAAAACGAGCTTTCCATTTTTGACCTCTCTTTTGGAGGGGTCTTTTTCTTTAAGTTCGGCCTTCTTTCCTTCCTTTTTAGGTTCCGAACCATTCTGTTGTTGAAACTTCATTAACCTAGAAGTGCTAGTACATTCTTCCTTTTTACCTTCAAAACAGTTTTGCTGTCTTGTTTTATTTAATTTGATTGAACCTGAACCTGGCTGTTTGCGAACCACTTTCTCTTCAGCTTCCTTTTGTTTCTGTATTTTCTTTACAAAAGATTGTAGTCGATCATCAAAATTTTGTTTAACTTGCTTTTTTGGTGGCTCTTCGTTTTTATCAATACTTCCATTACTTTGATTTTTCAATTTTTCTTCTTCATAATCCAAAGAGAGATCGGAAACATGTTCGTCTACCATTTCCCTGAAAATGATCAAATTACATTGACAAATTTCTTTATTAGTAATTTTTCTATTTTTATTTTTCAATTTTAAAGAATCATTTTTATTTTTATTCTCCATTTCCTCAGCTTTTTCTGGGATTATTTTTTCATTTTCATCTACTTCAAAGGGAAAGAGATCGTTGACTGCGCGGCGCATAGTTCCTTTACTCGTTTTTACTACCGCTGTTCGCTCACCCGGAAGTAATTTTTCGATTTTTCCGAGCTTCCAAACTCCACGATTTTTTATTTCATCATCTCGGATGATGACAACATCTCCCGCCTTAGGGGGATTTTCTGCGGAGGGGCACTTTTTGATACCGTTTTTTCTCTCTCTCAGTGCCAGCAAATATTCGGCTGTCCAAATTTCCCAGAATTTGTTTATTCTGTCGGACGCCTTCCTTATTTCCTCGACTAATTCTTCTTTATAAGCCATTTTTTGGGGTCGATAATCTGGGTCCTCCAAATCTGCTTTTGGCAAATGAGGAAATTCAGAATTGCCTTCTTCATATGGTATTAGAAAATCCACTGGTCGGAGGGGAATTATGTGCTCTGAGTCAGGGATAAAATTGAGTGGCCTGGAATTTACCACATTTTGTACTTCGCTTATTAATGTACGAAGTTCTTCCTCTTCCAACAGCCTTTTTCCGACTGTTCTTTTTAGAGAATATTTTACCAGTCCTACCATCCTTTCTACAAGTCCATTTTTCCATGGAGCTCTTTCCGTCACGAAAATCCATTTAATTTCGTGATCAGAAGAGAATTTTTGAATTTTTACTTCCTTCCAAATTATTTGTAGAGTTTTTTCCGCGGCTTTGAAATTTGTGCCGTTGTCGGAAATCATCAAAGCTGGCTTTTTTCTTTGAGCCATAAATCTTCTGAAAGTTTGTAAAAAGGCTTGGGCGGACAAGTCTTCAGCCATTTCTAGGTGAATAGCTCTAGTGCTAGTACACGTATAGACAGCTATCCATCTTTTAATTTTATCGCCACTGGTTTGTTTCACGGTTAGAGGTCCAAAATAATCAACCGCAGTGTGCATAAAGGGCCGAAATTGGTTAACTCTAATCGCAGGCAGTGTCGGAAATGCTGGTTGTTTGTATGGCTTTATCCAAAATTTCTTACATATTTGACACTTTTTGGTGACATCCTGGACTTTTTTCCGAGATATCCAATATTTTAATCTCAAACAGGCCAATACCGTATTGGTTCCTGCATGGGCCATTTTTTCATGGACCTCCATTATTATTAATTCAGTTAAAATGGCATTCTTAGGCAACCAAATAGGAAATTTTGTTTCCTCATCGAGATGGCCTAATTCAATTCTTCCTTTACTCCTCCATAATTTTTCTGAATCTTTAAATAATAATAAATTTTGTTTTGTATCTTCAGAGGGAGGGTATAGATTTTGAGCTTCTTTTAATAAAAATATTTCAGCCAATTTCATCTCTTCTGGTTTAATTATTCCTGGTGAATTGGCCATAGTTTCTTTTAATTTTAAGAAAAATTCATTTTTCATATTTATTTCTTTTTTCAGGCAAATGTGTTTTAATGCTCTGAGAACGAAAATTAATGTTGTTTTTAATTTATTTATTTTAGAAAATCGATGGTGCTCTATTAATGGTGCTTTTTCTATTGTCAAAAGGCACATTTCATGGAAAGGTTGAGGATTAAATTTTTCTATCCTCTCCCCTGGCACATATTCGATTTCAGTTTTGGGCCAATTTTCTTCTTCTTCGTGAAGAAATTCTGGGCCTTTAAACCAAAGAACATTATTGGCCAATTCGCTTGGAGTAATTCCCCTACTAGTCATATCCGCCGGATTTTCTTCGGTTCGGATGTATTTGACAATATTTTTTCGAATAGGCCTTAAACGTCTTTCAATGAATGGTTCTTGCTCCGATGGGCTTTTTAGCCAGTGGATGACTGTTTGAGAGTCAGTCCACAGTATCTTTTTATTAATTTTTATATCGAGCATCTTTTCTACATATTCCAATGCTTTAGTAGCTATTAAAGCTGCATGGAGTTCCATTCTGGGAATAGTTAATTTTGCTTCGCATTTGCCAATTTGCGCTTTAGGCTTTACTCTGCTTTTAGCAAAAATTAGAGTCGATTCTATTTTCGCATCTTTTTGAGAGCGAAGATAGATCGTGAATCCTAAAGCTTTGTCTGAAGCATCAGAAAAGGCGCATAGTTGGAAATTTGGTACTTTCGTTAATTTCCACGAGATAACTCTTCTGGGTATTTTAATAATGCTACAATTTAGATATTCTGTTGCAATTTCTTCCCATTCAATTTTTAAATCCTCGGGTAAATCATTGTCCCAAGGAAGTTTCGCTTCCCATACTTTTTGCAATAGCCATTTCCCTTTTAGAAGAGCGGGTGAAATAAGGCCGCAAGGGTCAAAACATTCAGCTATAGTTGCTAGGACTTTTCGTTTTGTCCATTGCTTTTCTTCAGTTATTTTTGGTATAGGGAGTTTTAAAGATAGAGCATCATAAAAGGTGTCCCATGTTATACCTAATATTTTTTGTTTAGCGCTAGAATGCAAATTAGTCGTCCTTGCTTCTATTGGAAGCTTATCAACAGGTATGGCATTCAATTGTTTAATCGCGTTTGTAAATATTTCACGAAAGTTCCATCCGGCTTCTTGAAATATTTTTCGCGCTTCCAAAATATCTTTTTCAACTTCCGATTTTTCTTCTGCTCCGATTAAGAAATTGTCGACGTAGCCTGCCTTTTTCAATTTATTAGCAGTTGAACTATCATATTTGGCTAAATGATAGTCTACAGTCATTCCTAAAATAGAGGGAGAACAATTTACGCCAAACGTTACCCTGGCGTAACGGAATATTTTTAAATCATCGTCATTTTGTGACGATGCTGGTTTTTTAACGTCCTTAACCCATAAAAATCGTACGCAATTCCTATCTTCTGGTCGCAAGCTTATTTGTAAAAAAGCTGCCTGTAAATCTCCAGCTATTAAATACGTGGGCAGACGACATCGCATAAGTAACCCGCACAAGTCTTGTATTGTGACGGGGCCTTGGTGAAGACAATCATTTAGAGAAGGATTGTCCTTCCGGCTTTTTCCGCTTGCATTAAAAACGATTCGGAATTTTGTGAAAGTTTTATCTTCTCTCACAACCGGGAAATGTGTCAGATAGTGAATTTGTCCACCATCATCTTGATTTCTGGGTATTTCTTCAATAATACCTTTTTCCACTTGGTCAGCAAAGGTTTGTTCATAGAGCGCTAAATGATTCGGATTTTTCTTCTGTTTTTCCTCTATTTGATTTAAAAGCATTGCTTTGGCCATACGGTAATTGCTTGGTAATTTTGGGCACGGGTCTTTCCACAACCAGCCTGCTTCATAACGTCCATTTTGGAACGTTAATTTAGCTTCAAATTCATTTCTTATTTTTTCGTCCAATTTTTGATTGGTCGCGTCGCCTATGCCAATTCCGTCAAGCGAATACATTTTATCTATTTTATCTTCTAATGTTTCATTTCCATAGTCATTTTCTTCAGTAATTACTGCATTAGAACGATCAATAGTAGGGAAAGATTTACTGTTGGTAATTTGTCCTTTCCCTCCTATTACTGGGCCAAGCGCACTGTCTGCAAGCCAAAGTCCGCAATTTAATTTTTTCTTTCGAATTATATTTAATTCGAAGAAATATTCAACTCCCAATAGGACGTCCGGTTCGACTACGGAATGCGGTATTTTGTTGGATTTTAGATCCAATTCGCGCTCGTCCTCGGGAGCCAAAACCACAGGCATTTGGGTGATCAAGCTGTGTAAATTATCCAACTGCCCTACTTCTACAAACATTTGCCCGTTTCTGCATTTCTCGATCCCTAATCTGAATATTTCTGCCTGAAATTCAATTATCGGGGACCTGTTTGCCGGAAAAGGTTGGATCCTTTGTACCTCTTTTTGAGAAGTACGCAGGCCTAATTTTTGCGCTATTCCTTTTCGAATGTAAGATCTTTGGGACCCACAATCGATAAATACCATTCCAGTTGTCCTTTTTTCGGGACTAGACGGATTAAATATAACGGCTTCACGGCATAGCAAAATTCTTTTTTGCCGCGGCTTTTGTAAAAGCGCCAAATTTTGCAAAACATTTCCTTCAATTTTTATATTATTTTCCTTATAAGTTTTTTCGCAAAGTGCCGTATTGTGCCTTTCTTGACAGTGGAAGCATCTGATAGGTCTTCTACAATTCCCCATGTGCTCTGGCTTAATGCAAAAAATACATCTTTTTATCTCTATTAATTTTTGCCGTCGATCCTTCGCGGTGCTAGTTTGTCTGCATTCATCCCCCCAATGTCCCTTTTTTCCACAAAATATACAAGGGTATATTGGGGCTCTCCTCCCACCTTCAGGCTTATTTTGGTTTTGGTTGTTGTTGTTTTTATTATATTTTGCGCGTGTGTTAAAATTTTTATTTTTTGCTTCAGTATTTGCGAATGTTCTTGTTACTTCCTTTTCATTATTTCTTCTTACATTTTGGAAGTTTCTTTGGCTTTTTATGGTATTTTGCTCAACTTTTTCGTTTGATTTTGCGTGAATGGAGAGGACAAGTTCCTCTTTCTCTATTACTTCACGCAAAGCTTTTCTGAAAGCTGCGGTGTCCCATAAAGCTTCATTACTTTTAACAATCGCCTTCTTTGACTGAATTTCGCGCAGAATTGGAATTGTGAGCTTTTTTTCTAAGCTCATCCAAATTCCTTGGCCTGAGATGTTTTGGTCGTTATTTTCCAAAAGGCGGCATATCCTTTCAACATCTAACGAGAATTTCTTACAATCTTGAAAATTTTGACAAATTTTCAAACTCTCTAGTTGTGTATGTAAATGCCGTATATATTCTTCCTCATTTCCATATCTTTGTTTGAGTAAATCGATGGCTACTTCATAATCACTTAATTTTAATCCCTCTATAAGTGATTTTGCTTCTCCCAGTACACATTGTTTGAGAACCGCGTGTTTTACTTCTTCACTTCCGTCGGTCTCGTGTACTGTAGCGTTGAAGATTTGCCACCACTCGGGCCAGTCTATCTGCCTACCCGAGAATTTTCCAATTTCTTGCCTCGGTGGCTTAAAACTAAATCCAAGAGCTTGTTGTACTTGTGTTGTAGAATTAATTATCGATTTCTCTTTTCTTTCTTCCTTTCTTTTTTCAGTTTTTAACTTCCTTTCTAAATCTTTTAGACTTCTTAATTTTATTTCCGCTTCATTTAGACGCTCTTCGATATTATAGTCTTCTGCTACTTCTTCATATGCTTTTTCAAGCGTTTGTTTTTCTGCTTGCGACCCTCTTTGAATTAGCGAAATCCATTTCGCGTTTGCTTCTTTTAAATCGTTGTAGGCCTCCGCTAATTCTTCAATTTCTATATTTATCTGGTCGAGTGTTTCACAAACATCAAGGAAGAATTCTGAATTTTGTTCAGAATCTTCAGGTTCTTTTGGAACCTCTCGCTCAAGTAGCGTTTGTACCGTTTCCGAAGCTCTTTTTGTGAAAAGCTTCAGCGGTTTACTCATTTTTATTTATTTTAAATTTCTTTTAATTCTTCAAAATAAATTTAAACAAAAATTTTATTTTATTTTATTTTTTTTTTTTGAAAGGACACTAAACTACCTTTTTGTTGTTGCTCAATCAATCCACTAATTATTTTAAGGAGAATTTTAGTATTTTTGTTGTTTCCAAATAAATTTGCAGGTCGTTATTATTTTTTCTGTTGTCAGTGCTCGCCACTTGTTCCAATAACAATTTTTTGGAACGAGAAATTTCTTCTTTTGAAATTTCTATAATTTTTTATTCGATTAATTTTCTTCCAACCTTTTTCCAAACAATTTTTATTCAAAAAATAATTTATTTATTAAAGCCAATTTTTATTATAAAAAAAAGGAAGAATCAATTTAGAAAAAAAGGAAAAATCTTTTTAGAAAAAAAAGTGATTGGTAAAAAGAACGCCTATGAGCGCCGATTACTACATTTTATATGTGAACGAAGGTCAAAAGTATTTAGAGAAAAGAGAGGGAAATTTTAGTGTAACAAATATATTATTGTGGAAATCTTAAGGGAACGGCAATAATTAATGGAAGAATAATAAAAAAAAGAAATAAAATCTTAAACTTGGGAATTTTATGATTAATGGAATTTTTTAATATTTTTAGATTTTATCTCTTTGTACTTCCGTTTCATCGTTTTTTCGTCTTTGGACCTTCTTTCGTACTGAGGCTGCCAAAGTCGAAACACGCCAGTTGTGTACTTGGCCGTTTGTGTACCTGGCCAGTTGTGTACCGCATTATATAGGAATATAATAGGGGAATATAGATTATATTCCCCGACTTAGAATCTTATTAGAAAATTCGAAATGCAAATTCGACCAAAATTGCCATGATTTAACAAATTTGGACAAAGTTACGGTTCAAAAATAAACCAGTAAACCTATGGGCGTCGGCGAGACGCTTGTGCAAAAGCCGGCACGCGTCTCGCGGGAGTCAACGGTCGCTGGGTTCCGTACCAGTAACATAAACCTATTCCTTTTATCGATTTTTTGAGTTGAAATGCCGACCTATTCTTCGTAGCAACACAAAAAGTTCTTTAAGTGATAATTAGAGCTAGGAATTTTGAAAAAACCGGGACCGGGTCCGGGTAACGGGTTCTGAAAAATGGACCGGCCGGGTTCCGGGTCCGGGAAACCGGGAAAACCCGTTCCCGGTTTCAACCCGGTCTAGAAATGGGCGGGTCCCGGCCGGGAAACCGGGTTTTTTTATTTGTTGAAATGGGGCTGTATTTTTCATCATGGGGCTGTATTTTTCAACTATCCTCCTATACGATTTTCGAAGTTTAGATGGTAATGAAGCCAGAACTCTTAAATTTTCTGCGCACAAGCGAAAATTTTGGAAAATTCATGATTAAATTAAAATTTCTAATATTTTTTCAAGTAAAATCTTAAAAAAAAAATAAATTTGCAAATTTAAAATCAAAATCAAAGTTTAAAATTATTTTTTTAAAAAGAAAATTTTCTCAGCCCCACTTCCATACATGGATTCGAACCCCATCCCCATAAATTGACTAGATGAGTGAAGTCAGTCAATTTAACCACTCAATCATCGACCAATAAAGGGAAATATTGGAAATTATAAATATTCCTTTCCCTTTTCCTTCAAAAATTTAATATCGAAGTACGAAAATATACTAAATATTTTTCCCGGTTTCCAGGTGAAAAAAAAGCCGGGACCGGGTCCGGGTAACGGGTTCTGAAAAATGGACCGGCCGGGTTCCGGGTCGGGAAACCGGGAAAACCCGTCCCCGGTTTCAACCCGGTTGCTTCAAAAAAACCGGGAAAAAGGACCCGGAAACCGGGTTCCGGGTCCGGGTCCCGGACCCGTTCCTAGCTCTAGTGATAATACGGCCTAAAATCCCCTGATAAAGTAACCTTGGGTCTAATAAGATTCTGAATTGGGTGATATAGTCTATATTCCCTTACTATCTTACCAGCAATACTTTCGTTCTGGGATATATAAAGACAAAAATTCTTAAAAATGCGGGTACACAAACGTCCCCATTTGGGTAGGTACACAACCGGCCGTACACAACCGGCCAGGTACACAAACGGCAAGGTACACAACCGGCGGTACACAACTGGCCGTACACAAACGGCGGTACACAAACGGCCGTACTCAATGATCGCGTTCCGCTGCTCTGAAACGCCCCTACCCTGAGGCGTCCTCTACCCAAAAATAAATTTCGTTTTGACTAATTTTAAGCTTTATTTTTTGTTTTTTTTTTGTTTTCAATTCCATTGTTTGTGTTTTATTTACCTAATTTAGGTTATTTTGACTAAAAATTCGAAAAATAAATTATGGATTATAATACAGTTATTGCTAGTCAACCAGTAGTTATTGACAATGGTTCGGGCATTTTAAAAGCTGGTTTTGCTGGTGAGAATGCACCAAAATGTATTTTTGGTAATTATGTTGGAAGGCCAAAACATACAAGAGTTATGGCTGGAGCTTTGGAAGGCGACTGTTTTATTGGTTTTTTTGAAATTATTTTTTATAATTAAAATACTTAAAGGGCCAAAGGCTCAAGAATATAGAGGACTTCTTGCTTTAAAATACCCGATGGAGCATGGAATTGTGACAGATTGGAGCGATATGGAAAAAATTTGGCAATATATTTATTCAAGTGATCAGCTTAGGGTAAATATAGGTTTTTAGAAATGTTAAATTTTGTTGATTCTTTGGTATTTATATATTGAGGGGCCAGATTTTATTTTCTTGGACTCTTATTTTGAATTAGAAATTTGGTATGTTTTTGATATACACTCTAAATTAATACTGACAATGAGATTGCCTAAGTGATTAAGCCTTTAATTCTCAAAAATCCAGCTAGTCTCTATAGTAAGTCAAGAACAATGTTTATTTCTTTTTTCAGACAGAACCTAATGAACATCCAATTTTGTTAACTGAAGCACCATTAAATCCTCAAACTAACAGGGAAAAAGCTGCAGAAATCTTATTTGAGACTTTTAATGTTCCTGCTCTTTATATACAAATTCAGGTTTTCTTTTTAATTTCTTTAAATTTTACTGGAATTTTTAGGCAGTTCTCAGTCTTTACTCTTCCGGCAGAACAACTGGTGTAGTTCTCGATTCTGGCGATGGAGTTACCCATGTTGTGCCGATATTTGAAGGATTTGCTATTGAACATGGGTTAATATTTTAATTATTTATTTATAAATGGCCCCCCTTCCCTGGATACTTGCCTCAATTTAATGAAGGTCTACGTATTATTTTAAATTTTTATTAAAAACTCATTTGACCAGACTCGAAGAGCTTTTTCGAATGATATGTAATAAATCATATATCAAACAAAAAAAAAGCGTAATGGTCAGGGAAACGGGAAAAAAGAGGGGCGACTTCCAAACTACCACCAATAACTCATTTTAAGTATTCAACGTATTGATATTGCCGGCCGTGATGTGACACGCTATCTCAGATTATTATTGCGGAAAGAGGGTCACATATTCAGCAAAACCAGCGAATTTGAAATTGTGAGGGAAATTAAAGAACAAAAATGTAAACTTTATTCAACTCCGCTTAAAGAAGATTCTGTCGCTGGTGAAACAACGAAGGTTTTTTCTAATTAGGTATAATTGTTTTATATTTTTTAGGTCATTTATCCACTCCCAGATGGCTCAAAAATTGAAATTGGTGCAGCACATTATAGGGCACCAGAGATTCTTTTTCGACCAGAATTGATTGGAGAGGAATGCGATGGAGTGGCACATTGTCTTTCTAATGCTATTTTTGTGAGATTATTTTTAAACTATCTTTTTTTTTTGTAAAATTAAGAAAATTTTTTGATATTTTGGACACCTTTTTGATATTTTTTAAATTTAAGAAATGTGACGTTGATTTGCGCAAAAAATTGTATGAAAATATTGTTCTAAGTGGTGGATCTACAATGTTTCAAGGATTTGGAGATCGATTACTTACTGAAGTAAATTAATATTTTCTCTCTTATTTTTCTTTTTTTAGATGCGAAGACTTGGCCCAAAAGACGCAAAAATTCGTATTTTAGCTCCACAGGAGCGTATTTATTCAACTTGGATTGGTGGTTCTATCCTAGCTTCATTGGACACATTCCGTAAAATTTGGGTTACAAAACAACAATTTGATTCAATTGGGAAAGGAATTATTGCAAGAAAAACGTTTTAATTATTTTTGTAAAAATTATTTTTTGATCTGTTTTTAATTTAAATTTTGTTTTGACTATAATTCTTTGAAGTTTTTTAATGGAAAGCAGTGTAGAGATTAAGAAAAAATTTTTTAACAAAAATTTATTACTTTAATATCCTATTTACAAGGGACTGTAAACAAAAGTGCTTTCCATTTAAGTGTAAGATTTTAAAAATTATAAATCAAAGGAATAAAAATAATAAGATTAAAATACTTAACCTTCTCATACTTTTTAATTTGTTTAAACCACAAAATTATTTTTTAATTTTATTTATATTTGCCAGTCTAGTCTAACATAAAAGAAAACACAATGTCCGAAAAAATATTTTTCGTTTCGGATCCAGTTTGGATCTGTTGCTGGGGTCGGACTGGATCCGAACGAGTTTTCTCAGGTCAAATCAGTCCGTAATTGACCCTGACCTTGGAAAATTCCGATTAAATTTCCGGTAATGGACATTAATTAGGGATGTATTTTGTAAGTTTTTTGAGGGGAATATGTCAAAATGTAAAATTTAAAAATGTTCAAACCAGTCATGTTTTTGGATTTCAAGGAAAGCTTTATTTAAGATTTCATAGATTTGATTCGTATCTTGTTTTTCTAAAAACAAGACTGTTTTTAAATTAATTCTATTTTTTAAGTTTATTTTAAACTTCTCTATAAAGCTAATTTTTCACTTGCCTTTATACCTCTGTATACAAATAATCTTTAATGGGGAATTGTTTACAATTTTTACGCCGACGAGTGGCTGGTGATGATTTTACTCGTTTAGATAATCTTTCTACAAATACGGGTTCAGGTTTTTTTTATTTAAACTGAAATTTAGAAGAATTTTATTTTCCAACAAACTGTAGGGAGTGGAAGACGAACACATTCTTCACGTGGTTCTTCTGGGGGTATTTCCTCATCATCGGCTTCAAGTGGTTCTGAAAGGAGTCGTCTACATCGAAACATGCAGACGGTTATTTTTTTGCGTAGCCTGAAGTATTTTCTTTGTAATTAATAGAGCTCTTATGTCAACCAGCTTTACATGAATTCTGCCTTTGGAACTGGCGGCGATGAAGCAAATGCGGCGGAAATGAAAGCTTTAGATGAAAAACGAAAGGTTCTTTTTGTTTGAATTTTAAATTAAATATTCGATTTAAGGCCCGCGTCCGCTGCCTTCTAGAGCAAATTCCGGTTGATATGTTTATTGAAGACGGAAAGGGAGACACGGAATGTGCAATTTGTATGGGTGATTTCCAACCTGGAGATCCTATTCGATTCTTGCCTTGTTTGCATTCTTACCATTTGCAGTGTATTGATAGTTAGTTTTAAATTTTAATATCAATTTAAATATTGGCGGATTGGTTTTGAGCTTTGAAATAACCCTGTGTTTAGGTTTGCCTTCCTTGGTGTTTAGATATAAAAGCTGGCGAGATCTTTGTTAGGAATTGCTATAATACTAGTTAGCTCTTTATTTGGGATTTTCCACAAATATATATTCCACGATTATTTATATTTTCTTTGTATTTCTGTCTCGATCCATTTTACGTCTATTTTAACTTTTATTAAAGATTGGCTTCTTCGTTCATTTACCTGTCCATCTTGCATGGAACCTGTTGATTCTGCATTACTTTCTGCATTTACTCATACTTCTGGAAGTGGTATATTTGATTTGTCTTCACTTTCAACAACGCCATCAACTACAACAACATTAACAAATAAATCCGACAAGGTCTCGAAAAAATTCAAATAAAAATGGAATTTTGTGAAATTGCAAAAATAATCGTTTTGAGTGTTTTTTGAAATTTAAAGGGTGCAGGTAAGCAGCTATGCTTTTATAAATGTAGCTTTTAATTACTCTTAATCGTATTTCCTAAATATATGAATACTCCTCGTTCTCAACGTCCACATTCGACTTTTGCCCCTTTAAAAATGTTTTTGTAACCAAATTTAAAAATACCAAAATAAAGTTAAAATATATTTTTTAAACACAATATTCTTTCAAAAACATTTTTGTCACATGTAGCACTTATGTAATTACTTATGTCTCGATTATTTTGATTTTGGCAATATTCAAGTTTACTTTTGTTGACTTGTTTTTTTCTAGAATTAGGTTTAAAATTATTAAAAGAATGTGTTGATTAATGGAAGGTAAGATTTTCTCTCCATCTCTAGATTTTTTCATAGTAAACTTGAATATTGCCTTTGTATATTAAATTGTAAAAAATCGTAGATGGTTTTTGCTTCATTTAAGTACTGCGATAACATTACTTTTTTTTAAAATTCATCTTGTAATATTGTCCTCGATTTTTTCTCATATGCAATCAAGACAGAATAAATGTTTTGAAATTATTTTTAGCTATTTTTTAATGGATTATTTAGTTCCACGATTACTTTTTAAATTTTTAATAAGAGCGAACATTTGGAGATTCCTTTTACCAAAAATATTTTCGGGCTAGCTTCTAGAAATTGTGGAGGTTAATAGATTTATTTAGAATATTTATTCTATTTTCCCCTTAATTTTTGTTTTGTCCCTGGGTTTCCGGACTGTTTGCTCTCCACCTTATGTAAAAATATTATATTTATTTTTCAGTATCTTATTTTATTAAATTGCACACCTTGTGCTAAAACAAATTTTGGAAAAATGACTGCTGTCGGAGTGCCAATTAAAGTTTTACACGAAGCCGAAGGGCATGTTATTACGTTGGAAACGACTATCGGTTTTTAAAAATTTAAAGAATGAAAATATTTTCTTAATTTCTAGGAGAAGTCTATCGCGGGAAACTTGTCGAGGCTGAAGATAACATGAATTGCCAAATGGCCGAAGTTACTGTTACTCTTCGAGATGGGCGAACTCAAACACTCGAAAACGTTTTTATTCGTGGATCGCAAATTCGTTTTATGATTTTGCCTGATATGCTTAAGAATGCTCCAATGTTTAAGGTTTTGATTTAAAGTTTAATGGAAGAAAGAATTGTTTTGATGTTGCGCTGTATTTATATTTTACTTGTAAGAGGCCCTTCTTGGATCCCTTTAGTATAAATAAATAATTCAAAAATTCTTTTTAGAATATCGGTCGTGCTCAACGTGGCAGTCAGGGAATGGGTGCTGGTGGAGCACCACGTGGACGTGGAACTGCTTTCCGTGGTGGTCCTCCACGTGGAGGGCGTGGACGTGGTGGAGGAATTCCTCGTGGTGGGATGCCATTCCGTGCTTGAATTGAAGGAAATTTTTGCGAAGTTAATTTATGTTGATTTTTTGATTTTTTACGATATGTTCATGTTTAAACTTAACTTTTGTTGAAAAATAAATTTTCAGAATTAAATATTGAGAAAAACAGATGCCCTTCTAACAAAATAGAGTTCTTATTGTTAGTGTTGAAATGTCACTTGATACAGAGGGCTAATTTTTTTTCAAAAAATGCTTTATTCCTTGCCAGTGAAACGAATCTTGACATTTTTAAATGTCTCAGCTATCAACAATTATGTTTATTCAAATAATTGCTTGTTCAACAACAATTTTGTTTGATTGAACATAATTGTTTATAGTTGAGACATTTAAAAATGTCAAGATTCGTTTCATTTGGCAAGGAATAAAGCATTTTTGAAAAAAAATAAAATCTTCTTTTCGATATCTTCCTTTGCTCCAATATTTTTTGGAGACAATAAGATCTAAAAATTATTCTTTTTTCTCAATATTCAATTTGTTTTACTTTTAGATCTCCCCTCATTTAAATTAAGTTGTTGAATTTTGTTTTTTTTTCAACATTTCGATATTTTTTTATTTAAAACAATAAATATTTCAAAATAAACTTCGAAGTTTTATTAAATCAAGTATTTTTTAAAATATTTTTAATTATTTCGAAAGAATTTTTTAAATTAATTTTTAGAAAAATATTAGAAAATTTTTTGACAGTAAAATTCTCTCAAGTGTTTAATGGCGTTGCTTTCGAATAACTCTGTTCAGAATCAAGTATATTTTTTTCTTAATGAAACGCATTCTAGTCTAAAAATCGTTTTAAAACGTTTTGGGTTGTAATCCTTACCCAGCGATGAGGAGAATTTTAGTTTTTGACTTCCATCATTTACGAATTGTTGGGATCTCTTGTTATCTTATCTAAATTCTTATATTTTCTAAATTTATTTTTTATTAGATTACCAAACTTCAATCGCGTCTAGAAAATGCTCTTTCTCAACGACGATTTTATGATGCTCATCAAATTATTCGAACATTGCAAACTCGAATGCTTCAAAAACAGATTAACGTAAATGACCCAAATTCTGAAGCAAATGTTGAAGAATTACTTGAATTAATTTATAATTGTTGTTTGACTTTTTGTAAAGGTTTTTATTTGAATTTTATTTTTAAAAATTATTCTAGAAAATGAATTTTCGAGTGCTATTGACCTTGCTGAACTTTATGTGGACACTTGTAAGAGTACTGCACGTCAACTTGTGGAAGATAAATCTGACAAACTTGTTCAGGTTTTTATGGATTCATTTTTTTCAAAAAATCGGTCCAACCATTTTGAAATTTTGTTGAGTTTGTCCTTAACTTGTTTTGTTTACACAATTCGAGTGTGTCACCCTTGAAGATTTCCTGCCTTCCTTTTAAAAAATTAATTTAATAAAATATACCTCCTAATATTTTTAAGCTTTTCACCAAATTGCCAGGCAAATTGGAAGGAGAGGAAATTAATAGTGACGACAAAGACTCAGAGACTTTTGATTCGGATAAATCTTTACCTAAAGATCGACGAACTCCTTTTTTAAATAAAACATTGGATTGGGCATTAAAAAATACTGGTGGATGTCCAGATTTGTTGAATTCTGTTGTTTTATTACAGCAACGTTTTGCAAAAGTTTTGGAAAATGAGGGACGGAATCAGCAGGCAGAGAGATTGAATAAAGCTGCTGATTGGTTGGTTAAAGAGGTTTTTGATTTTAAATTTTAGATTCTTATTTTAATTCTTAAACTTGTTTTAATCTCAACCGTTATTTAAAATTCTTATGATGTCTAACAATAAGATTGTCGTTTTATTTTTTTTATGGCGGTTCGAGTCCTCTTGGTTCAATTAATTATTGTTTAGCGAAACCTTTTCTAAAATAATTTTTGAAATTTTTATGGTGTTGAATTTCGTTTTTACCAAACTTAATGAAAATAATTTTAATTTTTTTTCTAAAATATTTTTAATTTTGATTTTTTAATAGATTAATCGCAAGATGCAATCAACATCTGGAACTTCTCATTCATTGAATAAAGAAGAAATGACCGGAGAACAACAAATAAATCAGACAGGACAAGGAGTTAGTGACATTGACTTGGATTGAGTATATTTATGAAATAATAAAAAGTATTTTTAAATGTTTATTTAGACAAATTTTGGGGAAAATATTTTTTTGGAAAATTTATTTCAAATTATTTTTTTGTAAAATTATTTTCTTTATATTTGTCTATTCGTTGTAATGCACTCGAATCGGGATAAGTATTACCCAGTTTTTTCTGATTGCTCCCACTAGAACTTTTTTCTGTTTGAGACTTTTTTTTTGAACTGATTGGTTTAGTTACTAGTCAAATTTTGGCTAGTTTCGATTCGGGGATTATTTCTATCTTTTAAAATGTCGTAAAAATTTAGAATTTGCTTTTGTTCGATTGTATATTTTCTATGCATATCGGTTATTTTTTAAATACAAATTCTTGGTGATTGTTGACTTTTATTAATTAAATAAAATATTTTTAAACAGAATTTTTGAATAATTTTTTTGTTTTTACAATAATTATTTTTTTTTTAAAAATTATTTAATTTTAATTAAAAAAATATTTTTAGACTAAAAATTTATTTAAATGTTATTACTTGGTAATCAATTTCCTGATTTTTCTGCTGATACAAGTTTTGGAAGAATTGAAAGTTTTCATAATTGGATAGGAGAAAAGTATTTTTTTTCAACTTTTTTAATTAAAATTCTTTTTTTAGTTGGGCAATTTTATTTTCTCATCCAAGTGATTTTACGCCCGTTTGGTTAGTTTATTTATTTTTTACCGACCTTTTATTCTTTTTAAGCACAACAGAATTAGCACGTGCCGCTCAATTATCAACAGAATTTGCTAGCCGAAATACAAAATTAATTGCTTTGAGTTGTAATTCTGTCCAATCACATTTATCTTGGTTGAATGATATAATTGAATATAATAATAAATATTATGGAAAGATTGGACAAAAACAACACTTTAAAGATGCAGAAAATAATTTAAATGGTTAGTTTGTTTTTAAAGGAAATTAATTATATTTTTTTGAGGCGTAGACAGTGGGAGGGGGAGGGCTAAAATTGGGGTTTTGAATTTGCCCCCAGAAGCCCCCTGGCTACGCCCTTGATGATTTCTGGGGTATCTTTCCGTTAGTATATTTATTTTAAAAGTTGGTTCTCTAATAGACAAACTAACATAAGAATACCTAATTTTATATACAACAACAATGACAATAATGACACAAAATGATTATATCACACATAAGGATTAGGGCGAAATTAATTTAGAGTTAAGTATATATGTAGAGGTATATATCAACACAAACACAATACAATGAATGAACATCAATATTTTAATATATTTATTTTTATTCTTTTATCAATCAGCTTCTTCCTCTTCCTTTGGAGCAGCGGCATCAGCATCTTCTGTTACTTCACTTTCTTCTGCCTTCTTTGTTTGAGCTTCACTTCCACCTCCTTCCTCCTCCTTCTTCTTGCTGCTTTCTTCCTCTCCTTTCTTCTCGTCTCGTACACTTTCTTCTTCCCTTTTCTTCTTCTTGCCTTTGCCACTTTCCTTCTCTTCATCCTCGTCCTCCAAATCATCATCCTCATCTCCTTTCTCGCTTTTTGCACTGATGGCAGGTTCCCTCGTTTTTTCTCCTTCCGCAGCCTCTTTAGAGTCAGTCTTCTTTTCACTTTCTGCTCCAGAAGAATCTTTTGCTGCAGACTCCTCTTCCTTTTCACTCTTCCGAGGCGTTGGTTTCTTCTCCTCTTTTTTGCTTTTGGCGGGTTTGTCCTTTGACGGAGGTGGAGTAGGCTGCTGCTGTCTTGCATCCTTTACTGCTGATGCTGAAATTTTAAAATTATTTAATTTATTTTAAAATGTTTTCTTACTTTTCCCTTTCGGATCCGACGAAACTTTAGGCGTTTTCTTGTCGATGGCTTCCTTCGGCTTGTCGATCATTGACTTCTTTGGCGTCTTCTTTACTGATCGCTCCGGTGCACTTTTCATTTTACTTTTTGTTGGTGTTTTATTTTCTGCCTTCGGAGACTCCATCGACGGCCTATCGGATGTTTTAGCGACGTGTTTGTAAGCAGTTTTAACAGCGCCTTGTTGTCCTTGGGGTGGTTTAACACTCTTTGGAGCTTGAATAGCACTTTTCACTGGTGCGGAAGCTTTAGACTTCCTTTCAATGCCTTTGGAATTCCTTTCAATACCGCTATCCACCTCCATTGTCGGGGGAACTTCCTATAAATTTAATTGAAGGATTATATAATCTAATCATTTCTCAAACTTACAACGCCGAAAGCAGCTTGAATTATTGGTTCGTCGTCGTCATCATCCTCTGCATCATCGCCTTTCTTGCTTCTGCGCTCTTTCTTGCTGCCTTTAGACTTCTTGCCTTTCACTTTTAGAGATGATGATTTTGGAGATTTTGTTTTCATTGTCGTCTGTGCAATCGTAGGGCTAGGAGTCGATTCGTCACTTGCCCTATAAGTTAAACGTTATAAATAATTAAAGAAAAAGACTAAGGCTTAAACATACCGTTTATCAGCCATTCTTTTCTTCTTCTTGCAACAGCTAATCGGGAGTAGCAGGCCAGCAACTAAAACAGTCAAGAAGAGCAGGAACAGATCTCCTTCTGGCGACAAAGAGAGCATCGGTCAAGCAGGAAACGTTGTAGCAGTAGACGGGCTAGTTGAGAAAACTTAATGGCGATTGGCGGTGTTGATTGTAGAATGCTTGAATTTGCTTTTTATAGTAAAACTTTAATTAAAACTTTAATTTTCGGTAATATAATTTGTTTTCTTAACATCTTCATTACTTTTTTTTCATAAATTTTATTCTTTAATTAATCTTTCTTCCATTCATTGTTTTTCTGTGAATAAATCTTCAAATTTGAGTTTCCCAAAAACTCGGAGTTTCGCAAAAGAGTGAAACTTCCCAACATAATGTTAAAGGTTTTGGGGCGGTTTTCAAGTGAACAAACCAAATAATTTAAAATAATTTAACAATTTTTTTTCTTTTCCAGTAGACAACTTTCCTTTTCCAATAATTGCTGATGAAAATCGTCATTTGGCTACAAAATTAGGAATGCTTGATCCACTCAATTTGGATTCTATTTCTGGAATTCCTTTAACTGTTAGAGCCGTTTTCTTCATTGATCCACAAAAACGTCTTCGCCTCTCAATTTTGTATCCAGCAAGTACTGGACGAAATTTCGAGTAAATATTTAAATAAAACTTTTTGTTAAATGTTTTTATTAAATTTTTCAATTATTTTCGGAATGTCTGGGGCGATCTCGAGAATTTTTAAATAATTTAAAATTATGTTTATTTTAAGCCAAAATTTGATATTAATTCTTATTTTTCAATAAATCTGTTTTTATTTGCATTTAGTTACTACTTAATCAAAAATTCTCATTTATTTTCTGTCTTGAGTCTCCCTTAATTAACTTTTCTTTTAAAAACTATAAATTTAATTATTTTTAAAAGTGAATTACTTCGTGTATTAGACTCTATGCGGCTTTCAGATGAATATATGTTGGCTACACCTGAAGGATGGAATGTAATATTTTTATTCAAAAATAATTTTAAATGATTTGAGTGATTAAATAATTTAGATTTTTGAATTTAAAAGCTAGCTTTTTTAGCCCCCCCCCTCCATATCAAAATAAATTCTGTTTATCCTTCCCCTCAAAAGTTATGTTCTAAATATTTTCGTGTGAAATATTTTTTTTAATTTATTTTTAAAAATTACAAATTTAGAACGGTTCTCCATGTATGATTGAACCAAAAGTTGGCAGTGAAGAGGCAAATAAATTATATTCTTCAATTAATACATTACAACTTCCTTCCGGAAAGGGTTATATGCGTGTAGTAGATCAACCATTAATTAATGAAAATAAAAAGGAAGAAAATAAATAAATAATGTAAAGAATTAAAAATTAATTTATTAAATTAAAAATTGATTGTTAATTTTTAAATTATTTTTTAAATTAAAAATATTTTGCCGAGGCATGGCCCAATGTAGCATGGCTGATACATTTAAAAGTGTAAATAAAAGATTTTTTAAATTACACAAATTCAGCAATGCCAACATCTTGCCTTGTCTAAGACTTGAGAGAAAAATTTTTTAATTAAATTTTTGATTAAAAAGTTGATTAATTGATTAAATAGTTTTGATTAGATAGTTTCCTTCCTTAAGTTTATCTGGCACCCTGGAAGGATCTAAAATTAATTTTTTCATTTAAGGCGCAAAATATTATTAATTTATTACTAATTTACATGGTTAACCTATACTAGAAATTAATTTTTGGAAAGAATGGACAATTTAATTATTATTTAGAAAATCTTGCTTTTGTTTTACTTTTTTCCTAATTTTCCGAGACTAGATTTCCTTAATTTTATCTGGCATCCTGGAAGGATTAAAAAAATTTTTTTCATTTAAGGCGAAAATTATCAAAAAAACAAAAAATATCAATTAAATTTTGTATCGAAAATCAAAAACTGAAAACTTTTGTCTACAGTACACTTACTAATACTAAAAGTAATAAGTCCCGCTTTTCAACATCTAAAAATCCCTATAAATTTGTCTCATACGTTCTTGAAATAAATCATATGTACATGAACCGGAATGTGGATTAGATTTACAGACAAGAATATGCGGCGTCAACAACCTAGCGCCAAAGTTATTTCTTTAGCCATAGCATTTAAAATTAACAAACTTTATCAATAAATCTTACATCTTTCGAAGGCTAACTATTATTTAAATTATTTTTAAAAAGATAAATCTTAACAAAGAAAAAGTTTTTACTAACGAAAATATTAGCGCCAAATAATCGACGTCTGTTTGAATTTAGGTTTTAATTAAAAACTTGAATCCAAAAGGTTTAGGTTTAATGAGGGGAAACTGAAATAGACAATTCCAGATTATTTGACGTAGCAAATTTTTTGGCTCTAGAAAAAAAATTTCTAATTTTTTTAAATTTATCATAATAGAAAAATAAATTAACGCGAATAAACGGTTTTTTTAAATTTAAAATAAATTATTATAAAATTGCCAGTTCATAAAAAAAAATTCACGGACAAATTCCGTTTACAAAAATTTATAAAAATTAATAAAAAGTGGAAGGGCGTGGTTAAAAGAAGAGATGAGAGAATTTAAAGCTTATTCTTCTGTGTTTGAGTTGCGAGAATTTCCAGGTAAGTTTGCCTAAAATGAGTGGGAGAGTTTTGATCTTTTGGGTAAAAAGTACGCGTTTTATGGAAATTAATGTTTGGATTTCTAGTTTTTTGTTTAAATTTTTATCGACATTTTAGTGATTCGAGTTTATTATTTTGTTGATTAACAATGTTGTCATTAACGGCCTTTTTCAGAGAATGTTCTTGTTTTTTAGGTTTTTAGCTGTTTTGTCTTTATTTTTTAAGTCAACATATACCCAAAAAATCCTCTCTCGCTTTCTTAAAATTTCACCCCACCCCTTCCCTCCCCTTTCCCATTCTCTCATACAAACGGCGCGCACCTTCTCGAGTTTTGTTTTGTTTGGAGGGCCAGTGCTCCTGTTATTCTTTTTCCATTTATTCAAAAGTCTTTTCCTTCAAAACCCTCCCCTCCTCCTCCCAACAACTACCAACAAAAATATCCACCCCCCCCCCCTTCCAAATAATTCAGTCCCGAAAAAAATTTTTTTGAAAGGAAAGCTGAGCCGACTAGAAGAAGTATATACCTTTATATTTTCTAATATTTGCTCAGTGGCTTTATTTAAAAAAAGGAAAAAAGTAATGAGAGAGAAAGGAGAGAGGAAGGAGTGCGTTACTTGAGCCAATGGAGAAGATCGTCGACGGCTAAAAAATTTTTTGGGGGGAGAATTGGGAAAAAATTGAGAAAAAGTTATTTTCGAAAAAAATTTCTTAAAAATTGGTGTTTCTGTGAAAAAATGTTTTTTAGGAAAATTAAAAAAATAAAGAGGTAGGTAATACAAAAAATATGTAGGTAAATATTCTCTCTTATTGAGAACTCTTATTATAATGGATATTAAAATTAAAGACATAAATAATTTGGATAAAATTTAGAATTCAAAAATAAAACCATTTAACATTCTTAGTAGGGAAAAAGTAATGAGAACACAAATTAATTAAAAAATTTGGATAATTATTTTATTAGGTTTATGAATAATAGCAACAAAATATTAGGAAATGAAAACAAAAAAACTTTAAAAAATAAGGATAGTTAAACATAAATAAATATTTTTTGTATTTTTGAGAATCTGTAAATGTATATATGGATCTGTTGCGCGTGCGTTAAGTAAATAAATGTCACTCTCGAGAAAAAAATATATTGGCCTTTATTGCTAATAGATTTTTAAAAGGGAGGGAGAGAAAGGTAAAAATAATTATTTGAGGGAGAAAAAAATATTTGGGAAGATTTGGGGAAAATTGGGGAAATTTTTTAGAAAAACTGTGTGGGGGATAGGGATATTCTAGTAGTTAATATATCAATACACTTAAGGGGATATAAACAATAACTGATTGCCTCCACCTTAGGATACCTGTTTAAGTAAAAACAGGAAATAGGAAAGAAACATCTCCTGAGAAATAAACTCCTTAAAATAACAAAAAAAAAACACTTTTAGAAGGCAAACAAAGCTATCGACCTAAAATTCAACTTAAAACAACCAAGATTTATCATAAGATAAACAAATTTATTAAAATATTTAATCAAAAAATAAAAATTATTCATTTATTTATTTTTGTTTCATTCCTTTTTCTGGTGCCGTTTACGTTTTAATTCCTGCGTTGTTTGGTGATCACCTTTAATTTAATAGAAATCTATTGTATTTAGTTTCTATAATTAATTTTTTGGGTATTTTCTTCCCAACACCTAAAGCCACTTCCCATATTTATTTTATCAAAAACCTACCCAAAGCTGTATAAAAATCTTCTGGCCGAAAAGCTCTAGGGTCAAACACTTCAGATGAAAAATTAGTTCCTTTCTCGTCAATACCAAAAGTATCTACCAAAGTTTCATAAAGTGAAGGATTATTAAAATCCCGACGGCCTTTAATCATTGCATTCATATTTAATCCATGCTCCTTTCTTTCAAAAAAACCGGCAAATTTTCGCTGAAATTATTTAAAGTCAATCAAAAGTAATTCAAAATGTCACCGAACCATTAAAGTAGGCGAACATCCCCCAGGGGGTGATGGAGGTACTTGAACACCAATTGCTGCTTGTTGTTGATCTGTAAATTGCTTTTCATCTGCTGCCAACAAAGCAGCTTCTTCTATCAGGTGGGAGTGCACGTGGGGTATAACCAGCAGCCCCTCCCGGTGTTGAGGCCCCAGCTATTGAAGTTTGGGGGTCTGCCGAAAGTAAATGTTTTGGAATTCCACTTAACATTAATTCTTCTGTTTCATTTCCCTCATCTTCCATAATATCTTCATTTTCATCTTCAGAATCTTCCCCATCCTCCCTAGCAGGGCCGTCGAATTCTGTATCACTGCTATCTTTAAAAATAAAATTTAATTATTTATTGAACAGTGAGAAAACAGAATTTAATCAATTAAATTATTTATTAAAAAAATAATTTTTTGGCTAAAAAGTTTCAACATTCGGAATTTACTTAATTGAATTTAGAAAAGAAAATTAAGTTTATCAAAGGGATAAATATTCTTCCAAATAACAGAGATACCCTTCCAATCTTGTTTAATGTTAGTGGTTAATATTGCCAATTATTTATTTATTCTGCCCATTCCCTCTTCCGAATTTCATTTCCTTAAACATTTCAAACAAAATCAATAAATCTTAAACATTTTTAAAGTCATTTATCAACTACTACCTATATCAGCTGTAGCATGTCGTCGAGGTGCTTTACTTCCGTCATCATCGCTATCATCCATCCTAAATTAAGAAAATAATTTTTTAAAATAATTTTTTGTTTTCCACCTTGTATCAATTTCTTTTTGTTTAACTTCATTATTATCCCTTCCTCCACTTTTAGATCTTCTTCTCTGTCTCAATTCGTCTCCTCCATAATCACTGTTTTCACTGTCAGATCCATAAGCAACTAAAGCATCCATTTCTTTTTAAATTTCTTTTAAATTTTAAATTAAAAAATATGAAAAAAAATTTTTAAAAGAAAATTTTTGATTTTTGAAACAATTATAAAGAAAATAAAAGACAATTAAAAATTAAATTTAAAAATAATTTTTTTTATAAATTATTAACTTTTAAATCATTATTTTAAATGATTTAATTTTCCTTCAAGCTCTATTTCTAACAGTTACTTCTCCAATATTTGTGGTTGTTGGGGTTGGAATTTTTGAAATTCTTTTAAAAAATTGTTTAAAAGAATTATTTTATTATAAAATAATTACCTCTGTGAAGTATTTGAATTAAATTTTGTTTTTAATGAATTGTTGGAATTTATCTAAAAATTAAAAAAATGTTGATTTTATCTAAATTTTGTAAATTAAAATTATAAATTTTTTATTTTCTTACATTTCCATGTAATTTAATCATTCTTCTTTGATGATGCCAATAAATAGGCATAACCAAATATTTTAACAAACTCCAAGGAAATAAATGACGAATCAAAAGCTTTAATTTAAAAATAATTTTCTTTCCTTTCAAATTCAAAACCTGAATTTCGTGGTTAAAACATCCACTAGTCATTTTAACTAAACCTAAAGTGCCAATTGCTTGTTTTGCAAATTTTTCTAGTGTAACAACAAACAAAGAGCCGCTCTTTGAAAATAAAAAATATTTTCTTAAATTTAAAAAATAAATAATTACTTTATAATATGTCATGTTTGTAGCTACAAGTGCTGGAGTTAAACATTGAACAGAAATTGTTGAATATTCTCGATCAACAGCTTCAGAAATGAAAGAAACGAATGACTAAAAAGTTAAATAAATTTCTAAATTTAATAAAAATAATTTTAAAAAATAAGGGAGATGTTTTGAAAAATTAATTGAAAAATAAAATGATTTGAATTAAAGTTTTTTTTGTAAGTTGATAAAATGGAGATTAGGAAGCAACAAAAATTTGAAATAAATTTAAACAAAATTAAATTTTTTGGAAACTGGATTGAGGAAATTAAGCAAATATAATTATTTCCACTTTCAATTTACTTTAGTCGCCGAATATGCAGCAAGTAATGGAATTGGCCTAAACCCTTGACTTGAAGAAAGAACAACAATTTGACCACCTCCATAACGTTCCATTGAAGGCAAAACAGCAGAAATAAACTTAATAAAAAAATTTAAATTCATTTCTAAAAATTCCCCTCACCTCAACAGCCCCAAAAGCATTAACTCTAAAAAGTTGACGATCAGCTTCTGGCCTATCTCCAAAACGCTCAAGAAATTCCCTTCCAACGCCAACACTGTTTACTAAAATTTTAATGGAAAATTAGTAAAAAGATATGAAAATCAATCAGATATAAGAATAATTAAAGAGCCTGGGGTCAATTTCAGGGAGTGCCCATCCGAACTTGATATATGAGAACATAAAAATCTTATTTCTGAAAATCACCCCCCCCATATTTATCTGACAAAAAATAAGAATATTTCTAAATTCTAACAAGCAAATCCAATGTTAAATTGAGAGAGTTCACGCCTCAATTTGTCAGCATATTCCGGGTAAATAGCGTTATTGAAGTCAAAAAGGATCGTTTCAACACATGAATTTTTATATTGTGATTCTAAAAATGAAAATTTTTGAATAAATAAAACTATTCATTCACCAATCTCTTCTTTGACAGCATTTAATTTAATTTCACTCCTTCCAATCAAAATAAATTTTCGAAGTCCAAGTTTCGCCAATTCGAAAATGTATGCCTTTCCAATACCATCAGTACCGCCACTTACAGCTTAAAAGGGAAATATGGATAATAAAAATGGATAATAAATAATAAATAGCAGGGTTCCGATATGTACAGTTTTTTCCGCATTTTGAGGTTTTTGATAGGTCAATGTTATTTTTAAAAATGCGGATTTTTGTGATCTTTTGAAGATTATGAGGATTTCTTAAAAAATGCAATTGCGGATTTTTAAAAATCCAAGATCGGAGACCTGCTATGTATATTTATATTTGATTATTTACAAGATTTATGTTAAGACTATTTAAATAAACACCTGTCCATCGATTAACATAAATATCCAAATTTGGAGTATAAAAAAGAGGAGCAACAAAATAAATTAAAAATGCCTTTAAAATTATAAAATATTTAAAAAAATTTTCAATTAAAAAACACCTGTAAAAGTGCCAAAAAAGTTCTTGTCAAACGATAAATAATATACGACAAAGGTATTAATAACCAACAATTTCTGTTTAATTCGTGTAAAATAAGAGAGAAAAAATGTGAGAACATGATAGAAAAGGCTAAAAAAAAAAGAAAAATAATTTTAAAAATTAAATAGTTGACCTTCAAAATACAAAATTTTAATATTTTTTCTAGTCCTATTCCAGAATATACCCTATTATAAAATCGACAAAAAAATTTTTTTACATTAAATAAGCGATCTTAAGCAATCTCTCAATAAAGGTATGCAAAAAACATTGACCCAAATAAATAGATTTTTGGTAAAGATTAGTAAATATTTGGAGGAATCAATTATTAATCTTTGAATAAAGGTGGAAATAAAATTTTTTTAAAAGATTTAACTTTTAAATAATTCTAAACATTAATTTTTAGATAAAGATTAATAATTGGAGGAATTTTTTTCAACGATTATTCTCAGGGTTACAGGGGTAGGAACCAGACTTGTTAATGGCCATGGATTTTGGTATACGTATCCGGATATTTACGGCGGATACAGACGGATACCTGTATCCATATCCATTACAAAGCCTGGTAGGAAAATACTTAGGATCTCTACTACTTTATCTTTTTTGAAAAAATATAGTTTTTGAAAAATTCGACATTTAAAGAAGCCTAAATTAGAAGTCAACTAAACAAAAATTTCCCCCAAACGCAAAAAAAATATTTAAAATTTTTCACCCACCAGATTAAGTTCATTTAAACGATCACGCACATTCATTTTTAATAGAAAAAATGTCAAAAATGTAGAAATATTTATTTAAAAATAAAAAAACAAATAATAAAGATAAAAATCTCTCCAAGTATATAAACTTTTAAAAAAGTCAAAAAAAATATTTCCAAATTTATCCAATTTATTTTAAATTAAAACATGTTGAATAGATTAAATTAATTAAAAGACTATTTAAATAAGAGGAGCAAAAATAAGTAAAAATATTTAAATGAATATTAAGCATATATTTATGTAAATATATCACATTAAACGGAAAATATTTATTTTTAAAATTATTTTTATTTTAAAAATAATTTTTTTGATTAAAGATATAAGGGCAGAAAGAATATTTTTATTTAAGAAAATAAGTGACTCGCAAAATTTATTCAATATTTAATAAATTTAAGAAAAAAGGTAGGAAGGACAAAGTTTTGCAGATTATAAGAAATTAAATATTTCGGGAAATGGAAAAATTTTAAATAAACATAGATGACTCGAACCTAAGATAGAAGCAAATTGCTTATAAAAATGGTGGAATTGCTTAAAAAAATTTTTTTTTGATAAAACATTGAATCTAATGCGAGTCACTTTTTTCAGAAACAAAAAATAAAATAAAGTCACCATCCAAAAACATTTTTAAAAATATATTATGAAAATAATAATAAAGTATATATAAGTGATTTATTTAAAAATTGCTTTAATTTTTGATTTGGCATCACTTTAAAATATTTTTAAAAAATTTATTGCACGAAACCTGCTGAATTGAAGCAATTTATTTCTTCTTTAATTATCTTCTCAAGAGTCAAAAAATTCAATCAATTACTTTAAACAATTGAATGGCAACTGGATCAAAGTAAATTCCGGCACTTTCATATATTAAACGCCAAATGTAGGGAACAAAAAAATCGACAGTATTGTCATCCTGAAAAAAATTCAAAAAATTATTTAAAAATAAAAGAGTTAAAATAAAAAAAGTCAGAAATCTCCGTGAAAAAATGACAAGAAAAAAGAAAATTCAATTCAGAATTACAGGGTGACAAAAAAGTTCGGAGTGGAGTATTTATTTACCATAACTTTCTGTAGACTTAATATTTTTAAATAATTTTATACTCATTTTGTAGCCCATTCAATTCTCTATTATTTTACAAAATTAAGCAATATATTATTCGATATAACAAAAGTTATAGCCATGACCGTAAGGCATACCAAAATTTCCTCAACAAAATTGTACTAACAGTATCTCAACGCTGGAAAGTCAGATCTGCGTGATTTCAAAAGAATTTAATTACGCTTATAGGCAACCCAGATGAATTTTAAATATGAAACTTGTAACTCTTACATGAAGAGCTGTGAGTAGATGTAGTTCGGTTTTGGGGGGAAACGAATTTTTTTGTTTAGCGTGGGTTATTTGTAGATAAATATCTCTCTAAATTCTTAGTTAAAAATTTTTTTGTTTTATAGGTTTTGAAGATCAGAGACCCCTCTAGCTTCCCTCAAAAATTCAAATCAATAGCACAATCCGTTCCTAAGTTATAATTCTTCAACCACAAAAACCGGTGCAAGTTTTCATCAAAAATCTTAACGCACGCGTTCGACCATGTATCAACGCAGAAAAGTGGAATCTTTTGAAAATCTAATAAAATTTATTCCCTATTTAGCTCTCTATCTTATCATATCTATTTTATATCCGTAGAATGATTTTGCTTGAAGTTATGTACATAAATACTTCACTCCGAACTTTCTTGTCACCCTGTATAATCTTACACTTCAATAATAATTAAAATAAAATTATTTTCCCAAATTTACCTCAATATATTTAAAACGCAAGTCAGGAAATTTTTTCAAACGATCAGTTGGCCATTCAATCGCAGTTTTTTTAATAGCCTCTAAAATATCAGAAACAGAAGCATTATTTGCAATTGCATTGGCAGATGCTGCACTTCCTCCACCAAAGGTGGGTGATCCATTACCAGAATTTGCACTTATTATTGCCTCAACACGAGCAGTGAAATGATTTATAACCTAAAATTATTTGGGAATTTTACGTTCAAATAATAAAAAAAATAAGTTTAAAGTTTATTGAACAAAAACTATTTAATTAACTTTGACTCACATTCAGTCGAGTCAAAAATAGAAATTAAATTTTGAGGGAGTTATAGAAACGGGGATTTTAATTCAAAAATATCAAAAATCAAATACCGCATAAATATTCCAAACAAGATCTTGAAACATTGGGTGTTGATGATAATGTTCAAATAATTCTCTCTTGTAGAGAACAGTATAAATTAAATTTGGATTGTTGCGTAAATTACGGCAAAGACAGGCGTTGATAATTTCTAAAAGGGTGCGAATGCCTTCTTCGAGTGCTGTAATATCGCTATGCTAGAAAATAAAAAAAATAAAACAGAATTTCAGTATTTTTAAAATTGTAGCACTGACGAGTTTTATTTTGACTATATTTAGTAGCGTCACCAAACTTTAAAACAAAAAATTTATACCAAATCATCATTTCCATCTTGCAATTCTTCCAAATCCAAATCATCATCATTCTTGGAAACTTTACGAACGGGGTCACGTTCTGCATTTTCACGCATTGCACGAATTAATTTCGCATGCCTTTTAGTCATTGTCTTTAAATAAATTTTTTAAAAATGCTACAAATTTAAGAAAATAAACCTCTAATAATCCAATCAATTTTTGGCAAACAAATGGAGTAAGTTGTTTGAAACATGAAGATAGATTAGCAAGTGTTGCAAGAGAATTGACGTGGAAATAACGATCCTGAATGAATGGGAAAAAAATTAGTAATTGTCGAGGATTTAAAAATTCAAAAACAAACCCGTAATCGAATAGTGTTAATTTGTATAGTTTTTGTAAACACCAAAATTATTAGACCCCCAAGAGTAATTTCTGCAATCGGGGCTCTATCGGATTGGTACCAATCAACATTTTTTAGCGTCTAAACACAATTAAATTTAAATTAAAAATAAATAATTTAACCATTTCATGAATGACTTTCTTGAAAAAATCATCTTCACTTAACATCAACAAAACAATTAATGCCAAATAAATTTGGTGTGTGTGAATTTTTGATGTTTTCAGAGTAGAAGTTTTAGATATTGCTGATTTTTGAGGTCGACCATTTTGAAGTGATTGAGAACGACCACGAAGTTTATTGGCTGGGGAAGAGGGTGTAGACCCTAAAAAATTTTTGAAAACTAATTATGGGATAGAGCCAAAAGATAAACCAAAAGATAAATTAAAAATTGGCAAAAAAGAACATTTGAAGTTTCAAAAAACTACTTTATCGCTCTCGAAAAATTCAAAACTAGAGTATTTTAACAGTCAGTGTATAACAAAGAGAACAAATTTTCTATTAAATAAAAACCTGTAGTTGTACACATTCCATCAAAAAGTACTCGGATTACCGGCAAAACAAGTTGTTCCAAATTTACGCGAGAATGAACAAAATTTCGAAATCCAACATTATTGTGAATTAACAAATAAAGTAACAATAATGGCGGTCTTTCAGAATAAACTGTTTGGCACAGACGATTGTAAAGTTGAGTGAAATCGAGCTTGAAGGAAGCCTCCAAATTGGCAAGTGATGAAACTTCTGTTAATTTTTTTTATTTAAAGTGAATTTGAGATACAAGGCTTATTGTCAAAAAACTTTTTTCTGATTGGATATAAAGTAATATACTTAAAAAAACCTTGTGCATTTTGAAATATGCAGAGCATTTGTTTGTAAGAATTTTGTTGACCACCATATGCTGGATAATAAATAAGAGCCAATAAAAGTGTTAAACTCAAGGAAGATAATGACTGTGTAGGGAATCGATCGAGTTCCTCTAAAAATTTTTATTAAAAATAGAAATTTAATTTCATAAGGGACGAATCTTCAAAGAGTAACCAGAAAATACTAACTTGGAATTGATTTAAAAAATAAAAATAACCTTCCTGAATCCCTCCACCAAAAGAAAGCGTTCTCTGTAAAGTACTCCAAAGAGAAATAACAAAACTACTACTATTATTATCAGTAACTCCATTTCCACTTTGTTCAGCTGCTGATAAATCAAGAGGTTCAATATGATGTTGAAGGAAGTTTTCTAAAAGGACTCGAACAATATCTCCACTCTGTGAACGTCTAAAAAGGTTTATTTTGGTCAAAAAATTTCTTAATTAAAAAATTTTACTTACACTTTAAGCATCAAAATTTGAAGAAAAACGGATCGCTCATGCACTCCATCCTCGTAGAGCTCCGTACTCAGTAAAGCTAGAAGCACTCGAAGAGTTTCAGCGTGTAATTGAATTGTAATTTTACTTAAAAAGAAAAATAAAATTTTAAAAATAATTTTTAAATTTACTTACTTTACTTGTATTCGAGTGAGAATTCTTAATAAATTAACAAGAAAATGTTCAGCAGCACTTTCGAAATGATGACCACTTCCTTCTTCTAAAAAAGATAAAGAACTAATGGAAAAAATATTCAGAATATACTTGAATCAGAAGTATTCTCATCCAAATTTTCCTCATCATCATCGTCAATTTCATTACTTTCTGATTTTTTTGTTTCATAAAGACTGCCACGATTTCCAAAAATATTCGTAAATTCTGTTGGAGATAGACGTTGAGCCAAAAATACAGAAATATAACGAATAATTAAAAGAGCATTAGATGCTTGCCAAATAAAAATTTTGCTGAAATAAAAATAATTAAAAAATAAAAGGAAACCCCAAAAATAATTTCCAAAAGAACACCTACTTTTCACATTTTGCAGACGCTTCAAGTTCTCCACAACGTCTATTAAATGTTTTTATTAAAGTTGCAATATTTCCCGTCTCCCGTGTGTTGTGCATTAACTGCTCAAGTATTGGATTTATATTTTCCAAGAAATTTGATTGAATTTTTCTGTAAAAATAAGAAAATGAGGAATGTTCACAAGGTCAAGGGAAAGTGGGAAGCAATTCGAATTTACGTTTCGGTGAAAATTTTTTATTTACAAGGATTATTCAACATTAAAAAATTCGGAGGGAACGTGAAATAAAAAGCTGATTACCCTAATTTAACTCCAATAATTTAACTTCGATTGAAAATATAAAAAAATAAAGTTTAACCTGCTTTGTTGATCCAAATTAAAATTAAAAGAAAACAATTTATTCCAATACGGATCGTTGCTATTTAACGGAATACGACCAGCCAAACGTTGCAGTAATTCATTTTGAAGGGTAATTTCTCCAACATTTTCATTACTAATTACAGCACCCATTTTATTTATAATTAACTTATCTAAAATTCAAATAATTTGGGGAAAAAATAAAAAATAAGAAACAAGCAAAAAACAAAGATTGATCGAAATTTCCATGTGGACAATTTGAATAAATTTCGAGAAATAAATTAACATAATGCCAAAATGTTTAATATTAGAGTCTCGTTATTTGAAATATTGAACTTCCTTTTAGACGGATACTCTGAATTAGAGGTCGGCAAAATCGAACTTCCGGTATTTCGTCGGGTTTTTTTCTTAAGCGATGGCGGGTTAAGAATTTGAGTCACCCCCTATCCAAATTTCATTAGCAGACAAATAAGAGGAAAAACAAATTATTTATTTTTAAACAACAGATGAATTTATGTAATCAAACAGAACAATTATCATTAATTTTATCTACGTCTTATTTATCTATCGCTGCTATTTGAGGTATTAGGTACGCTGACTCCCATATATTGTTTAGGTCGTTGATCCTAAAATTGTTTAAAAATTTATGAAATTTTTATTCTTTTTTTTCAAACCTCCCAATCCATTTGAATACCCCTACTTAATCTGCGTGCTCTCAGCATTTCAAAAAATGCGTGCTCAATTCCAACATAATCAGGCCGTTTATAGTAATCCAACGAGCGTAAATAAATCAAAATTGTTGAAAATGCAACAGGGCATCCCTTAAAAACAAAAAAATTTTAAAAAGGAAATTCTTTTTAGTTTGTACTTACAAACATATAATGAGAATCCATTAATTGTTCTTTAAGTATCTTTGTTAGAATTCGAGTCTTGCCCTGCCATGGAAGGCGCGCTATAGCTAATCCCACCAACATATAGAGAATTGACCATAAATCATCGTGTCTCCCGTGCTCATTTCTTTTATGCGCTAGAAATTAGAATTTTGAACAAGTTTTTTAATCTATCAGACTAACCGTTTAGGCTACAATAAGCTGGGGTTCCGCGAAATGGAACGTCTGGTCTAGGCCTGCGCAAACTCATTTCTCCTCGAGTTTTTATTGATCTTGCAAGTCCAAAGTCAAAGAGATACAACCGTTTGTGGTTAACTTCATCAATTGCAAAATTGCTTGGCTTTATATCGCGGTGCACAAAATATGTGGAATGCATAAAAGCAACAGCCTATAACCAAAAATAATTTTTTTCAAAAACGAATTCATTTATTTTTACATACCCGGACGGCCTGTATTCCAATCTTCAGTATCGTGCCGATTGAGAATCGTCCGTTGAGTTGTTGCTTTTGTAATTCGTTCAATGAAGGGCCAAGAAGTCCCATTATGAGGACACGAAATCCGCCTTCCTTTGCTGCAAATAGAACAATTTAATTCAGAAAAAAGAAGCAAAAAACATTACTTTGACAACTCCCATATTGTTGAAATTGGGCAGCGTAAGGAGAAAACTGCAAGCGCTTAAGGATGTGTGCCTCGAGAGGGAGAAGCTGATCAGATCTGTCTATGTTGGTACGCTCGACTTTCATTGCATAATCCTTTCCTTCTTTTGAGACTACTCGGTAGACAACACCACAACCACCTAGAAATGAAGGGGGAATGTGAAAATGATTAAAAAGTTGTTTTTATTACCCGCTCCAAGTCGACTCGTGACCTTATAGTTGCCAATTGCTTCTCCAACCACCAAATTAACAGCATTACCGTCTGGAGTGGCTTTTTCGACTGTTGGAACACGACCCCCCAAACTTTTAGCTGTTTGTTGTATTTCATTCCTTCTAGTCTCGTCGGCCTTCACAGCTTCGAATTTGTGTTGTCCTTTGACGGGAGGTTGGTCGGAAGAAATAGCAATAGCTGTCTTCACACCCTTCTCCGTGATGTCCTTTGCCTGGTCACTCTTCTTTTTCTTTTTGCCGTATGGTGAAAGGACGTATGTCGTAACTGGAACGAGCAGCTGCAGATGGTACCATTTATTTGGTTTTTGCTCTTTTTGATCGAAAGACTTGGACTTGATGTACTTCTTGTTTGGAGTCGACTTCTTTTTTTCTTCACGAGTAGGAGATTTCTGGTTGCTTTCCCTCTTTCTGCCGCTTTTTTTCCTTCCCTCAGTTGTTCCCTTCTTCTTCCTGGCAGTTTCCTTCTTCGAGTCTGACTTCTTGCCTCTGAGACATTGTACAAACAACGATGTTGAGCAGGAAATGAAGATAAGCAGAGCGGCAATGATTGTAGACTGCATTCGAATGATTTGGACGAAAAGGTTTTCCACTTTTTCTCAGGCGCTTTTATAGTAAACCAACATACCGTATTTAGCAGATCCCTATCTCATTTGAAAATGTTCCCTAAATTTAAAAATCATTTTACAATAACTCTCGATATATGTAATTAACGAACAAAGATACTATCTTTGCATTAAATTTATGGCATTTACATTTACAAGTTACACATTCTCTCTGAATCGTCCTACTCTGAATCAGCGACTATGAGTCGTCCCTTATCCATGATTTATCTTTTTGTTTTTTTTTCTAATTTTTCTTAAAAATTTTTTTTTTCACAATTTTTAGATGTTAAATAATCACAATTTAAATATAAAAACTAACAAAGCAACGGCTATAGTCTCTACAGCTTCTACCTCAATTTCAATACCAAAAAATATAGAAAATGACAACAAAAGTGAAATTAAACGAAAAGACGACGAGGAAATTAATCATGAAAATGTAGAATCTTATTTGGTGCCATGGACTTATTCTTGCCTTTTTAAGCCAGCAATTGAACGTGTAAAACATTCTTATGTTGAGGTAAAAATTTTTTTAAAAAATTAAGAAAAAAATTATTTTTAAGAACCAAGAAGCTGTTTATGCATTAAATGTGAGTTTTAAAATTTTTATTAATATTTTTTGGGATGTCTGGGCATTTAAAGAAGGAACAAATAGAGAACATTCACCAAATGCCAATTTATCTATAAGATTATTTCCGTTAAAAACTCTTCTAAAAATTTGTATTATTTTTGGTTTACTTTTTTATTTTTTATTTCAACCTTTAGCCTAACCATGTCACAATTTTATTTTTAGGGTAAAATTAAATATTCAAAACATATCAATCGGTTAATTGTCGATTTGGTTGAATGTCTTCTTTGTTATAAAATCTAGTTTTTCTGTACATTCTCTAGCCGTGTCATTTTCCTCAAATTTATCTAGTCATAAATTTATTTTTAAATTTTTTCTAAGCATCTTCTCGAGGTGTTTCGCCATGTTGACCAAGCTTCTCATTCATTTCTTTTTGATTTTTCCAAATTAATTTTTGCCGAGTCGGGTTTGGGGAATTCTATTAATTTGCAGGTTTTTAAAATTTTATTTTTAAAAACTTTTTTAATTTTTAAAAGGAATCTTATTTGCGAATGCATGCAAATGCTCCAAATTCTGATTTAGAATTTCCTCCACGTCTTTCACAAATTCAAGAATTTCAACTTTTTTCTGTCAGGTTTTTTTAATTTTTAATATTAAAAATGTTTAATTTTTTTTTATTTTAGAGCCATCGCTTTACGTCGGGTTTTGTCTCGAATACCCGATGGTATGACAGAAAGGTTATCTTTTTATAGTTAAATTTGTTTTTTGTTTTTAAAATTACACTTAAAATTAAATAACTTTTTCCTCCTAAAAAGTTTTTAAAATAGTGTAATTTATCGTGACTTAATTGTCATGGACTTGATTTTAAATTCTTCGGGAAAAATTGAGGAACCATAAAAATTACCTCGACTCTAAATTAAATAAAAATAAAGTTCTAGATCGAGATCAACCTCTATTTTAAACGTAGTTGAAAGATTTTTTACGGACAAGTTCACAAATTTCCTTCAAAACCCATCGAAAAATCTTATTATTTTTTAATTATATTCAAATATTTTGTTTTTTTTCTTCTAAATTTTTTTCTTTTAAATTTATTTATTCAAACAATTCTTTTTTAAGGCGTCCATTTCTCGAAACAATTAAAGAAATTGCTGCATCAATTAAATATTTATTGGACACAACAAATGCAATAATTGCAATTGTTCCAATTAATTACCAACATTGTAAGGAATTTTTTAAAATTTAAATTATTTAAAATATAATTTTAAAGTGGTTGAGAAACGAAAGAGAGAATTTGTTCAAGCTAGCAAACGTTTTAGTAATACTTTGAAGGATTATTTTAAACGGCAGGAAGCTAATCAAGTAAATTTTTGAGAAAAGATTTTTTTGATTTTAAATATTTTTTAGGTTTATATTGCTGCTAATCAACTAATTTTACAAACTATGAAGCTTTGTCTTGCAATTCGAGAGCGTGTCCGTATGGGATAGAAGGTAAATGTAAAGAGATAAAATTATAAATAAAAATTTATTTATCAATTTTGAATATTTTTAAAGTTTGAATATTTATAAATTTAGTAAATAAAAATATATGTACATATGTATGTAAATTTATATTAATGATTTAAAAAAAATTAAATTTGGAATTTTGGAAATATTTTAGTAAATGTATTTATGTTAGTAGAGATACGACAAAAATATTTGATATTTGAAAATTTTTGATTTTTTTCTTTCAAAAGTGACCATATTTGATTTTCTGAAGTTGAATTTTGTTTGGTCCAATCTCTTGGTCTATCTCCATAAAAAATTTTTTACAAAAAGAAATTTTATTTTTCTCTTGTCTTTCCCTTTAATTAAATAATTTTCAAACAATTAAATTCTACTAATTTTTATATCTGCTATTTCTTAAAAGTTTTTAGCGAATAATTTAGTCAACCTGACAATCCAATTCAAAACTCTTTGTATTTTATAATTTTTATGACGTAATAATTCTCCCAAAATACTCTAAAAAATTTTTTTCTGCGTAAAAACATTTTACAAATTTTTCTGCTTAAATAAAATCACAAAAAAGTTTTATTCCCAAAAATTGTTTTTGAATTTATTTTGGCATTTAAAGTTGTTTTGTGGCTTTTATTTACTATTTTTAAATTGTTGTTTTGACACTTTAAATTTTTTATTCGCCATCTGGATGCCAAAATAAGCGTTCAAATTGGTTAACCTTTTAAAATATATAAATCCTTTAGGGTATAGCATCATTTCCCTTTTAAAGGGTAAATGAACCTAAATTGGTAATTTTAATATGCTTTTTATTTAAAATATAAAATGAACTTTTGAATTTGGTGCTAAAATTAAATTATTTAAAAATTAAATTAAAAATACAAGCTTTCAAAATTTTTATTTTTCAGTTTATTTCGCAGAAAAGGGGCCTATTTATAAAATTAATTTTCAATTTTTATTATTTAAATATTGAAAGTTTATTTTACAAGTTAATTACATATAGTTATTATGTTTATTTCTGCAAACTAATTTTTTATTAATTAGCTTTAAATAAGCTTCAATTAATTAATTAATTAAAAACATTTAAATAATGTTTTGATTTTTTAAACGTTCAATTTTATTTAAAATTATTTTATAAAAATAAATATTTAAATAAATTTTGATTTAAAAAAATTCAATTTATACGTAAATGTAATTAAAAAGACAATTTTTAAGAAAATTTTTGTTAATTAAAAAATAATTGTTTTTATTGTTTAGCTGTATTTAATGACGCGTATATTTATCTTAAACTAAATAAATAAATATTTGTATTTGTTATTTAAATATTTCTTTTGTATTAAATTATTTTTGTAATTATTTATTTTTAAAAGTTAAGTAAATAAATATATAAATATTAATTTTAAAAATTAAATTTGTTTTTATTTATTTATTTTTTAAATATTTAATTTGTCAAAAAATTGGAAATTTGTGATTTTTTGAGAATTTATAAATACTTAAATATAGGGTAGCGCCTTCGGGGGTCGGATCGGGTCGGGGCGTTTGCCTAAAAATTCACCGGGGAACGGGGTGCTTCCCAATATTCTCTTAAAATTAAATATTTTTACCAAACTTTAAAAAAAAGCTACAAAATATATACACAAACTATTTTCTAACTTTACATATTTTTATTACAGTAAATATTTATTTAAAGACATTTTACTTCCCTTATATATTTAGTAATACTTAAGTACAATAAATAAATACATATAATAAACTTAATTAAATATGGAGGGATATCCAAATTTTTTTTTATCTTGCGTGCTTTAAATATTTGTATATTTAAATATATATTAATGTACTTTTTTTAAATAAGATTGGAACGAGGAACTAAAAATAGGAATTTAAAAAGATTATTTTTTATTAAAGGGGAGAGAAGGAAAGGAGGGAGAGGGTAGAGGATAGGTTTTCTGTTTTTAATAAATTTTTAAAAATAAATTTAATTAAAATTTAGAAAAAAAAGAACTAAAAAAGTTATTTGTTAATCCTTTAAAAGTCCCTCTACTTGAAATCTCTTTTACGGGTTTCTTGCCCTTTTTTTATTTTTATTTATTTATTTATTTATCAGCAAACCACAGGTATTTTAAAATACATTAAAGTGGTGCATAAAAAACATAAAAATACAAATTAAAGAAAATATGTGAGACAACAACAAAAAAAATGAAATGAAAAAAAAATATATAAATAGTAAACAAACACTCTAAAAACCACACACGCCAGGGCTCAATGTCTTTATTATTTTACTTTAATTATTAGATTTTAATGAGCTTCTAAATTTTTTCGGATCATTTATTTTAAATGGCTCATTTGGAAGATTATTCCAGTTATTCACCACTCTGTGAAAAAAATTATTTTTTGTTTTATTTGTATATTTTTTTGTCCTAAGAAGTAGAGGCCTGCGAAGAGATCTATTTGATAAATTAAAATATTTTTGGGAATTAAGGGATGTAAAACCTTTTATAATTTTAAAAGCGGTGGAAAGATCGGCAATTTTTCTTCTATCTATTAACTTTTCGAGTTTACAAGTATTTAATCTTTCTTCATATGGGACCTTGATTAAACCACATTTTTTGTAAATATTTTTAGTGAATAGTTTTTGAATTTTTTCAATTTTCTCTATTTGATATTTCATCTGTGGATTCCATACTTCAGTTGCGTATTCTAGTTGGGGTCTTATATATGTCTTATATATATTAACGAGGAGATTTAAATTTCTAGATTTAATGATTCTTATTATTTGGGAGCTTTTTAAATATGCGTTTTTTATGATCATGTTTATATGATTGTTAAATGTTATTTTTGAATCAATTAATATTCCAAGATCACGAATACATTCTGTTTCTTGTACTTTTAATCCATGTATGATATATTCTCTTTTCATGTTATTTTTACCTAGATATAAAGCAAAGCATTTGCTAGGGGATATTTCTAAACCATTTAATTCCGTCCATTTCTCGAGTATTCTTAAAGCTTTATTTAGTTGTTCTCTTTCTATGCCGTTTTTATGAGCTATATATAGTTTTACATCGTCTGCGTATAGTTTTACTCCAACATTTTCGGGGATTTCATTAGGAAGATCATTTATAAAAATAAGGAATAAAAGTGGTCCTAGGACACTTCCTTGAGGTACACCTGAGAATGTTTCATAGTTGTGGGATAATTGGTCACCTATCTTAATCTTGAAATTTCTAGCCGATATGAAGTTTTTAAGAAATGAGTATACTTTTCCACTTATGCCTGCACTTTCTATTTTATCTAAAAGAATATTTATTGGTACAGTGTCAAATGCTTTAGCAAAGTCGATGTAAATAATATCTATATTATATCCATCTTGTATTGCATTATATAAATCATCCATGGTAGATAATAACTGTGTGGTTGTGGACCTTTGTTTAAGAAATCCAAACTGATTTTTATTAAAGAACTTATTATCTTCTAGGAATTTTGTTAATTGCTGTGCAATAATTCTTTCAAGTATCCTACATAAGGTGCATGTTAGCGATATTGGTCGATAATTTTTTGGATCTGATTTTTCTCCCTTTTTAAAAAGTGGTATAATTAGTGATGTTTTCCAAATAGATGGAATTTGCTTATTATCAATAATACATCTAAAGATATCTGTGATTATTTTTGCAAGTGAGTCAGCGCAATATTTTAATAATATATAAGGAATGTTATCTGGCGAAGTTGAATTACGATTAGGAAGTGATCTAAGGACATCCCACACAATGCTAGTGCTTAGATCTATGTCTGAAAGTTTTGTTTTCGGAATTATATTTCTGTTATAATTTGATATATTAATATTTTTATTTTGAAAGTTTTTTTGAAATTCTTTTCCTAAAATATTACATTTTTCTTCATTACTGAAGTAAAATTTATTTTCTTTATCAATTAAACAGGGTATGTTATTATCTTGAGTAAGTCTGTTTCTAATAAACTTATGTATTGAATTTCCACCTTTACTTATTATTTTTTCTTCCTTAGTATTATGATGAATTTTTAATTGTTTTTTCAGGTTTTTTGAAACGATTTTATACTCAAGTCTTAAGTTATGATCATGTTTTCTTTCTTTAAGGACTCTGAATAATCTAAGTTTTTCTTTGTGTAATTCCTTAATCCGTTTGGGGTATGTCTTCCTTATTATCTTATTCAAGGTTCTCATCGGTATATATTTGTTATAAAGATATAACAATTCCTTTGTCAGAAAATTATATTTATCTTCCACAGTGAACTTTGTTAATATACCTAGATCTAAATTATTTTCAAATATAACTTGATTCAAATTAATAAAATTGGATTTGCTTAAATCTCTGACATAAATTTTTGGTTTTTTAATTACTCTGATCTGCTCATATAACTCAAACTCTATCATTCTGTGATCAGAAGTTGAAAAATTCTCCCTAACATTAACATTTCTTATTAAATTGGAAGCAGGTGTGAGTACAAGGTCCAGGATTGAATTTTCCCTAGTCGGTTCAGTAACAAGTTGATTTAATTGATTTTGACCTATAAACTCCAAAAACATATTTGCGATCTTATCATAGTTGTCAGTTAATTCTTTGGAATCCCAATTTATGTGTTTAATATTAAAATCTCCGCATAATATTGTTTTTTGATCAGTTTGATTTAAAAGAAACTTAAATAATTTTTTTGTATTAATAATTGAACTATTTGGTGGGCGGTAAATGTTTATAATGCTAATTTCTTTTTTTAGAAATAATTTTATATGGATTATCTCCGATTGGAATTTAGAGCCATTGAAAATTATTTTAAACGGTATGTTATTTTTTAATAGGATTGCCGATCCTCCCCCTCTTTTTCCTATTCTATTAGCTAATATAATCTCATAATTGCCCATATATGAAAGTTCAGAGTTTATTGTATTTTCTGTTGTGAGCCATGTTTCATTGATTAATATAATATGTGGATTAGAATTTTCGATTAATTGATTTAAATCC